GGCTTCCTGCAGCCTGGGCTGCACGACTTAAAGGATGAAGCTGGGATCAAAGCCATAGCCACGTTCCCACCTGGCTGCTGCCCTGGCTTCTTCCTGGGGGTTTCAAGAAGGCTTTCTGAAACTGGGAATTACCTGCTACAGACTGCTATGTGCTGTTTGTTTTTTAAACTCAGCTCTCAGAATTGCCGTGGATTTACATGTTCGCACCTTGAGCTCTCCCTCAGACCATTCACTAACAAACCCAGCCCCAAACACACAAACCTGCCTGCTTGTGCACACTGGCCAAGACCCCAGGACAGCAGGATGTCCGGTGTGAGCAGCTGTGTGCTGCCAGACAGCAGCTGTGCCTGGACAGGGCAGCGTACCTGCAGGCACCTTGTCGGGTCCATGACTTCATTGGGGTCACCTGCGATAGGACTCGGTGTTTCCTGGCTCCCCGTGCAGAGCGTTGTTTGTCATTTAGCCTCGTGAAGGCTCTCCTTGCCCCACCAGGATGGAAGGGGTGGAGGGGAGAGGGACAGAAGGGTGGGGACCCGTTCTCCGGGGTGCAAAAAGCCGAGCTGGCAGCCTCCCAGCAACCGCAGAGCCTCGCGCTGGTTGGCCCGAGATAGGCTCAGGTTTCAGAGTTCATTGAGTGGGTTTTCAACAGGAAACCTGCCTGCCAAAGTGTGCTTTCAGGAGTGTGCAGCTCAGCAGCTGAGCCGTCACCCTGCTCATCCAGAGCAGCTGGCTGCAGAGGTGATCCCGTAGTCAGCGCCTATGGGTGAGAAAGTCCTCCAGCCTCAAAGTCTTCCACGTCAGCCAGGCAGCCTTGCTCTCAAGTACAAACCTGAAGGACACAGAGATGGCCCCAAGGGTTAAGTGTCTGCTGCCTGCTAGCTTGCTGGGTTGGTGGGCAGGCAGTGGGACTCCAGTGACCCTGGAGCCTCCTGCGGATGTTTTGACCAACAGTGTAAGTGATGCACACACACGTGTGATGGCAGAGGGCGTTTGATGGGATATTGCCCTCGCCCTGCTCACAGGTGTCTCGTAACCAGCCACACAGCAAGGTAGGTCTGGGAGGGGAGCTCTCAAACCCAGCACCCTGCATGGCTGCAGCTTGGCGGCCTCAGGTCTGTGTCACTGAGAGCTGGGAACTTGGAATAAATTCCTAGCTGGAATAATGGCCCAAGCCGGGGACTCACAATTTATTTTTTTTTGTTTGGACCCAAGAGGAAAAGGTATTGTACATAACGAAATTTTATGTAAATACACTTAATTCAAGTAAAGCCCCCTTATCAGCTAATAGCTTGACTGCTAACGCTGATACTCTTGTTTGCTCTAACTTGCATAATGTTTGTCTTGACCCTCGGTAGAGGGCATAGATAAATGATGCCTTTATCTATCTAACTAAGAAGATAAATGCCCATTCGATCGGAATAACACCAAGCGATCCATCCCATTCCGCACAGATCTCCCTGCAGAGACAGTGTGCAGTTGGAGCTCATCAGAAACAGATCTTTGGCACGAGCATCTCCTGCAAATGTGGCTGTGATGACCAGCATGCAGATTCTGAAACGTGTCTGCTGGCCCCAGGTTTGCAGCGCGTTACTGCAGCGACTAGCTGGCAATCGCAGCCGGCGTTATGTGGAAATATTTTCTGGGGGAGAAGAGGAATTCGGCTGGACTCGGAGCTAATGGGAGGATTCCTTCCAACTTGGCTACCTCACCGAAATGCAGGCAGGAACTTCAGCTTTAGAAAGTCGCTGAACTTCTGAATTGTTCCAGTCGGAGCGTTGTGTGTGATGGATAGCATTTAACGCTGTGTGCTGGGTGGGAGCAGGGCTGACCTGCAGATGGCTGTGGGATGCTTTGGCTGCATTCTCACGAGTCAAAACATGCTCCCAAACTGAGCGTTTGGGTGCAAGATGAAAAAAGGATGCGCTTTTTTATGCCTGTTCCCTGCAATCAAGTGCATCTGTAGATCTCATTCAGTTGGGCAGTTTAAACAGCCAGTTGCTGCTGGGAGCCTTACAGAAAAAAATAAAAATAAAAAATCAGAGCACCACCTTTCTAAAAACAATTCAAACATGCTCAAACTTGCGGCTTCAGCAGAAGTACAAGTGTGTAAAAGTTCCCGTGAACTCTGCCTAACCTCTGAGATTTATTGATAATGAGAAAATGAGGGGCCAGGCCCTGAAACCTTTCCTTACGTAGCCTCTAGCGTGTTAGCAAGAACCCCGGGGCTGGGCTCAGGATGTTTACTGCTTTTAGAAACGTTGAGGCAAATGAACTTGAAAGAGTTCGAGGAAGCAACATAAAGGACCTGAGATTTTCACTCTGACTGCCAGGATGGTCGTGGTCTCTGCCTTAAAGCAGCTCAACGTGCAGCCTGTTGCCCTGCTCAGTCAGTGGCACAAGCATCAGTGGTTCTCCTCTGTGTGAACATACACAGGTGTCCTCTTATTTGTGCTTGTTAGGGTGGTGTCAGAGGTAAGTGGAAACGATGGTGTGTGCTGAGTAGGTCTGACACGCTGTTTGGGGCATATGCTAGCAGGTTCAGAGACTTTGGAGAAGATCTGTTGCTCTACAGGAACATTGAATACTTTAGGAACATGCACAGCTGGAATCAACAATAAATGTGCCAAAATGGCAGTAAAACTATCTCATTATTAAAATGTAGACATATGACCTATAGATAAATATTTAGCTGCAGTCACCAAAAGTCTTTTTTTTTTTTTTTTTTCCCTCCCCTGGTCTCAACACCCTTTAAAACTAATTAATCGCTTTTAGATAATTTACATGAGGTTTAGATGACCTTTTCCTGAGGCTAACCCGCAGCCCTTGCCATGACCCTGCAAAAGCTTCTGGGGTGCAGAAGATGAGGTTGTCCAGCTTAATACAACCAAGAACCACAGAAAGCTCTTTTCAAAAGGTTTGATAGCAGCTGTTGAGAGTAAATTGTTGCCATTTGAGAATTGGAGCAAACCAATGAGTTTTTGCTGCCCCTTTACTTTCTGATCATTTCCTTTTGTCCTCTCAAAAAAGGTTTGGATCCTCTTGTGTATTGCCCCTCTCTCTATTTTGTTCCAGGGTAATAAAGGGGTCTAGAAGAAGATAAGGGTGGGAATTGTGTGCAGTTAATGTGCTGTGAGGCCAGGTAAAGGCTGCTTTACCCAGTCGGTGGCTGTTTATCTCAGGTGAACCCGTGCAGAGGGACGGCAGGATGTGGGCCCGTGGGTTTTTCCTGGGGAAAGAAGGTTGGGTGCGAGGCAGATGTGTGCCTGAGACAAGGTGCAGGGCACGATCCTGCCCTTTGCACAGGCTGAGCTCCTCTCACCCATCCCAGGGATGCTGACCTGGGAGCTCCTGTAGGAGTGGGGGAGCAGGGTCGAGTGGTGCATCCCATGCAGAGGTGCCTCGTGACCCACAAAACAAAAGGGCACGCTGTTTTCTTTCCCATAAATGCTGATTTTCCAAACCATTTTTTTTTCTGGGATTCAGCATTCTCATTTATAAAGGCAAAAGTGAGTGAGAACAGCAGGTTTGCGTGCAGCGGGAACAACCGTGGCTGCAAAACAACAGGGCTTTTGTGCAGAGGGACAATCTCACCAGGTCTCACACTGAAATCAAAACTGAACACCAAGCCTTTCCCATTTCCCTCCTCTGAATATTCAGTGCTGAGTGCGATGCTAGCCTGCTACTGATTTAATTTTTACTATAGAAAAGAAACACATCCCATGCTTTGCTGTAATTAGGAAAATCAGAGTAAATCCATGACGTTGTCCTCTGCAGAACAGCTGAAGGCATCCCACCAGCTCAGTGGGTCGCTCTGCTGCTTCGTGCGGTGCGAGCTGGAGTTAAACCAGGGTGCCAGCCTGTCTGGCATCGCTGCGCCTCGTGGAAGGCCCTCTCTTGCTCTATTGCCAAGCCATTCAATGCCTGGAAGCTTTCACAAACAATGCCCTCCAGCAGCAGGGCCGTGGCTGCTCGGGGAAGCTGGCCAGCCGGGGAGAGGTGGATGCTGATGTCCCTGTCCTGCCGGAGCACAGCACCGTGGTGCTGCACGCTGCTTCATCTGCCTCCCACACCTGCAATCGTACAGGAACCAGAGCGCTCTAGTTCATGAGAAAAAGCTTTGCGGTCCCAGGGGTGCTTCCAGGGAAGGAGGGCACTTATAAATACACAAAATCTCAGCAGGATTTAGTTTTCTGTGAAAGAAAACATGACTGTGACACATTGCCTGAGAACGAGGCATCGTTTTTCTTTGATGCGAAATTGCTTAGTCGTTGAAATAACGCTCGGCTGCAATTTCGTACGATAGGACCTGGGTTTTAAAATGACATCAACCTAGCTTTTAATTTTGCAGGTGTAAATTGCACCTGCAAATCATTTTGTCTGCAAACCACAGCATTTCATGTTTGATTTCCCGATTTCCTATGGCGTACTTAACTGATGTCAGTTAGTTATTTCAATATCCAGCTTCTCAGGCACTACTATTTCAGGAACAAAATTACAGTCTTAAAGCTTCAAACCCATTTCTGAAGCTTTGATGGAAGGGAAGAGTTAGGAAGTGCAGCCAACCCACAGTTCATACAAATCTTTTGATACAATCCTTGAGATTAGTGTTGGGTATTGTCAGAAAGCACAGTGCTTTGCATCTGTAGAGCAACTTGGTCTAACCGAGCCAAGAAGCTGTGCAATTTTCCAGCGAGATTCCTGGTTGCTTTTCTGAAACGCATTCTTCTGAACCATAGTTTGTCAGTTAGCATTGGGTTTGCTCTTTTAATAGCTTTATTCCCTGTTGCCTCCTTTTCCTAACTTTGTCTTGAAAAACTAACCCATTAGTCTAAAATTACCCGTTATCTGTCACGTGGGCTATGACTTTTCCATGGGAGATGGATGGAGACCCAAGAGCTCGTTTCACGTTGTGCTCTGACAGATGAGTTAAATGCATAATTTGCTAGCATTTACATGGTTTGCATGCACGTTTTACTGACACTGTTCTGTTTTCCTGACAGGGTCGCCATGTTAAGACTGGGCAGCTAGCAGCAATCAAAGTGATGAATGTCACTGAGGTGAGTAACCCAAAAATAATAAAAAGCTGTTATCAAAGTGTAAGGGAAAACAAAGAATCAGGTTGTGAGAACGTGGGTAGCTGATAAGATGATCCATAGGTGTAAATTACGGTAGCTGAGCAGTGGTTTATGGTTTTTGGAGTACTGAGAGGCCTTAATACAACCAGATTTTCAACAGTGCCTGTCCAGTGGCAACAAAGCAATAAGGGAATACATGTCTATATATTTTGATGCTCTGAAATAATGAAGAGAACTCTCTTCCTGCTTGTTTCACGTTGATTATCTGTTCGCAGAGATAGCAAGTAAAAGATTTCCTGTAGCTCTGTGCTGCCCCTTCTGTTTCAGCGCATCCTCTCCTTGCCAGCCATTCCTCAGCGTATCTACCCTGACAGCTAGCAAGCAGGAACATGTTAAAAATGCAAATGTTGCACTTTTTTATTGCTATTTGACAGATGAGAGAAGGAGACCGGTTTAATTGGCACTGTCACTGCTCACATTTACGTGGTATCGATGCTGGAACAGGGTGTCAACAAAGTAGCTAAGATTTTTGTTTCAGAGAGCAGCCTGTAGCGAAGCAGCTTGCCTCCTTGAGGCTGCATGAGCCTGAGCCCCAGAAGGGCTGGGATGTCCCTGCGTCCTCGAGTGTAAGGACAGCTCGTGGTTTGGTCGGATGTGCCTGTTCTCATGGAAAGCCAGCTCCTTGTCCTCTCGCTCTGGCAGCGTGGATGCGGTGCATAAAACACCAAGACAATGTTAGAGCCTTCTTGGGACGTTGTGAGTCATAGCCTAAAATAAGAAACAGGTCCTCTGGTCCAAATCTGCCAGTGGTACGGCTACATGGAGCGTTTTGGACAAGCACAAGCAAGCTCTGGCTGCATTTTTGTGTCTTCTGCTCGTCTTGGAAGACAATGGAGCGAGTTAGCATCTGTGTGGGCACTGTCACGTAGAACGGGTCCAGGCCAGCTGTCTCTGCTGGTAGTGTAGGAATCCAGCCCTGAGCAGCGACTGCTCTGAATGGCACACTGCTTTTTGGAGCTTAGGTGCTGCTGCAGTGCTTTACAAAGCAGCCTGGTTTGGCTGTGGCTGCTACCTTGTAAAATAAGCACGTGCAGTTGAATTCCAAGTGTTGTTCTTGTCTATGTGTTGTTCTCGTCTATGGATAGAGGAGGGTAGGTTATTGAAGTCAGTGCTATGTTAAATTGATGGAATTTTAGCTTATAGCTCTGTAGTTACATACGTCATCGTGTGCTTTGCCTCAGAGACATAGCAGTGACCAAACACGAGGCTGCTGGATTTTGAGAGCGAGAAGAAGTAGAGTTTGAGTCGCAGACAGATTCCTGGGGTCAGAGCACCTCTGTGCTCTTTTCTGAGAAAGGAATTTACAGGAGAGACCCTGTCTGGGACTCAGAAGTGATCCAGAGCTGCTCTACAGAATGTGTTCATGCTTTGCTGGGCCTGCCAGCAGTGCCTGAGGGCTGGCCAGAGATGTCACTTGTGGACTGTCATGTTAACACAAGTGACAGTCCCTTCCTTGATGAAACAATTGAAGCAAAAACTGCAGGAAGGGAACCTTGGAAAGATTTCCTTCCCTTTTGCTATATATAACCCAGTCTCCTTTGTATGTAAGTAACAAAATGCAGCACCCAGTAATGTCTGCTTGCTTGGAAACAAAATTTAGATGGAAGACAGCCTTGTGCTTCAGCCTCGGGAATCCCCAGTGATGGACTTGCATGGCTCTGGGGACAAAGCACAGCTGCTCAGGTCTCATTTGCTGCTGCTTTGCAGGCTGGAGAGCCAGCACCATCCTGGAGAATCTGTCCCCTCACTTGAGGGGCTGAGCAGCAACAATAACAGATCGTGCTGTTTTCACTTTGAGTTGTTTAACGCGAAAGCAGTTGTGATGGTTTCAGTCTAACAGTGAGCTTGCTGGTGCAGCCACCTGGGGGGTTTCCCTGGTGCTCTTCCCCAAGCTCTGAGCAAATCCATTGTAGCTGGACGTGAGCATTTCTGCTCTCTGACCTCGGTGCAGGGTGAGCTTTCTGCTGTTACTTCCACTTCTGGAACATGGGCTGGCTGCGTTCCTGCTGCTGAGGCACAGGCTGGGAGACCAGATCCAGTCCTCTGCTTCATCTACATGGCTGCTGCTGCACGAGGTCGGAGCTGGGTAAGGCTGAGGCTGCTGCTGGATGTGCCCAGGGCATCTCTGAACCTCAGCCCTGCACCTGTAAAATAGCAAAAACCTTCACAGCATGTGGGTACTGAAGCCTCTCACAGCATTAGCCTTTCAATCTCCAGAAATTTAGTGTGATAAATTCAGCCTGCCAAGGATTCGGTACTTCTCCCGCGTTGTCAGTCTGCTCAAGCTTGTTATTTTCTGTTCCTTTGGGCTTGAAAAGCTGGCTTGAGGCATTAAATAAAGTCTTTAAAATATTGAAATCTCCGTCTTCAACGTCCTGCATATAAATTGCACCTGAGAGCAGCATCTCGCAGGGAGTTTGGCTTGTGAGAAATGGAAGCTGTCACAGCAAACCTGCTCGAGTGAGATGGGAGGCTCCCAGCCCCTGTGGTCATCTTCATCTTGGGGTGGTTATTGGATCTGATCAGTGCTGCACAGGGAGTGCTTTTCTTAGGGAGAGAAAACTTCGTGTGGTAGAAAACAGGAAAATGTTTTTTAAAAGAGAAAAAAAAAAAAAGAAGAAGAAGAAGAAACCAGGGCAAATGCAGTCTTTTTTTCCTTCACCTGCATCCAAAAAAGTGGAGAAGAGCGGAATGCCTGGCACGGCCTCGTGATTTGAATGCCTGCTCGGAGGCTCTCCAGGAGAAATCTCACTCCGTGGCAGGGACCGAGTCTGATGGAGCCCCATGCCAGGGTAGGTCGGTGGTGGCTGGGTCACTAGCCCACAATGCAGCTCAGTAATAAGGTCGGCATTGTCTGACGTGGGAGAGAAGGGTTTGGACGAGGACACCTCATATATAGGGGTACTGAGCTACTTGCTCGCCTCTTGGACACTGCAGTGCGCTGCACGCCCCCAGCATCCTGTTTTCACTGCGAAGTCCAACCTAAGAAGTCTTCCAGCTAACGCTTCATCCCAACTAATACATTTCTGCCAAAGGACTGTTTCACCAAATCTACAGTTTTTTCCAGAAAGAAATCGTTTCATCAGCAAGCTCCTGACCAGCTCCAGCTGTGATTGCTCAGCTCCGAGATCTGAGGCACACCAGGAGCTGAGCAAATCTGCCCTGTGCCGCTGCGAGCTGCAGCCCCGGGCTGCTTTCTGAAGAGCAGCAGCAGGATGCTGTGGTCACTGCGGGATCCTCTGGACATCTGTCAGGAAGTGCTGCAGTGTCACGTTAAGGGGGAGAGCGGGGGGAGCCCTTTGAAATTGTTGAAGTGGAGCTGATGGCAACGTGCGCTCACGGGGCCTCTCTGCGCAGGCTGTGCTTCCTGAGTGGCGGTGCCAAGCACACAAAAAGCTCGCAGAGAGGTCGGATCCTTGCTGCTCACCTCTTTGGTATCAGTGCAGGTGATCAGGGAGCTCTTCTGCAGCAGGCTGTTCCGTTTGTCATTGCTTTCAGGCTTTTCAGGTAGCGAAATAACACTGAAAGGAGAAACTCAGCATTGGTTATGCCTCAGTACTGAGGGCTCTTTAGGTGGAGCACTTATCAGCTGGTGATCTTGTTTCTGTTTGAGGTCAGAGGCGTGTGCTTTCTAGTTCTTTGCTTCCTAATGTCACTGCGGATAAGCCCACGTCTTCAAAAATAGCCTTTGATCATGAACCTGTCATCTTTGTGCATGCAGCCATCTGTACCCAGAACCGCACTGGTTTGTGAAAGCAAACAGCTTTTTGCACCTGCACATCTGTGAGCTTCCTTCTCCTGAGCAGCATGATTTGTGAGCAGCTTTCCAGGCCCCTGGGAGATGTGGCTGAAGGCAACGTTAACAGAGGGGTGGTGGAAAGTGGAAATCCTGAGCTCCTACACCCACAGAAGTGTTGAGGGTGTCTCCAGGCTCCTTGCTCACAGGATGCGTGGAGTTGAGGCTTGGCAAGTGCAGGTTCAGTTCCCAGCTGAGCCTCAGGCATGGGCCGTGGGGCAGAACTGCTCATGCTTCCTCTTCTGCTTTGGTTTCTCCATCTGAAACAGAGCAGTTCTTTCAAAGTTCACTCAAGATACAGGAGGACGGAGTACTTCGTGCCTGTGAAATGCCCACCTGCTGGCACCTTACAGCCTGATCTAGTTTGAAGTCACATCTGCCTTTGGAGGACAAGAAAATTTAGCTCCGAGGCTTTGTGCTCAGCAGCAGCAGGGCTCCATAGGGAAGCTCACCACACTCATCCTGTACCCGAGCAGTGGCAGCTGCCTCTGGGGGCACGAATGGGCAGGGGAAGAAGAGGGCAGTGCAGGGAGGTCCCAGCCCACTGGGTAAATAGGTGAGGACACGAGGTAAGGCAAGGATTGTCTTAATGGTGATGGGAAAGGAGCATTGCACACGTGTATGACTCTTTGCTCTTGCCAGCGAGTGTGGCAGAGCCTACGTGGTGTTCCAGCTGTGCTCACCAACGGGCACACACGCTTACTTTTGTTATTTTGAAAGCACCCGGGCAAGATCCTGGAGAAATACTCAGGCAAGAGCTGTGCCAGCATGGTTAATTAGGCAAAGGAGGAAGAGGCACGAGCTGTGAGGAAGCGGCTGAGGTCTGCCAGCTCCCCAGGAGGAACTCTGTGCAAGCAGGGAAGCCGTGCAGCCGGGCTCCGCCAGTGCAAAGTTCAGGCAGATGGACGGAGTTAAACCAGACAAACACAGCCAGGTCCAGGATGGCGACTCCAGCGTTGTTATTCCCTTCCTCACCTCCCTTCCTCTCACCTGCTCGTTCCCACCCTTTCACACGCACTGCCGGGAGTCCCAGAGGGAGCAGAGCCTCGTTTCCCCTCCAGAAGGCATCAGCACGAGCTCTCAGCTCCCTTTCATCTTGCCCTGGCCACGTGCAGAGAAGAATGCGACCTTGCTCCTGAAGGATTTCCTGCACGCTGTCTGGGACGCAGCTCCGATTTCTCTCGGAGACTCCAGATGCTACACGGGGCTCCTCCTTTCCCTCCCGAAGCCGTATGACATCCAGGGAGCTGTCAAGCCAAGTTAAGGGTCCTCCTTTCCCCCTAATTGCAAACATAAGACAAGTAAAATACCTGTAGTAGTGTGTGCAGCTTGAGAGCCTGTGTTCAACAGAGGGGCTGTTCTGAAACCTGGAATAGCTGCTCTTGCTTCACGTGGAGTTATTTTACATTCCTTTTTCCTACAGCTTAAGACAAATAAGCTTTAGTCTGGCAGCACGTCTCCTGTGGATTGAAGTTACTGGGGAAGTTCTTGGCCACTTCTTTTGGGAACGCTTTTTAGGGGGTCGGATTTAATAAGGCATATCATATAAATGAGAGTTTGAGGGAATTTGGCTTCAGCCTGCCAGGGTTTCCTGTTTTGGTACAGGTAGAAAGGACAGGGCAGCTGGTTTTGCAAGCAGTTTGTTGTGAAGGCTGAAGGAATGCTTCGATGGCAAAGCTACTGGAAAATAGTGAAAAAGGGCAGAAAAATGTCCTGTGGGTCTGAGCTATTCTTGCGTGCTTCCTTTTTTCCCCTTCAGCTACCGAGTGCTGACGGGGATGTTCTGCAGCGAGGTAAACTAATTTCCAGCATTGTCTTTCCCCTTTTCACTGGTGCATGGCTACCTTGCAGCACTACGTGTCTCCTATTAAAGCAAACGAGACAGCAAAACCCACGGGCATTTCTCTGGGGGTAGTGCACTGCTTCTCTTGGTGGCAAGAGAACAAACAGGCTAGGTCTGAAAAGACTTCTTTGGGTGGCAGGCGGGCTGGGAGCACAGCTGGAAGATGAAAGATGGAGCTTCCCTGCCCCTGCTCGGGCTGTCGGCTCTGGTTTCCTCTCGGCAGGACTTCCACGGGACGGGGAAGCCGAATTGGCTGCGGTGTGCACGGTGCTGTCCCAAGTGTTTGAGTAATGGGGTGTTAGGAACGTTTTTATTTCATTTTGAATCCGGTTAATTGCTCCAGACTACGTTACTGCCTGCAGAACCGCAAGCAGGGGAGCTGTTGGTCCTGCCTGCGCCCCATGAGGAGGTGATATGAGTTTGTTTTACCCACAGGGGGATGTTTTTGGATTCTTTAGCCCAAACCTTAGCATTTGGTTGTTTTAGGCCAAAGGATCAGGGCGATTCAGTCCTTGGTTTTAGAGCCTTCGATTGCACTCTCAGGCTCACAGAGTGACGCGGGTTGGAGGGGGCCTCAGAAATTCTCTAAGCAGGGCCAGCCTTGGGATCCCACCAGGGTGCTCAGGGCCGTTTCCAGTTGGGTCTGGAAAGCCTCTGAGGATGGATCCAGGTTGCACACGTGCTGTGAGTACCCCAGAGCTCATCTCTGGTCTCCTAAAGAGCCTTCTGCTCTCTTCTGCTGCAGAATGAAGAAGAGGAAATCAAGCTGGAGATAAATATGCTAAAAAAATATTCCCATCATCGGAATATTGCGACATATTATGGTGCATTTGTAAAGAAAAGCCCTGCAGGCCAAGATGATCAGCTCTGGGTAAGTGTTAATGTTCCTTGTGTCCATCACACTCCCAGCTCCTTCCTTACGAGCTCCAGGATACTTGGCCTGGACCCTGTCTTGGTGAAACTCTGAAGCTGTTGTCCTGAGAGGTAATTTACAAAAATGGAACATCCCTCCTCCCTACACATCTTCCATCCTCCCCTCTGATTTCCTTTGAGGATGAGTGTAAAGTTTGTTATGATAATTGTGTCTTGGGTTGTTGATCGTATTTGTTGTTAGAGCTTTTTTCCCCCAAATTAAATGTTTCTGTCTTTTTTAATAAGGGTGAGAGAGAGCTTGTACTCTCATTTCCCCTCCTTTTTCTTGTCACTTTCTACACATTTTACCAGCTGAAAAAATAAAAAAAGCAAAAAGTGGAATTGGCAATAAAGCAAAGAAAAATGAAGCCTCCATTATTTTTTTTTTCCGCAAGATTTTTGGAGATCTGCAGCAAAATGAGAAATTTTAAATTCTGAAAAAATTCCCACATTTCTCAGTGCTCTTTTTATTCTTTGTTTCTGATTTATGTTTCTAGAATGAAAAGAATTCCCTGTAACCCATAATAAGAGAGGAGCACTCCTAAGTTATTTACTTATCCATTCATTCATTCATTCATTCAGTAATGTGCACTGTTCAGGAAATGAGATTCTGCATCATTTGGCACCCAGGAAGGTGGCATGTAATTCACCATACCTTGATCGTGGGGGCAGTGGGTGTCTTAATGGTACCTGTACTGGTGCCCTGCCAGTGCTGTGGTAAGGGTGCATTGCATTTGTCTCTCTGCAGCTGGTGATGGAGTACTGTGGTGCTGGCTCTGTCACTGATCTGGTGAAGAAGACAAAAGGGAACTGCTTTAAGGAAGACTGGATAGCGTACATCTGCAGAGAGGTTCTCAGGGTGAGTTGTGCCACCAGAGCTTTGTTGGCCTTTCCCAGGCTTTGCTCACTCATGTAGGACAATAACGACCACTGCTATTTTAAGGTTCTGATCCGTGGGGCCTGTGGGCTCTGGTTCACAAGAGTCAAGATGTTCATCAGCCCACAGTACTCTAATCAATCACATTTTCTGTATGAACACATGGGTTATAGTTTTCTGTGGCAAAGAGCTATCTTCTTCCACATCTTGAGATCTTACTGCTCGTTGCTTTGGCTGGTCATGCTGTGCAAAGTCTTTCTGCTCCTAAGTCTTTTACCTGCACACACTCTGGGGCTTTTTTCCACACTATTAAAAGCAGTGTTGGCTAGATAGCATTCCAGAATCTTAAAGGTTGGCCCTGCTGGGGCGGAACTCCCAGAGATAATTCTTGTAACTATATTTCATTCTGTGTCAGCTTAGGGCTATTTTTTGTTCCTGGAAAGTATAGAGAATAAAACAGTTCCTAAATGTGATCTAATGAACTAGCCTGGCAAATAAATAAATAAATAAAATGTTGGAAGCTGTCAATCTAAATTCAAAACCCATTACAGAGCTACTGATCCATCTTCCTTGCGATGGAGTCTTACTTCTTCTCTAAATAACAGTACACTAAATGCAAATTCTGGGAGCCAGAATTCAAATAGCGTGCCAAAGTAATGCTTGAACAGGGGTAAATCTTTGCTTCAGGAACAGCAGAATTGGGAAACATGCTCAGTGGAGAACATCAGCCATCTCACCTGGATTTGGCATTAGACTGTGTGTTGTAATAACTATAGCTGGAGGTTGTGGGGAGAGCTCTTCTGTGGGAAAAACTCCCAATGGTCTGGTTAGGTTGCTGTTCTTGTGTCTGTGTGGCTATAAAGCCTCTCCTAAAGCAGTTAGTGTTAAAACCTTTGGTTTACGCTCTTGCAGCTGAAAGCAATAGCAGCATGCTTGCATAAAACAAGCAATTGGATTGAACGCTCTTCATTTGAAAACAGGGAATAACTTGTTGCATCTGGATTGAAAATGCTTCCTTCTGGAAACTTTAGGGGCTGGGAGGAAGCTCTGTTTGAAGTCATAAATATTATATTGTAGAGGCTAAACATTTGGAGTGAAGTACCCCTTGGCTTACTACAACATATTATTTTGGTGTGTTCCATTCTGTCTGTGCTATCGTAATGTTACACGGACAGCTTGGGAAGGAAGGAGAAGCCAGAAAATTGCAAATACTAGCTGAATGAAAACAACGTGTGCCACATTCAAAAATGATCCGAGATGGTATTTTGAGCTGTATGTGGCGCATTTATTATTGAATGCAGAGTTTTGCTGTTTTGCTGAATGCAGAGTAACCCACTGTGGCCAGCCAGCTGCTGTCTCTGTACATCACAGAGAGCATTCTGCACTGCTTCTCACCTCTTTTGTTTGCTTTTAATGAGTGATACAAAGAGATGTCCCTTGATTCTAAGACAGAAGTAGGAAAATGTTGGTACTTTTCCCTTCACACTTGACTTCAGAGAGGCTCCACTACTGTCAGGCCTTCTGCTTGCTGTCTTCTCTCCTTGCCAGAACTGGGGTCTTCATGTTACTAATCTCATGTAAAGGGCTTTGCCCATGAATGAATTCTGAGAAGATAATAGTGTATAAAGGCAACAATGCCAAGCTCATGATGATGAGAATAAGGGAAGTCTCGCCTTTTTATTTTTAGGGCTTGGCACATCTTCATGCTCATCATGTCATCCATCGAGATATTAAAGGGCAGAATGTTCTTCTCACAGAAAATGCAGAAGTAAAACTGGGTAAGTTTCCTTAAAAGTTTCCTTAAATGAGTGCTAGAAACCTGTTTGTAAAAAATTTACAATTTCTATCTTACCTTGGAAAGACTTTAAAGGATATATTTAATGCTTGTGTATATAAGGTGCCTGTCGTATAGAAAGAGAGAAAAATGGGATGTATTCTGCAAGAATGTCACTCACAGCCTGTAGGAAAAATACAGCTACTTCTGGGCAGTCAACACAAAACCTGTGTAGTAAGTCACAGCACCACCAGGCCTTCACAGCAGATTCCTGGTGTACAAAACATTCCAAAAAACCCACCAAAGTTTGGAGACTACATTATGCTACTCTATTTGTCTATGGGAAGTGATCTTATAGATTTTCATAAATCTGATGATAGGTGAAATTACTCGTGTGAGGGCTGCTACTGAGGATTAGCTCTTACTAATTGTCATCTCCCAAGAATGTCTGCGAGTTTACTCATTTCCTTTTCTAGCTGTGGCGTATCAATGCTGACAACTTCTAACTTCCTAAGACTAAATTCAACTACATTATCTTTCTGGAAGAGGGGATGTCTTTCATGTTTTTGGAAGGCATCAGAGAGGATGCATGGCAGTAATTTAAAGGAGCAGGCTCAAGGAGGACACTTCTTTTATTGGGGATGGTCCTTTATTCTCCATCTTGTTTCCTCATCTGAAAGAAATAACTGTAGAGTTGGAGAAGAAGACTATACATAGCCTATGGATAAGGGGTAGGATGCTTGGCTGGAGCAAGTCAAAATAAGCATTAAAAACTAACTAGCTAAATAAAAGTGTTTCCAGAGAGATTTAGCTCTTAAAGCAGAGAAGCTGGAAAACCAAGAGGTCCTCAGTCCCGTTTCATTCCACTTCAGCGTAAGCATTATTTGTAAAAATTCTGTTCTCGTTTCCCATCAATTGCACAGAAGGCACGATGATCCCAAAAGTCAGGTCCAACTTCCTGTTGAAGATGGCTTGCTAAACAGGGATGTTAAGCAATAGTCGTATAAATGACCACGGTATGCAGATGGTCTGCAGTGAGGAAACATGGGTGAGAAAATCTGCTCCTTGATGGTATCAGCAGGGCTGTTTCTTTCCAGTCCTTTCTTTTCCCTGTTTTCTTGTCTTCTCTGTGAATAACACTCAGGTGCTGTGCCTGGTGGTTCCAATTAGTGCATCTGAGCAGTTCATTTATTGAAAAATATGATCACACAATTATTGGTTGTATAGGCCCTGCTTCATATCTGAGCCAAACCATTTTGCTATACAGTCCTGATGAAAGTAACATCCTTTCAGCACACAGAGCACCACGCAACTCTACAACTCTCCAATTATAATGAGGCTAAGATCAGAATAAACCCATATACTCTTCAGCCTGTTGTAAGCTGTTTTTGAATGCAGGGAAGGAGTTATTTAAAATGTGATTAATAATCAACAAAGTGATTATGATGGTGATTAGGTTATGATTTTATTATTTTTTATTATGATGTTATTATTTGGTGATTTTTTTTTTATTATGATTTCCAGCGTTCAGAAGTGGCCTTATTAGGCACATCCAAATTTTCCTTGTCCATAGGTACTATTTTTCTTTTTTAATACTAAAGATCTCAGGTTCTACTTAGTGTATCATATAGATTAAACATCAGTTATTCTGTACTGTCTTCATAGACCAGTCCATGTCTGTTGTAGCCTGCCTGTCAGATTTAGCATGCAGTTTATTGGATCATTCTTTCAAAAAGAGCAAGAGGCAGTTTAATTTCAATTATTTGACAAGATACGCTGTGAAAACTCATATTTGGTGCATACTGTAGCCCAAAGGTTTGGTATCTAAACAGTATGAAAGCAATTAAGCAAAAACTCTGCCACATGGATGCAACCATTCATTAATTTCTTTACCCCACTTGGCTTTTTAGTGGATTTCGGTGTAAGCGCCCAACTGGATAGAACTATTGGGAGAAGAAACACGTTTATTGGAACACCATATTGGATGGCACCCGAGGTCATTGCTTGTGAGGAGAACCCAGACTCTACATATGATTACAGAGTAAGTGTTATAACTCTGCCTAAGGTAGCAAAACACTCAAGTTCTGCATATGAAAATTTCAAACATCCCTTCTTTTAAACCACAATAATATTAAAACTGTACAAGTAGAAGTATTTGCAGTATGTGGGTGGTAGCTAATTTTTTGAGTGGAATTTCACTATGAGTATTTTTTGTGAATGGTTCATATGAGAGATACACATTCATGAACTATCCTGTTCAGTGAAATACTGATATATGGAGGTTGCAGGTCAGGATGGGAAAGAAAGGAAGAGGTAAATTTGAAAGAATGTCTTGAGAAACAGTGCGTTGGTTGTAATGGTAATATGGCAAGGTATTGCTCTTCTCTTTACCTCTCAGCCTGGAGCCTCCCAGCTCCAAGCCCTTAATAATCTCCGGGGCCCACTGCTCCACCTACCCCACTGCGCCTCATACTGGGGAGCTCAGACTTGGTCACAGCCCTCCAGACACAGCCTTGCCAGCGCTGAGCAAGTGGGAATTGTCACCTCTCCTCACCCACTGGCAGCGCTCATCCTAGCTGATTCTTCACAACCAATCTCAAGCAGAAAAGGCTGAATGAATACATGGGCCTTACCTGTTCTTGTCATATGCACTGGTTTACATGGTCCCTGCCATCATTTTTGCTCCTGTACAAGCACCTACTGATATGTTCTTCATTGATGCCAAAGACACAAGAATTTGTTTTATTTTTTGAGATGAGCTGCGTGCTGTGCATTTTGGATACCAGCAACAGCTATCAAACACTTTTCCTGGTTGTCCTTCCAGCTATTATAATGTACCAGTGCTGTTCTGAAGAGACTTACAAATCTTATCCTTTGTCCTCTGGCCTGTTTCCAGCAGTGTTGTTGTTTGCCTGTCTACACTTGCCCTGCAGGATATTTTCCAGAAAAGACTTTCTCAGCAACCCTTGCCTCTGGTCACTGTCTTGCTCCAGCTGTTCTCCTGGTTGCCACTTTGCACCTCTCATTTTAACAGTGGCTTCAGAAATTCTATTAGAAGAGCCTGTTATTACCTCCATTTTCTTCTGGTTCAGAGGCTATGATTCTTCCTTGTTGAGATCTTCTTCTGTGCTGCACTGGCAGTGTGAAATTGCATTGTGTGAGTGGCAGTCATGACCAAAGAATGTTCCTGGATTTTAGTTTTCATACCATGTGAATCTCATCGTGAAACCTCAATAAATGAATCTCTTGTCTTCGTTGATTTTCTTTTCCGGACATGTAAGTGTTAGGAACACGCACCCTACTTCTTGAGGTTCTCTTGCCTTCAATAACAAACAAGGTTCATCTGCTTGCCTTTGTGTCTATCTTGGAATAGATTCTGCAGATGGTTATTCAAAACTGGTCAGTGGAGGGGTTTGGAAGCATTACACAGACGGTGCTATGACTCAGAAGGTGGCATAAGGCCGGTCTTTTCTACAGAGATTTATGGCTGACCTGATGGGGAAAGTAAAAGGAACCCATTCTGTGGCGTCTGTAACTTCTTGTTGGTCCAGCTCTGTTGAAAATTTGACAGAAATGATAACAAATGAGTGAAAACATATATGCATAAATACATCTATAAACACATAGGCCTTTACAGACACTGGTATTTTCCCTTTCACCTGGCTGCTTCTGACACCTTGAAACACGAAACCAAATCTCTTTTTTTAGCCTGGTTGTTTCTCCCATTCTCCCCAGAGCCTGCAATACTGCCTCTAGAAGATTTTTCTAATTTTCAGTCATTTATTTAATAACAAATCAGGGTCACACCGGTTTTGTTCTCAGAAGCTTCTACAAATTATAACACGAACTGGTTTGCACAAAGCAGCTCAGAACAGCTGGACTGAGAAGGCTCTGTTGGTAAAGGCAAATTTAGTTAGGGTGCCAGGCTGGGTCTGAGCTGCTCTTCACATAACAGCATATTGTGTCTGATCTTTGAAGGTTTGTCTTCTTTTCTCCCTGTTAAAAGATAATTTGAGAGATCCCTCTGCAAGTTTATTTCATCACATGCCTCTCATCTGACTACATTTAGACACACACACACAAAAAAAAAGTAAAATAACGTACGTGATCAATCAGGTGGAAGCCTGAGAAGTTTTTAGAGGCTCTGGTTGTGTTCCCAGTTTACCTTCCATGCTCAAAACTTGGCCTTTAGCATCCAGATAAGCTGACAAAGAAAACAGTCTAAGTTAACTGAGTTGAACATACACTACAGCATAAATCTGACTGTGACTAAACCTCCTTTTGTGTGCCCAAAAACATGTGACTGCAGACTTTGTAGACAGAAAAAGTCAGACCCCAGGGCCTGGCTATAATTTTTGTTCTATCAGTGTAGAAACTCAGCAATGGCTATTGATACAAGCACTAAGACCAAGAATTTTTTGGCGCTGTTGTGTCTCACTGCCTCGTGACAACAGCTTAGAGACTTAAAATACATATTTAAATGGTGCCTGGTGTATTCTGGCTCTTTAGTTTATTTTTTTTTTGAATGCAAAAGGTTTACATTTTGGGGCTGGCTGCTTAAATGATGAATCAGCTACTCAGAGCTGCACGGGAAATAGGAAGCTTCTGGCTATTAGCACGTTTCCTAAAAGCTCAGGAGGGAGCGGGAGGGAGCAGAAGGTGTGTCACAGTTGCGTTAACATGACCTGGTCTGAGAGAATTCTAGGGGAACTGTAAAAAACATAACAAAAGGAAAAAAAAAAAAAAAAAAAAAGGTTGAGTGCTTCAAGTTGCAATGTGCAATGTGTGTTTTTTTTTCCCTGCAGAGTGACCTCTGGTCTCTGGGAATCACTGCAATTGAAATGGCTGAAGGAGCTCCTCGTAAGTGATTTGGTATGGGGAAAGGGGGCTCTGTGCTTTGTGAGTATGTTTTGTGTTAAGATAACTCATGGTTTTGGGTGGATTTTTACAAATAATCTGTGATTTTTTTCTCATTTGGCTTCCCTAAGTCCCTGGTTTCATTCGTTGCCTTCACATGCTAGGGAAACAACATTTTTCATGGAGCTTTTATTAGCATTACTTTGATCACTGCCTGTGGATACAACTAAGCAGAAGCGATGGACATGTTAGCAGAAATATTTGATGAGTGGTTTTGGTTTTAGGTCACTATTGGAGAAAAAAAATGGCAGTGGATGAAGCTAGGCTTAAAGGTTTTTTACTCAGGGCCTGACCTGATTTCTCCCGGGTTTTGGGGTGAATTCTGTATTAGCTCATACCGTGGCTTCAGTCCATGACCCCATGCAGCAGGAGTGCGCAGGGAGACCCTCACTGACCCTGACTATCCCCCTCACTCCACTGGTCAGTGTCTCATAGCCATCAGGCAGGAATTGGCAGCTGCAGGGTGGACGCAAGGACCTCGTCCATCTTCTGTTTCCACGGAGGACCCCTTGTTTCACCCCTGCACCCATGGAGCAGCTGTAATGTGAGGGTGTTTCTGGTGACTGCGGAGAGCACAGGACATGAACTAGATTATACTCTGGCCTGAGCTTGAGAGCACGTAGGCTGTGTTTTAAAAACACTCTTGGCTGTTTTCCTGTCAGACTTGGTTTTTAGCAGCACTCAGGAGCCAGCTGGAGCTCGGGAGCACTTTCAGGCACAGTGCTCCCGCCTAGCTAAAGCTTAGTCCCGAGACGTGAGTCCGCAGGGAGTCTCCTTGGAGAGAGCCTTTACAGCTTCACATGCTAATTCCTCATTCCACTTGTATTTTATGTTTTCACTAGTTTTGGCAGGGCATTGTAATGGATTATATTCTGTTGCATTGTGCTTTTTTTTTTTTTTTTTTTTTTACTTGTGCTGCAACAGACTCTGGGACTCATAGCTAGAAACCAGACTTCTGCCTGCCATCCCCACTGTACCACAAGCTATTGAAAATACAAAGGAAAAGACAAAGACAACCCAGATGTGAGAAACGATGGTGGGCAGCTACAGGCAAAGAAAGAAATAGAAGGCAGTGAAGGCTTTGCCAGGCCACAGCCTTCTCACTTTTACTAGCTCTGTAATACTGTAAATCTATTCATTTTAAGAGAATCACTGCTGAACACCTGCATATCATGAGAAAGCAGCCTCCGTATAGATCCTATCAGTAGTCACTGAGCAGCTCTGTTGTGTGAAGGAAAACCTCTGACCCTCGATATTTCTCCGTGACGGATGGGGGCATGTTCATAATTCCAGACAAAATGTCTGGGGTATAGGAGAGATGATGGTATTTACTTTTTTTCCAAGTTCTTTGTAGTTTTAGCTTTCCGCAACAGTAACACTAAACAGAAGTACATTGGCCTGGAGAGAAACCAGCATCTGAATGCATGGGGAGGATTTCTTACAGATTGTCTAATAACGGTGCTCATGCTCCCAAAACACAGAATAGATGAAATATGTGCTCAGCCATCACTCTCTGCTCAAGTGACACAGTTTATGGGCTGTCTGGTTCGCATCAGGTTTTCTTCATCATACTTTTTTGTCTTATGTCATGAGTGATATATCTTAGCTTATCATTTATCTGAACCATAAAAAAAAAAACACATTTAACTTCTGTTTATGCAAAAACACCCATTTGGTATATTAGAGATGGAAGGTTTTTTAATGTCCTTCTGAAGCCTTATATATATATATTAAAAAAAAAAAAAATGAAGAAAGCTGCAATCATTGTTGCCATTGTTGAGGTTTCTTTCAACTAAACCTCATTTAGCTGGCGATAACAATGTATTGTTGTGAAAGCTTTCTTTGTACTCTGAGACTTCATTTGTCTGTAGCCTGAATTTCACTGATGGTAAGGTGCTGTGGTGGGTGCTGTGCTGGAAGAACTGGGAGAAGCAAGTGGGGGTCTGCCTGGGTGGTGGTGGTCGGCTGTGATTGGGATGGGGGGATGTGTGCCCTTAACTGTGTGATCTCCTTTGCAGCCCTGTGTGACATGCACCCCATGAGAGCGCTCTTCCTCATCCCACGGAACCCGCCCCCAAAGCTGAAATCCAGAAAATGGTAAGGAGATATGTGCAAACTGTATTTTTGCAGCATTAGGTTTAGGAGGATTTTGAGCTCTCTTGTCCAGAGACTATGATCTTGTCAGATCCTGCAATGATTTGTGAGGTCTTTCCTCCACATCTGTGGTCTTTCTTCCACTGTTTATAGTGCTGGGGAAAGCCACAGGTGCAGATGTAGTTTACTTCTGGGAAGCAGCACCTTCCTTTTGAACTCTGGCTAAGCAGCAGCAGTCATCCCAGTCACTAAAGACTGGGGCATGGGTGGCTGCAATTTCAGTTTAGGTAGGCTGTTTGGGTTGGTTTGTCAGAAGATTGCATGAACGTTGTGGCAGTCCTTGTGGCTTAGAGAGAATTTGTAATATAAATGAAGTTTATAAAGAAAATCCTCCCCGTACCAAAAGGATAAGTACTTGTTTTTTTTAAGCTGTGTTGGCCAGATAGTGGTTTTGTTGATACTGATGTAAATTCAGGATAACTCCACTGAGAGGGCAGTCCGGGATGGAGTTCCCTCCTCACTCATCCTCAGTGCTGGGCTGGTGGCAGAACTCCAGTTCTTGTTTCACATAGTCCCAGTGCAAAAGGAAGCCTTGCAAATTTAGTGCTTTCCATCACTCTGTGGTAGTGTTTGGCACACCCTGCTATTCTGTGTTTTTCAGGTCAAAAAAATTCCTTAACTTCGTTGAAAGCTGCCTTGTAAAAAATTATTTGCATCGTCCACCCACCGAAACCTTGCTTAAGCACTCCTTTATCCGAGACATGCAGAATGAACGGCAAGTGCGCATCATGCTGAAAGACCACCTGGATAGGACCAGGAAGAAAAAAGGAGAAAGAGGTAACGTGGCAAAAACAAAATAAAAGGAGTTGCAGCTAGTAGGGTCCTCTTCTGATTTTTGGCAGCAGAGTACGAGGCAGATCCACCTGAAGTACCGGTACCACAAAAGCTGTGAGAAAGCTTAGTTGATGATAGCAGTTGGGCCATTTGGAAAATCTCTTTGCCAAAGCCCAGGTCCTTAATGGTGTTTTAAGAGCTGAGGTCTTTGGTTACTGACTGACACCGATCCATGGCACACAACCCAAATGCTGCTGTGACCAAGGAGTCCAAGTAACATCTAGGCCTCTGCTTTCTGGAGTATCTAATCCATACGCCATGAACCTTACCTAGTTTCTCAGTTCATCTGACGGTTCCTGATCTATTTAATTTACTGGTTGCATCTCCATATAATTATATCTCGTGACTACTTTGGGGTCAGTAGTGCTCTCTAAAGAGCATTTTGCACTGGAGTGCACAAGAGTCCTTGAGAAGGCCTCTAAGATCCAGTCACACATGGGTATAATTGTCTACTGCACAGGATGCATGAAGAAAGAGAGAGAATCTGAGGTGGTTCCAAATGCTAGGCCTGTTATTCAGAGCAAAACCTGGAAATAGTGTTGAAGTGGCATGTTGACCTGCCATGTAGAGAGCTGTAGCCTGCCACCCCATGATTTTCCCTGTCCTCTCTCCCCTCCTTCTCTTGTATATTTTATAATGGCACGGGTACTGTGAAGATCAGTGGCTATGAAGGCAAACTCAGAAAGCTCTGTTAAGTTGGAAAATGACTTGCCAAACTCTAAGTATCGATTTGACAAGAATATTTGTGCCTAAAATGGAATTGCTGTTGCAGTGTAAATTTACTGACTCCAATAGTCGACATAAATTCTACCATCTCTTTCGGCTGTGGATCTCAAAGCTCAGTTGAATGTAAAGACAGACAGTTAAAGGTTTTCACAAAAAATGCACTTGAGGGGGGTAAAGATGTGGTGATAACAATCACATGTTGACAGATAGTTTTATTTAGACATGGAAGGTGCTATTTTTTTTTATCAGAGCTCCCCTGAAAAGGAGAACAGTGTGAAACTGCCAGACTATACACTTCAAGTTAGTGATGTCAAAAAAAGTTAGGTCCTGCTTTGGTCCTGCTCTGTATTGTTGGCTGTATGGCATGCTAATTTGAAACCCTCCCTTAAAAGCTGCCTGTGATATTCTTTAAGAGACCTTTAAAAATATGGGCCACCTTCTCCTGAATGGCTGTGTTAAAACCAGCAATGTGTGATTATCCCTGGTTCTTTAATTATTAATTTTAGTACAAAAGGAAACACAGATTTACTGAAGGCCTCAATTTAGCCATGCAAAAAGCATACAGTAGCAGAGAAGGACTGTATAAGTCTTTTATGCCCTATCTGGATTTATTTCTGAACTAACCCCACTGCTAATGTTATGGGGTTGGATATCTCTGTGGGCTTAGTGTAGCATTTTACAGGTTGTGGAAACAGGTCAGTTTTGCAAAACCAGCCTAGCCCGTCAAGGGAAAAAGTAGAAGCGTGTAAAGGGACTGCCCAGTGACCTGTGGTCTGAGCTAGGTTTTGAGTTACATACCTGGATTTCTTCTGCTGCATCCCCTCAGCCTCCTAGAACATACAACCTGAGGCTTTTAAATTCCTGCTGAGCTGCATGTAGTTCAGATTGAGTGCTCAGAAGGAAAGTTTGAGATAACATCTTAAATAATGTCATCCTCCATTGGCATTTATTGTTCTCTCTCTTTTTTTTTTTAATAGAAGAAACAGACTATGATTACAGTGGAAGTGAGGAGGAAGATGATGAGCTGAATGAAGATGAAGGAGAACCAAGGTTAATTTTATGGCATGAATATAAAATTTGATTGGCCAAGCTGTTCTCATTGAAGACAGCTCTCCTCAGACAGATTGACTTTCTTAACTTCCTCTAAATCCCTTATCTCCTATATCCCCTCTGGTAGCTTTAACTGTTCTCTAGCTATTGAATACAAATTCTGAGTGTAAGGTGTCTGTAATAAGCTGCTGCTTTGTTCCCCAGCAATAGGGAGGAAAATCTCAAATGAAGCAGCCAATAATCAGCTTCAGGCTGCTTTGTAGCCCAGTAAATGCAGATGCGTAGCCAAGATGGCAGAGATTTATTGAAACATTTTCATTTGCTAACACAGGACAACGAGCAATTCCCAGTGCACCTTGTATTCTCTCCACTTTAATGTTATGTTTAGTCATAGAGCAACTTGCCTTTTGTTTCAGCTCCATAGTTAATCTCCCAGGGGAGTCAACTCTCCGTCGTGAGTTTCTGAGGCTGCAACAGGAAAACAAAAACCGTTCTGACCCTCATCGCCAGCAGCAGCAGTTGAAGGACCAGGAGAAATACAAGAAGCAGCTGCTGACAGAGCGGCAGAAGCGCATTGAGCAGCAGAAAGAGCAGAGGAGGAGGCTGGAGGATGTAAGGCCTGGCTTGTATTGCTGTTCCACATCCCATCACAAATAAAAAACGTGCCTGTAGAGAATAGTCTTTGAAAGGCAAGAAGGCTGTGTTAAATTGTCAGCACAACCTCTCTTGTAGTCTTTAACCCTGGCAGAACTGTCACTTCTGAACACAATGATATTAAATGATTTTAAAAGGGCTCTGTCCTTTTCCTGCTAACAACCTGCCCTGAGCTTTGGGCTCAGGGCGTTTGCTTGAGTTTGTTTGGTTGTGGAAGCCCAGGCAGATGGGCTGAGAGGTCCTGGTTTCTTTCTCGTGTGCATTGCCCAGTTCTGAGGCTGTCTTCCAGATCCAGGGTACTGGCCTCGCTTCTTTTTAAGATGTTACAAGATAGCTGCCTTTTCAGCTGTCTTACGCACTGTGATGTTGCAGGATTGCTAAATCACCAACGTGTCTCTTCTCAGGAGCATCTGATGAAATTCAGGCATTGTGCAAACACTCCCAAACTGGCAAAGCAGTTCCAGCAAAACTTGGGGACTCTGGAAAAAAACTTTGCTCGTCAAAATGACAGGAAGACATTTGTCATTAGATTAGCTGCCAGCCACCACAGAGAGCTCACATGCCTGCTTTAAATGAGTGGCAAATCTGTCCTTGGCTGCCAAAAGGGCAAAGGTTTCACTTCAAGTTTGATAGTCATTGTGGTGGCAATTTGTGGCTGTCTGCTCCTGCTGGGCTGTGTATCAGGTATCCCCTATTACTGAACGCACATCAGGAAACAGACCTTGTGATTAATAAATACTGGCATAAATAATTGGCAGGTACAAAAGGAAAACAAAATAACCAATGTTATTCCCTGGCTCTCTTCCAGCATCAGAGGCGAGAGCAAGAGCTCCGAAGGCAGCAGGAGTGTGAGCAGAGGTGGCCAGAGGCTAAGGATGTTCAGAGAAAAGAGGAGAGATGTAAGGAAGACAAAAGAGCTGTGGAAGATGATGAACGATTCATAGTAGACGGGCAGAGGAAATCAGAAAAGAAGCAGGTATGAAAGGGGGGTTTACTGGCAGCAATTCCCAGCTCCCTGTTCCTGTAGCTGGTGTCTTTCTCAGTTCCCTTGAGGGTGTTGCCATCCTCTGAGTCACAGACCAGAGAGGGACTTTTTAAATGTATTTACTGCCTCTTGTTCTCACTTGCAACCTTCTTTGGAGTTAACTGGCATGTTACTGAGTCACCTTCCTTATCTACAGCAATGACACTTCCTCCCCCTTGAGCGTGGCACTTCTGTCCCTGCTGCTTCTCCTCGCTGAAGTTGTCTTCAGTCACTTTAATCTGATTTAAGATATCTTTACCCTGAAAGCTTGCAGCATGAGCTCAACTTAAGCTTAAATCTCTGGAGTCTCCAGTCTCTCTTCAGATTGTGCAAAGGACAATCTCTTTTTCACAAATAAAAATGAAGTGGAGGTTATTTTTAACGCTGAAGTCACGTTGTCGAGTCTGGCGCCTTGGCCACTATGTTTTCCTAATGTTGCAGCTAGTGACCTGATTCATAATCAAGCATGGAGTGTTTGATCAAAGGCCTCTGTTTTTGGAAAAGTAAAAGGAAAAAAATGTGATTTTCTGTTGTGTTCTTCCAAAAGCTAAGCATAGAGTGTTTGGGATCATTTTATGCTTTCTGTTCCTCAGGTTTGCGTCTCTGCTGTCAGCCCTGCAGCAATTGCACTCGCTTGATTCTTTTTAAAAGCCAGGATTTCCAGCAGTCAACTTGATTGTCCTCTAAGGCGTTGTTCTCTCTGAGGTTCACCACTCTTTGCTTTCAGAAAAAAGTGGAAGACGTGCAGCACAACAAGAGGGTGCATCGAACCCTGCCCAAAGATCAGACGCAGCTGTTGTCTCTCCAGCATGACCATAAGCAGAAAAAGAAGGAGCCTTCCAAGAGTTCAAATTCAGCAGCACATCCTCCACCAAGCAACGCAGGCAAAGAGGTACCAACTCAGCCAATGTGGCATTTTGGTGCAGTTGAAGTTTATGACGCTGTGGTGGTCCTGAAGTAAAGAACGGGATGATCTTTAAACCTAAATCTGCAGCTTGACCTGTGTCTTTCTACACACTTTGCTATAAAGAAGCCTTTGATATCCATTAATGTAGAGGATAAGGAAAAGGAGGGGTTAGTCTCTGTCACTTGTAGTCAGGTTCAAAGAAAGGTGCGACTGTGGTGAACCGGGAATCATAATCCCTCTGGTCAACTAGCTGTCATTCCCTTGTCTCCCAAAGAAGAATGAATTAAGGTAACATCGTCTGAGGTTTTTACAGATGCCTTCACCTGATGTTAGGGTTCACAGAATTGACTCAGACACAGAACACTGTCATGCATTTCAAGCGTGGGTCTCTGTGCCCCTGATGTCAGGTAGTGATGCCTTTTCTTGTTCTTTGTCTCCTGGGATTTCAGGTAGATTGGATTTGATGGATAAGGGGTAGCCGTGTAAAGTCCTGGATTAAGAGTTTCACCCTTCACTCCATTTCACTCTTTTGTTAACTCTGAAATTATTTCTGCCATCCAACTCTTTCTGTTTACTGGTATCATAAGGGTAAAAGCTACAAGTCCATTTTACCTATGTTATCTCACTATTCCTACCACGCTCATTTTTCTTTTTGACATACCCTCAGTGTGTGAGCCCAGTTCTACAGCTGGTGCGATTGTCACGTTATTTGGCTGGGTCAGTGTCAGAAATCTCAGCAGTTTGCAGGTGCCTCCTCAGGGGCAGCTGTGTGCAAGTAGAATATTAGATGTGGTAGTTTGTGTATTCCTGACAAGGCAGGTTCCTCCCTAAATACCCAAACTAAGCACAAGGAGAGCTTGTGCATGCGTGTGTAGGAGGAATGCAGAGCGCTGCTTAGTTACGTGTTGCCGCAGTCTTTAAGCAAGTGCCCACTCTGATGTCACCTCTATGTGTGTGCACGTGCTGCAGCTGGCTCCCTTAAGTGAAGTTTTCTATATTGATAAGCAGTTAAATGAAACTCTTCTGCTAGGATTGTTGAAATGATAAATATCAATAACTGGACAGAGTCTGCAAACAGCTAAGCTGCAATAAGAAATGAAGAAAAGAACAGATACTAAGGCCCTTGTTAGAGCAGCAGTTTGTGAAAACAAGAGAATGTCTGATTGTGTTTGAAGTAAAACTTAACTGCCAAAAAATGCCCTAGATCCAAAAGCTTTATTGCATTGACTGGTTAAACAAAGCATTACTGAGATTTGAATGAACTCTTTTGGAAATCGGTATTTAGGTGGTGGTAGAGGGCTGGGTCTTATTCTGGCTGGGGAGTAAGTTGGGTGTGGACAGAGAAGTAAGCTGCTTTTGCTAAATACACATCACCAAAGTCATAGAAATGCTTTGCCTTTGCTAGGCTTTGGGTGTGTGGAGAGAATATGCAACTCTGTTTTATTTCATTTAAATTTCTTTTCTACTTCACTGTAGCTAGAAGTGGAAAAAAACTGCAAAATATCAGCTCAAATACTATTTAGTTTGGGCACGAATTTTGTAAACGAACCTTTAGTAGCAGAATGAAAAATATTATGGAGTCCAGTGTAGGCAGTCACCATTAACTTTTAATTTAGTCGTGAAATAAAATGCTACTAGTTGCAGGTAAGTTAGGCACATAAAGAAGCAAACAGTGTGAAAACAAAAGGGAAATCATATCCACAGATTTGCCTGCCTTTTGGGTTCACAGCACGATGCTGTTGTTTGTCATCATGGCTGCTATAATGTAGTCTGGTTTTGAGGGCAAATTCTTTTACAATATCACTTACTTAATCTCAAAACTTCTTGGAAGACACTTTGCACTAGTTAGGATTTTAGTGGAACAGGATTGCATTTTTTTGGTTAGAATTTGAGACTTTATAATTATGTCAGCACTCATAACGGCTTGTGACAATTCAAAAATGCTTTAAAGTTTCGACTATTTTTAACAGAAATAATTCAATGAATTCCTTCTTGCTAATAGTGATCTTCCCCAGTTCATTAGCTGAAAAGATGCCAATTTCTGCACTGGGAGAGATCTGCGCAGGAATAGATATAGCCTACTCTAGAGTAAGTTCTTTTTTTCCATAATTTGTAGGGTTCAGTTGCATTTGAAGGACAAGTTATTGACATAGGAAATCTCTTTGGAATTATTGTTCAGTTGAGATATTTAAAACAATAAAAGTAATTAAAAAAAAATACCCTATAGCCCTACAAAACCTCAAGTTTAATGTTTGGCACCACAAAGCCCTTTTTGGGGAATTCGTCCTCTTTGTCTTTGAGCTCTTCCTATGGCAGGCAGGTCAGAGCAGGTTTTCCCCGATGGGTGCAGATGTGAGCTCACCCCTGTGCTGTGTCCGATCCCAGCAGCTGATGAGCTGTGAGGAAAGGACTCTGAGCTCGGGCTTGGTGCTGCACCAATTCAGTGCCTGTGCCAGGGCTGAAGTCAGTTCTGGGAGCCCAAAGTGTTGGCTGCTTAAGTTTGTATCTGTGTTGCAATGCATTGCATGCAAATGCTGTTTGAGAACAAAGGCAGTAGTTGAATTATTATCTCTAGCTTAGTGAAACCACTCTAATTTTTCATTTTCTTTCTTGCTCATGGTAAAATTCGCCTTTCATTCTTAGCAGTTGCAAGTAATGAAAATCTGGCCTCAAAAGCAGTGTTACAGTGGAGTTCACCTTTTTTGCTTGCTTCCCCCCACCTCCAATTAAGATCCATGAGAATCATTTTCCATCTCCTCAGCAGGTTCCTAGGCTGTGTTCAGAGTACACTTAGCATCCTGACCTAGGCACAAACATCCAGATAGAGTGAGACCATTAGGAATGTGCGTCCAGACAGAGACAGCTGGGTGTGAGATGGTGTTATTCTTGCTTGTGGTGTAGAACTGTTCCTAGGCTGCTAAATCAGAGGATACGATAAAGATTTATAATTCAGAGTGGAAATCAGTCACGTTGAATAAAAATGCAAAGAGCCACAGGGTCAAAACCATAAGACAGACATGTTATAATGAGCAGTGCCCTCAGGAAATAGAAGGACCTTTGTTCCTCCTAGATCGTGTTCCACAGTCTTTTCCATAGGGCAGTTAAAATACCAAACAATAGAGCATTAAAAGTGTTTTAACATAGAGAGCCACTTGCAGGAATGTCAACATTGTAAAAGGGGGTAATAAATGCACAACAAAACAGGTTGCGTGCTGTCAAAGGTAAGTAAATACAGAGGGATGATTCCTCCCCAGCTAAAATCCTAGCCTGTAGCAAACGGAATGGCCTAGAATAAAGCTGACTGCAGCTCTGGCACGTCATGCCTTTTCTCTTCTCCTTTGCAGGCTGAGGACCGAAGAAAGAGAAGTGACGGCACCCAGCCCTCCCTCCAGTGGCCCGTGGTGCTGGGGCACGACATTGCGCCGCAGGCGAGGGTGGGCTCCGGCAGCAGCTCCAGCCCCTGCACTCCTGCCCTGCAGAGAGCTGTCGTAGTGCAGGTATGGTATTTCTGCCTAAACAGGGAGGAGAAAGCACAGGTAGTGCCTAAGCACATCAGAGACATGTTTCCCTTTGCTCCTGGCATAAATGACTGAGGCCTGCAGCAATCTGCCTCAGATTTTTAGTGCCACTGTGTGCTGCTAAGTTACAAGTGGAATTAGACTTGGGCAATGCAGCTCAGGTTTAGATAACAGTTATTTTTATACACTTGATGTCTGACTGTGTTGATTCTATGATGTTACTGTTAGATGTTTCACAAAAAGCCTGAAAGGCTGTTCTGTTACAGTCCCTGGATGATGTATTATTTATATGGTGCCATAAATATATGTGGCACTTCACAAAACAAGTCTAAAGCCAAGATCTTTATCCCTGAAGACCATCTACACGAGCAAGATTGTTAGGGATCATATGAAATAATCTAAACGTGTATATAGAGATGGAACGAGGACTAGTTGCCACTGCAGAGTCAGGTGTTGCCTGCGGATAGAGCCTGGGAAGTTTGTGAATTCCCATTTCTAGTCTTCAGGTGCTGCATCAGAACTTACTGAAGAAGCTGTTGGTTTCAACTACAGATGTAAGATCCGTGTATCTTAGGCAGTATACCAAAGTATGTACAGAATTCAGTGTTAGAGGTTAGAAGTCATACCTGAACAGGTCACTCTATGTATACAGTGAGAACACTGAAAAAGTTCTGCATCAGAATCCTTTTCACAGTGTTTTAATTCCTGCTATTTCTACCAGCTCTGGGAGAGCAGATTTAGGACTCTCACTGCTGCGTATGGCATCTGGTGGCCTCACTTCCCAGCAAGTTGGATCCCGGAGGCAAAGCAGGGAGATGAGACTGAGGAGAGGTGCCTGGGTTATTACTTTCAACTCAGCGGCTTTGGGAGCATCTCATGCTGCCTTGCTGCTGAGCCCTAACAGCAGGGCGGGCCCTCTGACTTCTTGGAGGCTACTTGCAATTGCAAGTCGTTACTATGAGGTGCTATCCCAAGTTTTTATGCTCATTGCTAGCCACTGAAATCTTGCTTGTCATGAGCTTCTTGTGAATTTACATCCTGCATGAAAGATACAGATGTGCCTGAAAGGTCATGCCCTTGTTAGCATCTCTGCATACTGATTGTGTTGAGCTCAGTGTGTCCCTACTCAGCCCTTCTTGCAGCACCGTGGATGTTTTGCCTTCTCACACTGTATTTCTCGAAGTAAGAGAAAAAACTCTCATCCCTCCTCCTTCCCGTAGAGCCTGGATGTTCACAGGGCAGGCTGCGTGGCCCAGTGCTGCCCTATCCTGCTTCCACGTATGCCTGAGAGTGAGTCTGTGCGAGGCAGGTAATAGCTGGCCGATAGCCTCTTTTAGCCCAAGCCTGCTGTGCTTTTCTTGTTCAGGTTGCTGCTGTCTGGTGGTGATGGAAAAATCAACACAGACATCTGCTGGGAAAAAAAGGGCCCCGATAGCTTTTCCCTGGGAAAATATTGGTGTATCTTCTCACATCCTTTTTTTTCCATGGCCCATTTGTCATTTTAAGTCATGAGTTTTGTGACTGGGCTAAATTGATGGCTTGGCTTGTAGCATTGCCTCTCTGGAGAGCTGGTGCAGGGTCTGCAAGAAGGATGTTTGTATCTTAGCCTTGGGCAGTGGCTGGCAGCTTCCTTGAGCTGAATATTTTGGCCTTGTAGTAGGAGTGGGAAGGCCCACAGTGTATTGCAGGGCATCTGGGATTCTGTTAGGATCACAGTGGGTTTACCCAGGAGAGTCCTGCCATGTAAAAGTGCTGTTCTATGGATGAAAGGGGCTACATCCTTGCCTGGCTGTGACCCAGACCTAGGACAAGTCACTTCATCCCTTTGCACCTCGTTGGTGCTTCTCTACTTGGTAGTGCTTCTCTACTGCTTTGGGGAGTGGCAAGGAATAAAGCAGTGTTATCACCCTCTTTCACATTCCTTCCTAGAAACTATATAACATTTTAATGCTATGTAAAGGGATGGTGTTACTTAAGGCTAACAGCAGCACCTGATATATAGTGGTTAGTGTGATTTCACTCCCTGCTGGCAGCTGCCCTGTTACCCCTGCACAAGTCAGTGCTCTGGCAGGTGGAGACTGTGTGGGCAGGGAGAAGTCGATCTGTGGTCTCCTCTGCTGTGTTAGCATGGAAACCCAATGATCTTCAAGAGGTAATTTATAAATCTTCTTAAGGGTTGTTTCCTTTTGCTCGTTGGCAGCAGCTGTTGATGCTAATAGCCGTGTTTTTGGCAGCGTTGCATATATTAACTTTATAAAGTGATAAGGCTATATGAGCGATGGGCCAGTTAGTCACCTGGAGACTAAAAGACTCACAGCAATGTACTCGGAGAGTTCAGTGCGTTGGAGCCTTGTTGATTTAAAATAAAAGTGAACGGTGGAGTTAAAATGCAAGGTGAATCCATCACAGATGTCTGTGCTGAAGAACTTCCAGACAGCTTTGTCAGAGAGGGATCATCTGTCATCACTGCTCTGCTCAGACTAAAAAGACTTCTTATTTTAAATGATCCTATTCTGTGTGGCACCTCTTTATTGCCTGACTCTCTGTCAAAATGATTTCCCTGGAAATCTTAATGCAGCTCCCGAGGTGCAGGGAGCAGGATTTCTCAGTGTCTTGTACCCTGTCTGTCTGGTGAGGGAAATGTGAGATATTCCCAGATCAGAGTGTGTCATTTCCACCTGCTTTGTACCTGCTTTGCCTTTGGTGAGCTGCAGCACGGCAGCAGGTCCGGCTCTCTGGCTGCAGTGTTGTGGGGTGAGCTGTTCTGGGCTACCTGCAGGATTTCAGAGACTTGTATATAAAATCACTGGGTCTGCTTCTCTGCCCAGTGTCTCCCAGGGTCTGAGTAGAGGAGGGATTTAGCCCACATCTGAAATGAACTCCTTTTTTTTTTTTTTTTTTTTAATTGATTCTGTGGTTCTCCTGTAGGATTTGCTATCTAGATCTGCTCTTCTGTCTGGAGTAATTTGGCCAAACACTACGATTTGGGGGTTATCTGAAATGTTTTTGGTTTGCTGTAGAATCGCAAGGTTTTGTAGGTCCTACAGAAATCATCCCAGAAACAGGCATCACTTCCTGGCTTTACATGGAACTGGAGTACTGGTCTGTCCCTGCCCAAAGAATGTACGTGGGTACCATCTGCAGAGGGTGTGTGCGGAGCTGAGAGTTCCTCAGTCACATCATGATTCAGCAAAGCTCACCCCTGCTTTTAAGCACAAGTAGTTTTCTGGTACTCTGCAGGACTCAAAAGCTGAAATTTAGGAAGAAAGTTAAGTGTCTTGTTGAAAAACTGGCAAGGACGAAAATCTTCCTATATTCTGATAATAATACACTTGCTGTAAAGCCTATTCCTATCCCCCAGATGAGTCACTTCAGGGGAACACTTTGCTGTTAAAAATAATTCTGGTTAACTGAAAACTATTATTAGTGACAATCATGTTGGACAAAAAAAGTCATTTTGACAAAATGAAAGGACACGGATTAGGAGATGTTCTAACTGCTGATAAAGCTATTTTCTTTACAGAGAGCGAACACAACATGTTCTCCCCAAAAGGCAGGGAAAGCACCTGAATATTTAACCAGGTGAACTCATCAGGACTGGTTTTCTGCAGTTGACTTCCCCTAGCTGGACTTGGAGGTGGTGGTGGGACAATTGCATGTGTGTTTGGCATCTTTAGATAGTTTTAGAATTACTACTTAGAGATATTTAAATGATCTACGGAGGTTCATATTTGTATTATGTTATTGAAAACCTGTGTGCAGTTCTGTTACCGTGTGTTACTTTTTAATATAGGTTACTTCATTTAAAAATGAATTACATAGTAGGTAAATAATACTGCTGTGCATTCATAATGTCTCTAGCTCGAGGGAACTGGTGAAAATTTTAATATGCTTAGCTGATAAATCAATAAAATATTTGTCTGAGTCATTCTGTGGGGAAACTGAACTGCAGCTGCCTCTGAGCTGAGCTGTAGTAATTTGATCGGGACACAAACATTAAAACTTTGACTCAGAGAAAAATTACCAGCCTCTTTCTTAGTACTGGAAGTGGTCGGGGTGCTGTTTTGCAGTCTGCTTGAGATAAGAGGTGCTTCCCACTGGTAATGTACAAAAGCTCAGTCCAGACTGGGGAAGGACAGCAGCTGGCAGGCATCTCATAGTGTTCCTGCTGGCTGCCGGTGTCCCCGGGGAGCCCTGGTCTTGCTTTGCATGAGAAGAGAAAGCACAAAGTGGTATAGCTTCAGGCACTTATCTACTAGTTTTCTATTTCTGTAACATTAAATTGGTTCTGGCATAGGAATCCCTCAAGATGGGCCCGGCTCACACAGCATTTCCATGTATTCTGTCTCAATCTCATGTCCAAGAGGATTTCTCATTTCAGGAAGGATCAGTACATTCGGTTGACATTTTTAGCTCTGTTCCTTTCTTCCCCTTTGGAAGACTCAAGTGTGATAGATTATTAATGCACAGAATTTAAAGGACCTCTCCTTTTTATTTATTTATTTTTTTAATACAGAGAGAATTAGAGGAACAAATCTTGAGTATTTTAGATTAAGTTGTACACTGCTAACATGTTATTCCATTGGAATGAGCATTGTATTCCCCCTCTTCTCTCACCCCAATTAGGGCATTTGCTATCCTAATGCACCAATGTGATGCCCTCAAAGATAGCTGATAGCTATCTAATGAGATTTGCACCAGCTCTCCGGTGAGTCAATGCTACACGCCAAGCTAGACACAGGTGATCTCAATGGGAGCACCTGGCTGTGACTGTGCAGGAGGTATAGTGTGGGCATAGTTTCTAATTGCTTACAGCAGGCTCAATTTTTTTTTTTTAATGCACCTGTAAATTTCTATTGTAAAGGAGGTCCAGGGCAGTCTGTTGGAGAGTTAGAAGCACTTCCAGGTGGCAGTTTGACTGCAGTGGCTGTAGGTTGATAGTGGGCTTGCAAAGACTAGCTTGGAAGGGAACGTCTTAGGTAGGGGAGTGGGATTCACCCATTTATTGTTCTGTCTTAGTTTTGAAATGGGTCATTGGTCCTGTGCATTGCCAGTGACCTACTAGCTTCTCCACAGACATAAGGGTGGGAGACGTACGTATAGCATAGATGTTTTTACTATTTCTTTATGTTGTGCCCTTCAGCTTGAAATATTTGTGCTTAAGATGGTGGAAATCAATAATTTTACAGTGAACAAGGTAAGTCTGTGTCGAAACACAATACTTGTTACACATTTGCTAAAAATTTGATCTCTCAAACAGAACAGTTGATATCTGTTGGCACTGGGACATGTTGTAGAGGCAGAGAAGTACAATTCACTCTGTATTTCATTTGTTTCAAGTGTGACAATTTCCGGGCAAGTAAAGATGCGTACCACAGCAGCTCGCTGTCAGATATGGCAACAATACCAGTCAGCCCTGGACAAGATGATGTGTTCTGGAATGAGATTCAAAACGAAGAACAACCCCCGAAGGTATGTGAAATGCTGCATGTTTGGCACTGTCTGAGCTCGGTTCCCTGCTCTGTGTACATCCACCCCCTTTGGCTTTATGAAGCTGAGTGAAAATCCCATCAGTTACCCACTTACGAGGTTTCACTAATCTAGAAAGAAGACTATAAAGATACGATTCTGTACTGATTAAGCAGGTGAATGCTCTCAGTGTATGTGTATAGTATCTGTGGGGTCAATGAATGCAGATACCCTTTTTTGTTAGACCCAATATTTGTAGCTTCCCTTCCTGTGCACAATCTGGTTTGTTGCAGAAAAGCTCAGTAGTTTGTATAATTCAGGTGATGGTGTACCAATTTTTTTTAACAGAACTCCTAAGAAAAAGGGCAGAACTCCTGTGTGGGGATGTGTGTATGTATGGGCATGCATGTGTGTGAATTTGTTTTATTACTTTTTGGGTGGGATGTGTGTGTGTGTCTTTTTTTTTTTTCTCCCCACCTTCCTCCCCTCCCCTTGTATATGCACACTTTGATAGCAACATATGGCAATCCACCACCTAGGTAAAGCTGCATTAATGACTGCAGACGTGTTACTCTGTCTGCTTTAAATATTGACCAAGAATAATGCTGACTACAGGGAAAGGTGCAAACCACTCACAGACTGCACCCTGATAGATTGCAGAGGCTCAGAGCAAAATGGAAGTACCTGCTGCTGACTCACAGCTTCCAGTGTTGATGTCATGAAAGACAGCTCCACAGGTCCCACTGAAGCATTGTTCTTTTATGTTGGTTAGTCTCCTTTCTGTATTGTTACAGGGTGAGCATTAGGTTTATTAACTGAGTCTGTCAGTAGCAAATCAAAAATATTTGATTAAATCCTTAAGGTTCCAGAAAGGACAACCTCTAAATTTTACGGCAGGGATCAACCTGGCCATCAGAGATGCCATTCAAGGTAAGTTCCTAAGTGTTTTATGCTTATACTAATGCTGATTTATTGCCAGTGGGAAAACTGAATCCAATTTATTTAAAACCAAAGCCATAACCTCAGTAACACTAAAACTGTTTTAGTAACACTAAACCTGTTCATACCTCATTTAATGGCAGTTACAGTTATTTTGTGTTTTGTGTCAGTCATTCAATAAATAACAAACCAAATCTCTTGATCTTAAACCTGAAGGAAGCATCTAAGCTAGCTTCCTTTTAATGACTAATGTACATGATTTAAATACAAACAAACCTATTGTAGATTGCTTACTTTTCATGCAAGGTAGTTCTGTGTTCTAATGGAAAGCAACATTTGTAATATATAAAGGCTGTTCCACCTGTAATAATTCCTGCAACGAGTTGTTTCATTTGTTTCAGTCTGCTTGGCTTGCCTGAGCAGTTTCCATGCAAGTTCTTCATTGGTTTCCCAATTATGTAGTGCAGTAATTTAACAGCTGCTTGTGATTTAGTACTGTTTTACCGTCTGTCCCTTCAGGTCAGAGCAAGTGACTGCTGAAGGTGCAGGTTGCTGGAGATCCCAGCCTGTTGACACCTGAGGATGGCAGGGGCAGTGGTGCTAGTGGCTTGGTCAGGGTGCTCATGGAGATGCTTTGTTGTGGCACTTCAGGGCCTGCACCATTGTTTCAAAGAGGAATTCTTTGCCTGGATACTTCAGTGACTTTGGCCTTGGCCTCAACTCCCTGTCTAGGCACTTTAATTATAGTTTGTGAGTGAAGCTTGTGGCTGCAACTTTGTTCTGCCTGATAGTAGCTTGAACAGACAAATGTGCTGTATTTGGCAGTATTCCAGCAGTCTGCCCTTAAGGTGAGTGTACTTGGCATCCCAGAAGAAAAGACCAAGGGTGCAGAGAGCTCAGTGGTGAAGGGTAGCCCCCACAGGACATCTCATCAGGGAACAACATAATGCAGGGAGGAACTGGGTTTGCAGAGTTTTAAAAGGGAAGTAGTTTCAGCTGACCTAACAGAATGATGTACAGCACTTTGGAATGGTTGCTTGTGTTATACCAAAGTCAGAAACATCACCTGAAACAACTTTCAAGTGAAGTCAAACCCTAACTGCTCTCTACATAAGAATTAAAGGAGGCAAAGCAGAAAAGAAACATGAAGGCAAACCACAGTGTTAAAAGTTAGGGGCTTCTTAGCCTGGGATTACTGAGTGAGACTCTGTTTTACTTGGCAGCTTGTTTTACTGTCTTGTATATTCCTTTCTCCACTGATAAGTGGGTGATGATGTATCTTGTAGGAGAGCAGGTTTCATTATTTGTAAAAGCCATGAGATTTTGTAACCAGGAGTGACACTGGTCTGAAGAGGCCAAGGGAGAATTGAGTAGGGTATTTTGTGGTGACTTGGGACTCTGCATTCTCCTGGAATGAATTCCCAGAGGAAACTGTCCCTTCCCTTTTCTCTTGCCATTGGGTGGCCCTGCCTGGAACACCACGAAATGCAAAGATTTTGCTTATAAAGAATATTATATCGTATGCTGACAGCAGGGAGCTTGGTTCAGTGGCCTAGGAGGTGCATTCCAGTCTGCGTTCCTAAACCCAAATCGCCTGATGTGCTTTCTGTCTTTCTGTTTAGTAACAGTCATCAGTTGTCCCCCGGGGGCCATGCTCTGAAGCTAAACAGCAGCAGCACTCCTGGCAGCAAGCAATGGGAGATGGGATCTCATCAGAGCGGCCGACCAACCTCAGGTGATTCCCAAGTCAAGGATTCATCAGTCACAATGTCCAGAGTTCCTATCATGTGAAATGGATTTCTGTAGGGTGTCAAGTGTTGCACTGTAAATGTTTCTGTGGTTTTTTTTTTTGTTTTTAATGTCTTCTGGTGATAGGCTTTTGACAGCCTTCTTGGTTTTATGGTTCCATGTTCCTAAAATATAAATACTTCCCTTTTTGAGTCAAAAAAAAAAAAAAAGACTCTGAATGTACTTCCACACAGAAAATTTTAATTACGTCAATTAAGAAGTGAAAAAATCAGTTCTGTTGCACTTACTGACACCACTGAAACTCAGCAGAGCCAACATTACATACACAGATCTAGTTCAACGCTAATGTTCACCCGTTGTCATTTTCTGCATAACCATATGCTGCTTTTTTGCATTGCCCACTAATAAGATGATACAGATGAGCAGTTGCTGTACACTAATATTTCTGCACTCTAATATTGTGCTGGCTGAAAGAAGCATAAGGAAGCACATAAGATTCTCCATGCAGCAGCTTGTGAAACATTCTTCCTCTACTCCTACTTGCAGAAAGATAGTGGAACTGAGAAAAAGGAAAAGGAAGTTACACGTGGAGATGGCCTCATCCAGTGAAAGCACAGTGCAAGTTTTAAGGGATCTTGATGTCTCTGGTAGCGATGGAAGAACACAGTGGGCTTCCTCATGGTTATGCAGATTTCTGTGCACTACAAACTCTATTTCCTGAGACATGAACTGAGACTCAGGCAGAAGGGGACATGGAGCAGAAGAGGAGGGGTTTGTTCCTGTATTTGCTGTTCCTTAGTGCCTTTCCTGTGGGTCAAATCTGGGGCAGTTTCTTGTATAGCTCTTTGCAAAGCACTGGTGTTTTACAGTGCTTTACATCCAGGTTGATGCAGATGGGTGACATGGGGAATCACGCCCAAGACAAGACAGGGTGGATGCTAAAAATGTTCGGAAACCACAGCAGCGAGCTGCTGAGGTAATTTATTTTTAAACTGAGGCTCGCATTGTTAATTTGAAAACCCTTGATAAATGAAGAACAAATTGCTTATTTATTACATTTACACAACCAAGCCAATTTTGCTTTCACTAACCATGCAAAGTAGGAAGCTTTACTTCAAGAGAAAACCAGAGCACAGTTTAAACTGCTTGGGGTTTGTTTCTTTTTGCTCTTATGTCATTTTATATTTGAATAATAGCATAATGATGAGCAGCGTACAACAGCCCAGTTCAACTTTGCAATGTCTGCATGATGTGTAACTCCTGTGCTATTTTGGCATGGGGAAATGAAAACCTCACCAGCCATGGAAAGAATAGAAAACCTCCCTCGTGGTTTAAACTGTCTCCTTGCGTTCTTAAGTGTCGTTAAATTACAGCTAGTTCTGGCATATGGTGTTCCAGAGTTTGTTGCTTTCCCAAACCCACAGGGATAGTGAATTGGGCAGGAAAGGGCTATAAATACTTTAAAACTAATACTGCTGCTGAGTTGCTTAGGTACTCATTGACCAATAAGGAATTTTGAGTTTTAAAAGCTTTGCAAAATGCATGAGTACCTGAAGCCATTGTGATAAAACTAGCTAAATTACCAAATACAAATCTTAATTTGCGTGAGCTTGAACTCTCCCCCTGTTACCTTACGAGGAGTCCTGTTGGTAGCAGTGGGACAGTCATGAAATAAACTGCTGAATGGGGTAGCTGTGTGCCCTGCTGGCAGGGTGGGGGCACGTCTGCCTTCCCTCCCTTCACTTGTATCAGGAGTTGTGTGCAGAAGACAGCATCTCTCCAGGGCTGCTCTGGCTCTTCCCAGGTAGCTTTATGGAGGTTAGTGAAGAGGAAGGTTCACTTGATCTCTTGGAGGCATCCCTCCTAAGATGGCATCATCACATCTGGGTGGCCTCAGTAGCCCTGCGGGTCCCCAGCCCAGCACCTGGGAGGGAAGCACGGGGCCACAGCTTCCCTGTCACCAGTGCCTGACCTCAGGCAGAACCCTGAGGAGCCCCGTGGGTGCTGGTCCTTGCTACCCACTTCCCTGCAGGGCAGAGTGGAAGTGGGAGCTGAGAAGTGGCTCAATGGAAATTTTTTTACAGGGAACCCAGGAGCAGCCAAGGGAGAGAACGCTTTGGCCCAGAACCACCTGCAGCTGCACAAGAAACCTGAAAAAGTTTCTCATCCAGGCCAGGTTGAGGTAGGCTCTTCTGTATCCACTGCTATTTCTGATTGATTCATGGTTTTCACTGAGGGCACGCCTGTGCAGACAGCTCCTCTGTTGGTGCTTGAGCTAGCTGGCTAAGTAGTTAAGTCCATCCAAGAGGGTGGGCTGGAGGTTTGAAGACAAGTCATGTGCAGGCTACTGCTACTAACATGAGAGCACATACCTGATCTCCTGTAGGACTGGGGTGTCTGGAGGTCCCTTACTGGGACAGTAAAATCTTGCCCATGGTATTTAACAATGGGTTCTTCATTGAGGAAAAACTGAGTTTTCTCTGTTCAGAGCCCAGTCTCCTTTGCCAAGGGGAAGGACAGCACCGGTTCGTTCTGGAAAGCAGCAGACTACTCCTCGTCAAGCGACGAAGTCGGCAGCAGTGATGAAGATGACATGAACCACATGAGGTTGGCTTGATTTATTTTCTCTTTTTATTACACACTTACAAATATCTGGAAAAAGTTGGCATGCATAAATGCCTCCCCTCTGAAGTTGCTATCAGTCATTTATGTCAGCTGTAATTAAGCAGTTTAATCTCACTATAATGAACTCCTGGGGGTAAATGTTTGCTCCATCAGATGTGTGCAGTGTAATAAGCTTTGATGACCTGCTGCCTTGGGACAATGAGGAAATGTCTCGTTTTAACTGAACATCAATAGGTAGTGCTTCTTCAGAGATTACTTCACATTGATCTACGTTGAAATGGAATTTTTAAAAGAAACAAGGAGAGCTGTATATCTTCATGTTAAATACAGATCGGTGCAAAAAGCAAGGCAAACGTAGCGCTTGTCTTCAGATGGTCTGTTCACTCTAGTGGAAATAATTACCACTGAAAAGCTGATTATTTCACCTGGGTTGTTTATAAAGGGGGGAGGATTCGGTTTTGTAGAATTTGCTGTGTTTTTAGTATTGTTATTTTGCACAATTGCTGCAGTTACGAGATTGCACATTGTAGTTTCTACCAAGCTGATCTCACATGAACCGCTTCTCTTTAGCTTTCCAGTTTCTCTTTGTGATTTTGTGACTGACATCTTGTGGTGTTTTACCTGTCATGCAGAATGTGTATTCTGCTGTGAAATAATGGAGCGTGAATCTCCTGCTTGTCCAAGTGAAAGAGGGGATCAGTCAGTCAGCCCTGCTGCTTGGAACAAGAAACAAAATGGGTTTTCAGTATTGATGAACAGAACTTTTAATTTTCTTGCAAAGAGAACTTCAGTTTATTTCAGTTCCAGTATTTACTTCAAAGTGCATCTCAGCAATACAGAGCTCTCTAGGATGAGGCTTTTGCTCTTCTGACATAATTGCACGTGTGGTTTTGTCAGTCCTCAGATGGAGATGCACAGATTTGTAACGCTGTTGGCAAGCTCTGGCATTGGCCTGATACCAGTCCTTTCCACTGTGCTCCTCTGAATAAGGATTTTGTACCTGCACATGTTCCCGATTTGCATTTCTGAAGTTCATTTTCAAAGCTGAGGGATAAGGAGGGATAATGTTAGAAAAAATACTGTAGTTTATTCACCTGAAAAAGCTGTCTTTTTGCTGTAATGCCTTATTTTCTTACTGTTCCTCTCCAAACCACATCTTTTTGCTCTGTAAAGTTTTATTTGTTCTAGGTCATAAAATTCATCCTAGACTTCAGACTCCACATAAAAATATGGATTTGCCCTGTAGCAATGACTTTGCTACATGAGTGTTAGGTTGTTGCATCCCTGTACGCTGTAATGATTTGGAGGTGTCCCACTGCCTTTGGAAATCTGCACGTGCTGTGTGCATCTCCTGTGTGAGACCCACTGGTCCTTTGGAGAAATGGGGTCAGCGGGCTGATCCCTGTTAGGTTGGCCTTCTGCACACACAGCCACTGCGAGAACCTCATGGAAACTGGAAGTGCAGTCTTAGGAAAGTCTCTTCACCTCAGCTGAGCATCATTTATATTGAAAGATAGATACTTGAGGAAATACATCCTTGTTACTAGCAAGTAAATAGCGCACACCAGTGTTTTGTTTTAAGGAGGGATGTCAGTGAGCACAAGCCATCATCCTACCTGCTTGTGTAGCATATCTATTCTGTTCATGCTCATCTCTCCCACTCTACCAAGGCTGTTTCCTTCTTTGATACCTGCAGCATTCAAAATCCCCCTAACAAACAAACAAACAAACAAAAAAACATGTTTCCTGTTGCTCGTTTTGTATAATTGAGTTTCTTCTCTCTGCTCTTTGCATGCTGTTCATTACCAAATTCAAATAACATGGCTGCAGGTGTGTTCTTGACTGGTAAGTACTTACTCCCACCAGTAAATGGGAGGTTGCTGTCATTTAAGATCAGGACCTTGCGTTCATCAGTGATCCTGCTCCATGTGTTGCCATTCCTCCCAAGTTCAGCATGCAAATATTTATACCTCCCGTAGGGGGAAAAAAAAAATTACACCTTCACACTCATTCATGTTGTTTTAAAACCCAGATACAACTTGGCAGGGTAATAGATGCTCACTCTGGTCTTACCCTGTCTATCAGGACCTGTTTTTGGTCGCCATGGAAGACAGGACACTGGGCTCAGTGGGCTTTTGGCCTGACCTAGTCCTTCTGTCCCTGTGCTTCTGCTGCTTTATGTGTGAAGTGAGCATGGTTGTGTTTCTTGCACAGAATGAAGTCACAGTGCAGTCTGTCCCAGCTGGTGAGAGCAGCATACAGAGGAGCAGCAGCTCTCCCCAAGTGCAGCTGATGCTGGATTTTTGGGAGCAGGGTGGCCAATGTTTCACCCCTCAGGGTAGTGTACGAGGGGAGATGGGAGAAGTTTTGAAGTGGGCTGCTCGATGGACCTGCTGGCACTCACCTTTAGCACCTGTCAAAATGATGGGTGAAGGAAGGGAAGCCTCCAGTGAGCTGGGGAGAGCTTCCTACTGGGAGCAGTCCTCGAGTACCAGTCCATCCAGGCACATCCTAATCAACCAGCTTTTGTACCAGAACCCTGACGTGTAACTAGTGAATGTTAATTACGCTCAGTTGAACTCGTGTATATGGAGGTCTTTTTTGTGGGTTTTGGTGTAGGGTTTTATATTTTTTTGGGTTGTTGTTTCCCCCCCCCCCCCCCCCCCCCGAAGTAGTTCTATTCATTAATTGGAGTTTGTTACCAGGCAACTGCTGAGCAGCAGAGTGGCAGATTTCTCAAGGACGAAAGTACCAGATGGGATTGAACTGAAACCCCAAAGCACCACTGCAGAACAGAAGGTAATTTGGCCATTTGTAAGGGCTCGGGTACAGTGTGGGGAGAGTCAAATTGTTAATGGACATGATAAACTCTGTATCCACTCCTTCTCAGCAGCATTTTCACTCTGAAGTCCTGCTCTGTCATTTCAAATTACAGCTATAAGCTTTAAAAAAGTGCATACTGTTTCAGGTTTTGTGCTTCCTACAATCAGGCTTATGTCTAGGTTCAAAATTGCACCTCGTTATTTGTCCTTATTACTGACCCGGTAGTAGTGGCTGATGCCAACTTACTCTGCATGAAGGCTCTAGGCAGGTTGCAAAAAACAATCCTGTAGATTATAGTCAGCGTGCATGGTTGCTATTTTTAAAAATGTTGACCTTCTTTATTCCAATGTAAAGAGAAGTATATTTTTTAAAATATTACTGAAAGATGGGAAAAGTACTTCATCCCTCCCCACGGGCTTAGCAAAAACACACGTTCCCTTGTGTGTCATGTTGTGGTTCTTTCCTATCTATAGTTTGTAGCAGAGGCTTCAAGTTGTGTGGATTTTCCCCTGTGATAAATATTAGTGCAGAAAAGATGAAAACAGAGAAAGCAGAACAATGTTCTTTGTGGTTGAAAACAAAAAAATTACAGTAATAAGACTTGCTCTCAACCTCAGAGCATTTCTCACGTATTACTGAGTGTATTCTTGTTTCACAGATAGGGAAAAATAAATTGCCACGAAACTGGCATTTTCCCCTGAGCTTCTTGTGTAAGCTCTGACAGAGTTAGGAAGAAAAAGGAGTTTCCTTTGCCTCTGGTGGGTTTTGTAAGCTTCAGACCAGAGAGAAATCTATCCAGGCTGGCAAAGGAGTCACACTTTGCCTGTCTCCCACCATTCTTAAGGAGAAAAGACCTTGCTTTGATACATGGGGCACCAGACTGAGCCATGATCTCAGCAGCTCATGCTGTTCATCTTCCTCAAACCTGCACTGACTCCAATGCATTATTTTAAAGCTTACTGTTCTGTACCAGAAATGAAAGACTGGTTACCATTTCAGAGCAACAGCCTGACAGAAGAGGTTGTACTGCATTTAATAATTTTACTTTCAGATCCCTCCATCTCCACCTGCATAGAGGTGAAGGAAAAAACAATACCAGCTCCAGGCCCTTTCCATCTCCCTTGCCCAGTGCCAGAGCTCTTTCCTGGCACTCCAGCTTGAGCCTGCCCATTTCCTCCTCATGGCAGAAACAGCCCAGCACTTGCTCCTTCCCTTGATATCTGGGTGCTGGACATAGGCTGCTTGAGGGTAAGGAGAAGTGATGGGGTCTTTGAGACTCAGAATGAAGGTGGAAGAGGAAGGAGAAGAGTGGAGATCACGTTTTCAGTTGGGTTTAAGGAAAATGACCCAGGAAAGATGACAGATAGATGATTCTCACCTCTTTTCACCAATCTCTCTGATGCCTTCCAGAGTTTTCCCTTCTCACAGAGAATCCTGTCCCTTCCTCCCACCTCTGTGTCACCACCCACAGCCACCATAAGAATCCATGAATTCTTCCAACATCCCTTTCCTGTCCCATTTTGAAGTGGTTAGGGTGTACCAAGCTGCTCAAATGACTCAAATGGGAGTTTGGCTCAGTTCAGCTGAATCTAACTCTAAACACAAAAGAAAATTTTAAAATATCAGAATTAAAAACGTAAAATGCCTACAGCATCGATTTTATTCCTGGCTAATTACTTGGCTTTTAAAAGGCAAATGTCTTTCATTCAGAGTTATCCGCTATATTTTGGATATATTGACCAGCATTCAAAAAAAGCTGAGCTGATTTCAGTAGGTTGTTTATCAGTCAGTGCAGTGTATAGACGTGCCTTGAATTCAACCAGCCAGAAGCTGTTTGAGTTTGATGGTGCTTTTTGCTTTGGCATAATTCAGGAGGAATATTGTTGAGTAGCACTTGGCTCCTGTTGCTTTGTGTTCCTGTGCTGATGGTATTCGGGTAACCAGACCTTTCATGGCCGGGGTAGGTTCCTCTGCATTGCCCTGTCCATCTGGGACACTGCCTGCTTTACGAATCCCACCTTTCTTCCTCTCAAAGCTTCTAGCTGTGTTTTTCCAGAAACTTCCAGTGTCCCAGTGAGTCAGTATTTAAGGCTGTCAGGGGAGAGAGCTTGTACGGTGCCTCACAGCTTGTACAGTATTGCTAGTAGGATCCTACAAGGAAGGCCACGGTACCAAACCTCATTGTACTGCAGGTGCTGACACTGGATCCTACTGAATGTGATCTCTCTAGAATAAGGTTTCCTAATTCAGTAAGTGGGAAGTAGAAATGAAATGAATGGTAAGGGGCTTTAAAATATATGCAGCTCCTGAGCTGAGAAGTACCTGCTTCTGACCATGGTAGAGGTTAAATCTGTACTGTTAAAACAAGTCATTTGATTTTCTGTCAAGTGTCTCTGAGGATGAAGTTACTTCTTTAGCTATAGCTTGGAATATAGTAGATGAGCAGTGTTTCTGGAGCATTTTGGGGGTGGAAGCCAAGGTTGATATCTCAGGTGTTTGCCACGTGCTTTTGTATTTTCCTGTTTTTTAATCTTTCTGTAGTGTTTGTCTTTATCCAATACATCACATAGAGCACCCCTACTCATATCCTCATTATTTATTGTCCTAATTAACAGGGGGTGCATAGGGCATTGGAAGTATATCAAATGTGGACTTTAATCATGTTTTCTCATGTACAGGATCAGATTTTAGGGAAACAAATTTCTAGCACCCAAGAAGGCCTCTGGAGCATAAACAACCAAAACTATCTCCTGCCAGATCTTCTTCAGCAGAGCCAAATTTCAGATTCCTCTGTGAACACACCAAAAGTGCCACTGACTAGTCAGGAACCTCAGAACAAATCTGTGAATAAGGTATGAGATAAGTGTATAGACTGAATGAATTGTACCACCGCTTCCCTCCAACCCATGGAAGCCTGAGTTTGAGTGTCATTTGAATTTATCTATCCTGTTTCTTACAAACGAAAGATTTTTCACCACATCCCTTCTTTTATCTAGAAGGTGTATTTTGAAGGGCTAATAAGAAAGCTCAAGCTCCCTACCCTTCTTCGCTGTTCCACGTTTTTGTCCTTCTCTCTCCACTTCATGCAAGCTAGAATGGCTCGTACCCTCTGCTCCTTTTCCTGTAACATCAGCAACACAGCATGCTCATCTGCCTTTAATGATCGTCTTTGGATTGCTTTCCATCCCAGCATCAGGTGACAGTGCACAAGGCATGCACCTGTTGCAGATGAAACAGCAGGGAGTGAGAAACATATAAGGAGATTCTTCTGGGGACCAGTTAGTTCATTGCAGTGCAGTGCCTGGTCAAGAATCCTGACACAACTCCCAGCTCAGGCTTCCTCTTGTCACTCAATTTGTACCATCTATCTACTGCTCTAAGCATGTTCATTACACCTAGTTATGCAACATGCTGTTTCACCTGAACCTCAGAGACACCCACGTTGCTCAGTGCTGTCTGCTCCCTAGTGTCATCATCCTGAAGCAGCTCTTGTGTTTCATTGTAGACCCCGTCCACTGAAAGTACACCTTCAAAGAGCAGTACATCATCTACAACATCGTTTACTTCATTCATAGATCCCAGACTTCTGCCAATCACCCCTCCCACCAGTCCAGTTGGACCTCCCTGTAGTTCTTGTGAGTATGCTTTACCCCTCATTAAATTTCATTCCTGTTTTTTTTGTTGTTGTTGTTCTGGGTGGGGATGGAGGGAAGGGAGAAGCTTCTCACTTGGCAACTGAAACTGTCAGTAACACCTCCAGAAACTTAAACTCCACATCGCTGTGAATTTCATTGCATGGCCTCTGTGGTTCCTCCAGATGTGACTAGCTCTGCTGCTGTGTCACCACAGTGCTTGCTCAGGAATGTGTGAGGAGTTTTCCAGATGTGTGGTTTTCTTTGGCTATGAAAAGAAGTCTCACTTCTCTTCATTTTTTTTCATTCTGCCACAAACAGGTCAAATGTGAGATGTAGCCAAACACATGAATTTTTATTTATTTTTTATTCTGTGTATCTTTTTCAGCATCTAGTGCAAAACCTGAGCCTGTCAGGAGAGAAAACGCAAGGAAAGGCTCTGTTGTCAACGTTAACCCAACGAATATCCGCCCACAGAGCGACAGTCCAGAAATTCGTAAATACAAGAAGAAATTCAACTCGGAGGTCCTTTGTGCTGCTTTGTGGGGTAAGCTCAGAAGTGCTTGGGCGTGTGTGTTGAGGGAAGGCAGCAGCAGGAGAGGTTGGCGGTATATGGCAGTTAGATTTCGCAGTTGTATCACACCTCTCCTGTCAGAAAATCCTGAGAACATACCTACGTGTCACTCGCATGGTATTGCCTTCCTGACGGAAGATGGCAAACAGATGAGTTACAGTTGCAAGGGATTTTGTGCATCAGAATGAGAAAACATTTTGATCGAGCACCAAATTGAAACTGTGCTTGCCATAAGAGCCAAAAGTTGCATATGTTTTGGTAATGAGAAGCAAAAAAGGTTCATGATACTCTGTCTTAGCTGCATATCAGTATAGCTAGTCATGCATAACCCTAACCCAATGGAAATTATCCAAACCAGAGGTTCCAAGAACCTTCCTCTCAGAATTTTAGCCGCCACAGACTGAAGCAGGTCAGGCATCAATCTGTCCAAGAGCCTGACTTCCATGATTTCCACTGCCAGGACTTAGACCCTTTCTGGATCACCGTTTTTGTAGGGTCAGCTTCAAATGGCATTAAAAAAAACACACAAGATCAGTGTAGTCAGACCAGTTTTCAGCCACTGTTGACGTAGTCCCAGTCTCGCTGTGGCTAAGCTCTTGAGTTCTTCTAACCATCTGTCTACCTGTGAGGAACAGATGCATTCTATGGGACTTGCCCAGCCATTTACTTGTCGTCACTTTCTGAGTCTGGAATGGAAAATGAATGAAGTAGGTGAAACATTATCCGACAGAAATGTAGATTTCTAGCTTTTATAGTTTTGTGGATTTTGTGTTATGTATGTTTGCAGGAGTCCAAGATTTTAAATTAGGAACAGGAACTATGGAGCAAAGTCTGTAAATTAACTTTGTATTGAGGTTGAAGAGTACCAGGTACTCATCAGAGCACAGCCAGTAGAGAAGTTTGCTCGTTACAGCAGGAAAATTTATGTCATTTCTTTAGAACCTGCTGATTAGGAAATGTAGCCATCATGCCAGCCAAACACTATTTTTGTACAGGGTGCATCCTCTGGTGTCAGCAACTCATTGAAGCTTTCACTTCCTGGGGAACAATTGGATTTCAGATGGATTCATTCCTTTAATTCAGCATTTGAAAGCACTTTTCCAAAAACCAGTTTTCAAACAAATATTCTGCTTCCTTATATCAGTAGCTTTTCTTCCAATGACTTCGGTTTTCCTCCTGCATTTTGAGCGTTGCATTTGGGGGAAAGAGGAATTATATTTATTTTTTTTTAAATTGAAAGAGACCCTTATATCCTTTAGTTGGATCTCCTGTGTTGGCAGAGGAGTGGTGCTAAACTGAGGCTTTCACAGCGCTTACAAGCACACAAGTCACCTGAGAAGTTCAAGTTTGCAGAGTATTCTTTTAATTTTCATTTTTTAGATCAATATTGACTTCAGTGGAACTACTCATGCTTCAGGTTATGTGGGCATACAAGTGTTCTGCTGGGTAAAAATTGTCATGTTGGGGTTGTTTTTTTCCTTCCATTTTTCTGGGAGGTCATCCACAGAGCAACAGAGAAATTATCAGGTACCATTAAGAGGAGTAAATAAAAATTGATTCTAAAAAACAATTAACACTTGGCTTCTGAATCATTGGGTGATGTATGCAGTATTTTTTTTCTCTGTATCAACAGGAGTAAATTTACTGGTGGGAACGGAGAATGGATTGTGGCTACTGGACAGAAGTGGGCAGGGAAGAGTATATTCACTGATTACAAGGAGACGATTCCAGCAAATGGATGTTCTGGAAGGACTCAATGTGCTAATTACTATATCAGGTTAGTTCAGTGTCTAAAAGTATCTGACCTGCATTGGGGTTGGAAGCAATTAGAGAAGAACTAGGTTATAAACTAGGTTGAGAAATTTCCTCTTACAGAAAATCACAGGATAGTTATTCTTGTTAATAGGAAAACTCTCTTGAATTTTTAACACTTAGATTCTCATTTCAGATTCAGATGGGGCTCTGGGATATTTCATTACCTGTTTAATACATAAAATGGTTTGTGAGAGGTTATGAAGTGTTTCATATTCTTAAAATGGACTGTTTCCCAGCAAGTTACAGTTTGTCAGTCTGTTTACATGTTTCTGCAATGGGTGAGCATCTATCTAAGTGCAATTCTGTTCGAATATCATTAAATAACCTCATTCTGTGGTCAATGAGATGTATGAACAGTTACGTAAGAGTGATACATAATGTGAAAGCGTTGGTAATGCTAAATGGAGTAGCACCTTCAACCTCTTCTGACAAAGAACTTGGACTCTGCCCTTCAAGGTCCTGAGGTCCTTATTATCCACAGATGAGAGTGGCCTCAAGGTAGTACTTCAGAAATAGAGGTCCATCAAGGAATGGCTGCCACTTTTCTACACTCCAGACATACTGTAGTAGGTGATGCTGAGAGCTGTTTGTCCCATATTGCCAGTTTCAGCTGCTTTTGACATGGTCCTCCTTAGACTGACCTGCTGTTGATCTTGCTTATTTACAAACCAAAGCAACAGAAAGACTGACTGAGTTAAAAGATGACAAAGTAATTCTCACCCTGAAAGACATCCAAAAGAAAATAGTTACCTGTAATGAAGATTGTCAGTTAACCAGAACTAAAAAAGTCACTTATTCAAAATACCCAGGGTAGGTTATATCTGTATTCCTTCCTTCACATCAGAGAGCAAATACTAGGCAATGTGATTATCTCTGATGATACATGCATCTATAGAGACCTCTTCTTTGACATGAGGAACGAATTGTAGTCAGGTATTAAAATCTGACATGAAGCTTAAGTCACAAGAGCACATGTGCCAAATGTCATAGGGTTATTCATACTCCAGTTCCCCCCTGGGAGTCGTCATCACCCCAGGCTTTTCTTTTGTGCTGATGGATTCTTCTTTCTGTCACCTTGACAAGCACAAAGATCTGCTGTACTCAAGGTCACAGAACTCCAGCTTTTATTACATGGGGGAGATTTTGTATTTCAGTAAGTTAGAGTTATGTCTTTTTTTTTCCTTCCCCTTTGCAAATCCCAGGGAAGAAGAATAAGTTGAGGGTCTACTACTTATCGTGGCTGAGAAATAAGATTTTGCGCAATGATCCAGAGGTGGAGAAGAGGCAAGGCTGGGTGTCTGTGGGTGATCTGGAAGGCTGCGTACACTACAAAGTTGGTAAGGTCTTTTTTTTTTTTTTTTCCCCTTAAAGAGCTGCTTAATCGTACTTTTGCATCTCGTGACACCAGCATTTTTCTTTAGCTGTATCTCAAAATTGTATCAGGACTGCTTTGAAACCTGCTTGCTTAACATGATGGATGCTTTGGCCCTTGTCATTCCAGATTGCACATGATGTTATGGCTATGTCCTGTGAAGGCTGGAAGAAGGGAGTGCCAGCCCTGTTCCGTTGCTCAGTCAGGGGTTTAGAAATTCTGTAGTTACTTAAGACTTCAATTAGAGTCATGTTTTCCACCCCCAGGCTACCAGCTTCCCTCCTGGTCCTGAGTAGCTACTGCTAAACTGGACTGGTACAGTGCTAGGAAATCATGTTTGTAGGATGTCTGTAGGCAGATGAGATTGGATGTCCTAGAGCTCATTGCTGTGACTTGATCATAAAAGACCTAAATATACCTTTGTTTAAATTTACACACTGGCAGCGTTATCTACCGTAGCAGTTAAAATTCCGTCTTGCATTTTTTTGGCTTTCAGGTATTTCATTTGTGAAGGTGAACATCAGTATTGTGATAGCTTCTGTCAGTTAACTGTCTGAGGGGGTGTAATGTATAGCATAAGTTTTGCTTTATTGAAAGATGGTATATGGAAGTGGCGGTGTTGTTTTTTTTTTTTTCCTAAGTCAAACAGAGAAATGATACAGACAAGTGCAGGAGACGATGAGGTGGCTGGCGCTCATAAATGCTTTGCTTGACATTTATTTGCATTTAGATCTCATTGCTTTAAATGTTACGGGTTAAATCCAAAAAGAAATGTGCAACAGATGTGTGTCATTTTCTTTGTGATTATAGCTAAGCACCACATATTCCACTTCAGTTGCTCATTTTTGGTTTTGGTATGTCTTTTTTTTTTTTTTAACGTTACTCTAAAATTAGGCAAACATTTGGTGCTCTTCTGTGTTCACATATGACAAACCAAGCTTACTTCTTTGACAAAGCAGCTGTTGTTGTTTACCTGTTGGTGAATCTTCCTGTATCTTGACCCATGTTCTTACAGTCATTTTTCCAGCTAGCAAAAGGATGTGTTATTTTGTGTTTTGGTAGGTTTTATTTGTTTTTTGTTTCTCAGCCTTTGTAACATTTCCCTGATCTGTATCCACCCTTATCTACCCTTAATGCTTCTGCTTTATGTTTGGGTCAGTGTGAACTGCTCCTGTTGCAAGCAGCAACAAACCTTAGCTCAGTTAGCACAGTACCTGCATTTTCTAAAAATCCCTTCCAAGCAGACACTGAATATAAAACGAAGGGAGAATGCACTGAGATGTGACGCCCTAGTGTTCTGTTTCCAAACCAAATGCTTGCCTCTGGCAGAGTGAAAGAAGCCTCAATTTTCAATGCATGTTTCTTTGTTTATTCTCAATGGGCCCAACATGAGCTTAATCAACTTGGAGAAATGGCTCATCTCTCCTAAATGCTTACTCATCTCAGAAACATGGGAGTCCTTCGCCCACACTAGCACATGGAGATTTAACCCCACACGTGAATGGTGAAATGAAAATTCAGCACGCAGAGTGTAACACAATCCTACAGCCAACAGCCACCGTTCCTCCAAAAGCAGCTTAGTCACACCCAGCAACATCAGTGTGGGCTCATACTTGAAAAATAAAATAGACTGAGTTAGCTGTAGGGTCAAGACCTTTTTTTCTGACGGTAAGAGAAAAAGATGTATGAGAATCAATATATAAATGTTGCTATCTGAGAATAAAGGGCCTACATGTTTGCAGTCAGGGTTTTGACAGTGGTGATGTTAAACACTGATGTCCAGAATGCATTAGTCTCCTTGGTGGATAGCGTCTTCCTCTACAAATAATCCATTGAAATTATTTCATGTAATGAGATGGTCTTTGATTTAAGCGTCTGTCTGATACCTAAGGAATTGTTCTTCTTGTATTACAGTAAAATATGAGAGAATCAAATTCCTTGTAATTGCTTTGAAAAACTCAGTGGAGGTTTATGCTTGGGCTCCGAAGCCTTACCACAAATTCATGGCTTTTAAGGTAAGTGAAAATTCACTTTGCTTCAGACACACCACTGTCTCTCATCTACTCCTTGCTTTTGCTTTTTATTGTTTTTTATAACATTTATTTCTAGTTAAAGATAAAATGAATATTCCTTTAAAGAAAATGTAGCTCATTTGACATACATTGGAGGTGGCAGGCATGAAACTGTCACTGTCATGATTCTGTTAGATGTGAACAACTTGTTTCAGTGCAGTGCCAAGATGTACATTTAAATTCACGAAGCTGATGCTGATTTCTCTCAGAGGAAGAGGAAATTTAACATGAATGGTACTTAGCCTAATTTTTGCCTAGTCCATTTCTAGATGGATTTTTTCAAAACACAAGTGAACTATCCAACTCTCTTTGTGGCCCAAAGGTTGATGGATACTTAGCTCCTTAAATGTAACATGCTGGTAGAACAAAAATAGGTAACTTTCCAGTTCTGAAAATTATTAAGGAAAATTGTGTATGTTGGTCTGTAAACCAAGAGCATTATTGTGTTCTATAGTGTATTTTTTTTGTTTTGCAGTCTTTTACCTCACTTCATCACAAACCGCTGTCAGTTGACCTGACTGTTGAAAATGGACAAAGATTAAAAGTGATCTATGGCTCTCTAGTTGGCTTTCACGCTATTGATGTGGACTCTGGATCTGTGTATGACCTCTACCTTCCAACACATGTAAGACACTCCAGAAAGTTCCATAACCACCTTTGTTATTTGGGCTGTATATTGGTGATAATCAGGTTAAGTGGTGTGCTGTATTTCAAAACAGAGGATAAGAGAATAATTACAGTATACCAGCTAATAGAAAATGACTTTTTGCATGCTTTTGTAATAGTGAAGTTCTGCTAAAAGGCTTTTTTTTTTCCTCCAGATTTAGAGTATCAGTTTTAACAGTTTAATGACAGAAAACCTATTGTATGGACAGTACTATTTTTAATTGATTTATCCTGGAAATTTAAGACTTTTTTAAGGCATACAAAAACACAACATTGAATTAGGTGACTTTCACAGTCAGCCAATGTGTTTTTCCGTCTTGATCACTGAATTGAGCTGAAATTTGGCCTGGTTTAAGATGATGTGCAGCATATGTTTAAATCTTGATTGGCTTTGAGGCATGTTATCTTTGCATCAAAGAGTACCTGTAGCTAGAGGAGCCATGTATAAACTGAGTCCAAATATGCATTCACAGGTGAATACATTATATATATATACACACAGGTGAACCCATGAATAATCCTAATTTCTTCATTGTGGAGCAAACTTGCATTCATTTTACATGATTTATATGGGCTCAGTGTGTAAAATGTGATTTGCCTTTTTGTCATGACTCTGTAGAAACCCAGCTTCCAGGCCAAATAAATTTGCTCATTTTCTTACTGCTCAGTTGCCCGTGAAATCAGTCCTTGCATTCAAAAGAATTCAGGATGTTCTCTTTAGGTTTTCAAGCAGAAGTTGTCATGAAGATGTTGATTTCAGGTTGATGTGTACATGTTGCATGGTGTACCTGTTCACTGAGATGATGTTGACTGCTAAAAACTGCCTAAATTGAGTTAAAAGCAAAGTAATTACTCTGCAAAAGTAAAAGGCTGCTATGGGGCTGTCCAGTATGAAGGCTGTGCTCTTTTTTTCTTTTTTTTTTTTCTTTCTGTTGTTATTTCTTAGCTGTTCTAGATGGTTCATTTCAAAGTTGTGGGTCCCAAAAGCCACAGAAATTTAAGGGATTAAGTGCAAAAAGCTAGTGGATTCTCATGGCTCCGGCCTGATGGGGAGCTCTAAGCAGGGAAACTTCTGTGCTCACTTGGAAGAACCTTCCCTGAAGTCAGCAGAGCTCTACACAGGCAGAGCGTTAGCTGATGGGTGCCGCTACTTCCATGTACCCAAGGCATTGTGACTTCAGGAACACTCGAGGGTTGGAGGGATCTCATCCCACATCTGCATGTTGCAGCCTGGTCCAAGACCCTTCCATTTATTTTTTTTTTTTTCCTCCCTCTCTCAGCCCAGTGTTTTCACACCCATGCCCTGTGGCCTGCTACCCTGACAAGTGACAGCCTTCAAAATGCTGTCACAGCTGTGTTTTCTGATGGCCACAGTGTTTAAGGATGATGGTTTATAAACTTCTCTTAATTGCAAACTCACTGCTCTAGGTCTTCAGAACAGGCTGCTGAACCACCTGCTACAAACCTGAGCTGGATTTTTGTTTGTTTGTTTAAGGGCCTTAATATTTGTGTGATGGCTTATTTAATCCAGCAATTAGTAGGTTTGTTAACTACGCAGCTATGGAAAATTCACATCAGTTGATAAATGTAAGCGTGATGCCTGCGTGCCATCCCTGGAAGTTGGTTGCTAAGCGAGGTGAATAATGACTTGTCACAAAGATCATCAGCATAATTGCCCGAGATGTGGAAGGCAGAGGAAAAGGGGAGCATTCTGAGCAGCAGTTCTCCAACAGGCTGTGGATATAATTATGCACATGATGAGAGAGATTTCCCAGGTGATTGTCCTGAAGATGTGGGGCACCTTTAAGACTGGCTCCATTTGGGTGCGCTCTTCAACGAAAAGTTAGCGTTTACTAAAAATATATTTTCCCTTTAGAGTTTTAGACCTGAAATAAATCTGCTGCTGCAGTAGCTCTGTCTTTTTCGGTATTTTATTATTTCAAAGAGCATCTGATAGACTGGATGATTTTCTTAAGGAGCTTTGTAGTGACAACAGAGCAGACTTCAACAGGCTGACTTTAGATACTCTTGCTTTCTGGTAGCCTCTTTTCCTGGTTCCCCACCTCTTTCTCCATCTCTTACCTGCTTCGATCGCTCATGCGAGTACCAAGGCAACGCATTAAAATTGCTCTGCGGCTCTGGATACCCGTTCTAGTGTTACGGATAGTTGTTGCGGAGGCACGGAGTCAAGTGGTTGGCCTGGGTGTATTCAGTTGGGCAAGTACAGCTTCGGTGCTTCTTTACTGTTCTTTCTGCCCTTCCGGCATGTGTAATGTGTGTGCTTGAAGAAAAGAGGTCTGTGTGGTGCTGGCTTGTGAAAATGATGCAGAAACTCCAGTCATGTGCTTCCTAGAAAGATTCGTTGTAGTGGTTTAATTGACTGTTTAATTATCCTGTTTTCAGTAGTGCTTTTTTCAAAACAAAACAAAAAAATGCTTTCTTAATGATTTTAAGGTTTTCCTTGTTTTTTGTTCAAAAGTGCTTTCATAAAACTCCACCTCCATAGTTGTGTACTTTGACTTTTTTTTTTTTTTTTTTTTTCACTTGGGACATGTGTTGGCTTCTGGGAGAGATTCTAGCGCATCGAGCAGCTGTTAAAATAACGTGTGTGAGAGAAATGCACTGTTTCTTGTGGCATGCAGAAAACATATGCTGAGCAGCACTGAAAAGGGGAACTATTTGTAGGGAAGAATGTGGGAAGGGAAGGACACAGAGAAGCTTGTGTTTGAAAGGTCCAGGTACAGTGTTCCGCTTGCTGTAAATACTGATAAATTCACATTTCTGGGGGGTTTGAAAAGGGATAGGGAAATATCATGGAAAGTGAGAGCACTGTTTTCCTGGAATGTGGAAGCTTTTGTTCTTCCTCCATCTTCTGAAATAACTGAATTCAAATTTTTCACCTGTCTTTTATTTATATAATGCAGGTGTTTCATAAATAAGTGTCTCAGTGGCTCCATGGCTTCTTGAAAGCCATTAATACTAGTAAATATAAAGTGAAATACTGAACATTGCCTTGTTTGCAAACCTACTGTAATATCTGAAGGGGGGAGGAGAGGAGAAAACCCATTTCAGGGGCTAGCTTGCAAACTGTACAGCTTTTCTCAAAACAGGCATTTCTTTCACTTTCCATGAGCTAGTTCTTTTTATTGCTCTGTCAAACTAGTTAGATTGATGTAGTCACTAAAATTGCAGTCCATTTTCTGATATAAATCTTAGCAAAATATGATTCTAGATCCAAGGAACTATTCGCCCACATGCCATTATCATCCTCCCAAACACCAGCGGAATGGAACTGTTACTCGCCTACGAAGATGAAGGCATCTACATTGATATATACGGGCATTTCACAAAGGAAACTGTTTTACAGTGGGGAGAAATGCCAGCATCTGTAGGTATGTATGAAAAACTGCATTTTATTAAATGTAAGGTTCTGCTGCATGAAACCTGACTTCTTTATGAGGTTTGTATCTATGCGAAAGTGGTTGTATGGCACATAAAGCAACTTCTGAGCAAAACAGATATCTGGAGAGTAAAGAGGTTTATGTATGTTTATGTTAAAACAGCCAACGATTGCAACAGGGTCTTCAAGTTTGGATCACGGGGTTTGTATTCTTGTCATACCGTTTACTGCATCATACCCTTACTATACAGCCAAGCTTCCCTGGGGGTGTAGCTTCCAGAGAGTTTTCACAGAGAGAATTACATGAATTAGAGACGCAAAGGTGCTTGTTTTCTGCTTTGTTCATAGCCTGTAGCATTTTTATGTAAAAATTCACAACTATAGCAAGGTGGGTTTTTGAAAAGGTCTGTAACTGCTGTCAATTGGGCCCTTAATTTTATCACTTCAGATTCACACTACAGGGTACTTCCAACAGATTCTCACTCTCTCCATGTTTGCAGTGGTTTTGTAGGAGGAGATTCTCACTGTATTGCACAGGACAGCTGTTTGTTTCACGTTCCCCAGAGTGCTTCATGTTGAGTGTGGGGAAAACCAAGAACATAACACAGGCAGATTTTTGTTTTTATTATTAGTTGCTTTTAATTTTTTTTTGTGTCACTCCTGTTCTTCTGGATCTTAAAACATACAAACAAACTGCAAAAGCCCAAGACATTTAGATTGTGCAAAAGCAAATTATTAGCTTGGCAGAAACTGGATTCCACATGAAAAATGAAGAATGTTCACCTTTTTCCTTGCACTTCTAGTTGGATAGCTTTAGGAAAAGTCCATTAAAATCAGTAGAGTAACACCCTTGAGGAAATACCAAGTCTATCATTTGTAGAGGGTTTTCAACAGTACTGAGAGCAAGAAACCCACCTCTGGAACATACATTGCTATAAGGGAACTTGCATTTTTTGCACTGTTGCTATAAAATTCAGCAACAGAAGTACTTCAGTTCCAAGAATCAGGTGTGAGGTTATAACCTGACTGTGTAGTATTTCCTTCCCTCCACTAAATACACCTATCTCTGCTTTTCAGCCCCTACTCAGAGCTGCAGGGCACAATTAAAATCTATCAAGTCAATTCTCCATTTTTCATATGAAAATCTAATAATCCTTGATATATTGAAATTTTATATCCCCTCAGAATTAATGTTAGAAACACTCTAAGAAATAATCAATAATCAAAGAGCAATTACCAAGGCAGGGTAGGAAGAGTTCTAACAAGAAGTACTGAATGTAATTGGAAGCTGCACTGAAGAATGTTATCTCAAGGAGACAGCTTTCAAGACCCATTTCATTATGGGAAGTACTTCCTTAGGCCTTAAAAAACGCAGCAAGTTTATTTAACATGAACCATTTTTTAAAAAAACTGTCATGTCTTATACACCTTGTGGTGTGCATATATGATATTGGATTTTCATAAATATTTAAACTCTCTTTTTGTTTTTTCACTTGTACCTTGTGGGTTAGAACTCCTTTTTCCTGCTTTGGGAAGAGACAATTTTAAAATGAGCTGCATTTATGTAACTGTCCTGCTTGAGATTAACCCTAATCTCATGTTTAATACTTGCTAAAGCATAGATGTTATTTGTAGCTATTACAGGCTTTTCTAGTTGTACTGCTTTTACTGTATGCTATGGCCTAAAGATTCACTGATATTAGATAATTAGTGTGTTTCAAATGTTGATACATAAGGAACAAAAGGCTTCATTACATCTCACTTCAGAAAGGGAGATATTGCAAGAATGATTGCATATATTTATGACTGCTGCTTGGAAATCTGCAGTTTGTGACACTGGGTCCTGATTGCCCTCAAAGCTTTTTTTCACTTCATCTGGACAGAGTTTGCAGGAATGCCTCAGAAGTGTACCAGAGGGAGCTTAAGTCCTTTTGCCTAACCTTGCTGAAAGTACTGAATCATCAAACTTACAGAAACGTGAGATAGGTTTGTAAAGCGTTCTTGTACCTGGGAATCAGAATTCCTTGACTTCAGTAAAAATTTCCTTGCATGTACCCTGCCGGCACTGAAGTGAATAAAGCTTCACCACTTTGGGCCAGCTGAGTATATGATCCTCTGTGCCAGCTAATTACTCTCATTTAAAACCTCCTTCTGCCTGCATCTGGTTAGGTATGATATTCTCAGTTTCTCAAGGTTGATTACATCTTAATAGAAAGAATGCCATTTGGACATTCTCCTTTCCATATGATCACGTAACCATTCCTCTTGTTCTTCAGTGTGCAACCATGCTATGATTTGCATGGAAAAGCCATCAGTACAAAATGACCTAGGCATTTTTGTTACAGTATTTTAGGGCAGTTAAATAGGAAACGGTCAGACACACCTCTGAGGGTGGTATCCTGTCTAAAGAATTTTACTGTACGGCAGTCTTGTCCGTGTGAATTGTTGGATTTTCTCTGTGGTCCATCTAGAGAGATGGGCACCACAAGATGGGAAGGCATCCCATTTGGGGACAGGTAGCTAAGGCAGGTCCAGTGAAGCATCCTAGTGAGGTAGCAGAGAGTGAGGGAGATGAAATTTTTACGATGGTAAGGTTAAGAGGGCTGAGTAAAGAGAGAGGTCTTTGCGAAGCTTCCCCCAAGTGCTCAAAGTGTAAGACTGTAGGTTTTCTCTGGAAGGAAAGGTGTCACTCTGTCACTCTTTCATTGTTTATAATTCTGCAGTTTCCACAGCTGAAGGGAGGCAGTCTTCAAACACCCCCTCTCAGTTGTCATTTGAAAATTTTCCAGTATGTTAACTGGAGAACTCTTGCATTATTGCTGCTGCCACAGCACTGAGGTCTCAGAGCTGGATTTCTTTGAAACAGAAATTTTTAATCGTTGCAATGTGGTGCAAGATCAATTTGACATTCACATTACAGCTAAAAACAAATTAATCCAACCTATTACTCAACACAAAACTCAAATTTTAAACAGCTCTGTTAACTATTATTTTAATTGTTTCCAACCAGCTCCTATTCATCTTCTTGTTCCTCTGAAATTCCAGTTTCCAGACAGAAACATGAGCTCTTATGAGAGAAGTTTGATGGTGTTATTTACATGGCCAAATGTAGGGAGAACTTGCAAGTTTCACAAGAGATCCTATTTTAGAATTTCCAGACGTCACAAGGTCTGACAGGAGTCTGCATGAGCTTATCTCAAAAGTTTTCTCTCTGTGCTTCAGACAGGAGGGTCTTGTGTTAACCTCAGGGTGCTCTCTAGCCACCTTTTGCCTAGTTCTTAGTTTCTTTAAATAATTATTTTGAAAGAAAACTTCTGTAGTTGGTAAGAGTTTCTTGACTACAAAAAAAAAAAAAAAAAAAAAAGTGCATTATAATTGATAGATTTAGGGCAGGGAAACTAAATATAGCTTACTCTCCCAGTCTTTAAATTGGAACCCCTGTGACCTATCTGTTAATAAGAAATTGGAGAGAGGAAACTCAAATCCAATGGGAAATTAAAATTGTAGAAGTACTCTATCCATGTTTAATCTGAAAGATATTTCATATATGTAAGGCTAAATATAAATAGAGCTGTTATGTTTTCTTTCTATAAAACAAGATTTAAAAAAGGTTTAAGAAACATCAAGTTAATACACTTTGAGAGCACTTTTGCCCTTCTGTGCAAGTAATGAATTATTTACAGTACGTCTGCGTGGTGGGTTGGCACAAAACCAGATATTCCCAAAGAGTAGGGAACCAATAAAAGTCCTGATTTCCTTTGCTGTATATGTATTAAAATCAAAATGATGTTATGTGGAAAAACAGATAGGGTTACCAAAAGCTGGTTGTATTACTGCACTAGTGCTCTTTCAACGTACTTACCAGTTCTTGAAATCCTAGCTGGCCAACTCGTGTACAGGAAACTCCTGCTCATATCTGAATGATTGGTGTTGGTCAGATCTCCTGTGCAGTGTTTTTCCCAGCAAACAAGCAAGCCACCTCTCACCCTAAACATGTTTCTCACTTAGGTTATTAGTTACACTGGAATAGGAATTGCAGAAGTGAGCAAGCAACAACTGAGAGCAGGCGTGCTTTGGAACAAAGATGCACATAAACATGTATTTACTAAACAATAAGATTCCTAGTCAAAAATTTATTTAGTCATAGCTCTTTTTTGGGTGGGTAGGGAACTGTATGCGTTAGGTCTTTGTCCAGGGGGAAATAAAAAACAAACAAACAAACAGAAAAAACCCTTATATTCAAGTAACGTAAGTAATAGCAGTAAAACTATTTAATGGAATTGCACAAGAGAAATTTCTGTCTCCTTCCCCTATCTTCCTCCCCTAAATTGCTTAACCTCTGGGCAGTGACTTCTGAAGCATGGGCAGCAGACAGAAGTACAAGCAAGTAGCTAATCAGCCCCTAATCAGTGGTCAGCAGCATCACAGGAGAGCTTGAGGCTGGGTTTGAGCTTTGCGACATCACAGAATGCTGTTGGTATCTCTGTGGGTTATCTTCATTCAAGCCCTCAACACACACATCTCCCTTTCATTTGTCTAAAACAAACCAAAATTGTTATCTCGCTATATAAAAATTAAAAAAAAATAAACAAACAAAACAAAACACATGCTTTTCCCAAAGAGGGCAGAAATCAATATAAGTCATGATTTCATAGAGCACCTGCGCTAGATTGAAGGGCCAAAGAAGGGTTCAGTAGAAGTGCAGTCAGTTTTAAGATCTGTATGGTCTCTAATAGTTGCTATCTCTTACTGTCAGCAAAGTCACTGGCTATTCTTTTAAAGTTCCTGCCCAGCTGCATACTGGCCTGAGGCAGTTTTCTCAAACGTGTCCAGAAAAGCAAAATTCAGTACTTATTTTTGTGTTGAATTTCACCCTCTCCTAAAAGGAACTGGGTGAAGCAGTGTACGCTCCCTTGTACCTCATAAAACGGAGTCTGGTATCATGACTCACACATGCAAAAGTGGGTCAGAATCTTTTAGTTCATGTTTGGTTTGTTCATTTCAACCTCCTGGTTTGTATGGAATGAGTTGCCTGGGGAATTTCTGGAGTCTCTATGGCTAGAGGCCTTTAAGGTCAGATTAGACGAACTGTCAGAAGTGATACTGGTGTGGCACAGAGATACGGATGGAGGAGAAGGTGCGTTAAGGTCCTGTCCTGCCCTATTTCTGTAACACTAATCAGAAAAGCCTGATTTTATGTTATTTCGCTAAAAGCTGATCTGATTCTGCTTTCATGTAAAGATAAGTTGGGAATAACTGCTTAGGGCAGTGAGCCAAATTCAGCACATGAGATCAGAAAAGGCATTTTTGAAGAGAAAGAATTTAAAGACAAAAAGAAAACTGAAGAAGGGAAGTGAGATTGTAGTAGTACCTGGGCTCTGTGACACCAAGAGCACTTCTCTCAGGCTGAGTATGCTACTGATGTGAGACTAAGAGATCATTAGCTCATGTCAGTGGCACTTCATAGAAAGCTAATGGTTTCAGTATGGCTCAGTAATTTCTTTCACCTTTTATGCCTCTCAACCATTTCCCCTTGAAGCAGTCACTTCCGTGATTGGGGGCTCTCCTCAACCCGATGCTAATACACACTGTGAACAGGAAACACCAAGTAGGTGGTCTCGACCCAATTTTAGAGCATTCCTAATGCTTTCGTGATGTTAAAAGGCTGATTTTGATCCCACTTCCCTCTACTGAGTTTATGGTGTGTATTCTGTGATCTCCAGGGCATACAGCTGGTGTAATTGGTGTACCAAGAACCACAGCTCGTGCATAACTGTACATCTTCTAAATACATGGTAGTCTGGGTGAGGCAGAGGAGACTCAGGTAATTCTGAATGACTTTCCTCCAGAACTTTAAGCAATTTTGGCACATCAGTCTGAGCCAATATATGCTTTTTTTTTTTTTTTTTTTTTTTTCTGAGCTACTGTCCAAAGGACAAGAGCAGCTAGCTCTCTGTGTCTAGGATTGCTAGAAACCAGTATAATCTTGCATCATAATATAAACATAAGTATGTTTAAATGTTGCCAGCTGGAAGCACAAAATATTTTTATCTAAAGCTTTATGAAGTGAAAAGTGGGCTCGAACTATTCCTAAATTGCACATAGTGTAGGAGCTTTTGTTCCAGAGCAAGTAGACTTTATTCTGAGTATCTAATCCACTTGCAGTTCATTGTACATGGCACGTTTGTATTCTAGAGTAAGCGTTCTCATGGGAAGGTTATCAAGACTCTGTACTGAACTTTGAATTCACAGCCTGCTACCCTCCAAATTAATTTCCATGTATTAATTTTTATAAGTGGATAACCCCACAAATGGTATAATGGAGTCTTTCTGTTAGCATATACGTCTGAAGACGTATATGCTAAAGTTTTGTGAAAAAACTTCTTGATTCTCCTACAGGAGTGAGTTTTGTGCTAGTTGTACTTTGACATTTGCCATTGTCAGTTGACAAGTTCTCAGTATATTGGCCAGCCAGGAGAACATCAGTGGCTGAAGTTGGAATATCTGTTTTATTATGTTCCTGTTGTAATACTGCTTGGGAGATCAGTTCTCATCTGAACATAGCAGCAGTAGCTCAGTCATCCAGGGCTTTCAAGGATGCTATCAAATTGAAATCTGCCAAAGACATGGATACAGATGATACAGACCCAGAGTATTGACAACTTGAGTGCAGATTTCACAAAGCGGAAAAGATAAGGAGAATTTGAGTGGATTAGGTCTTTGATGGTGAACCTACATGCCCTATACTGTAGCCACAGAATGTCGTCGTTCTATTGTTTTATTTATGTACACACACCTGCCTTGCTGTCACAGCCCCCGGAATCATCGCCTACCTGTGTGTCTGGTGTGTTTGCAAATGTTAATGTGGTGTCAGCAGTTGCCAAAAATAGCAGATATCTGAGTATTGTATCTTTAGCTTCTTTACTTTGTGTGGTCTAGGCCTGCTTTATTAGGTGACTGCACGTTGGATGGGTGCTGCCCTGATGTTCATCATGCAGCGAGCCAGAAACAGTAATGAGTCTTCCTTGCTGCCTACAGCACCCTGTCATATAGGCTAGGAAATTAAGCATAAAGAAAAGAATAAGAATAAAAAGGTATTGATTTTCAGGTGTTTGATTTCAAAAAATATCCCTCCCCTCCACCCTGTTCTCTCATTTATCCTCAGCTCCTCACTGCTGTTTTGCTCTTCGTAGAGTGGTTTATTCCTCTTTCCATATGACTGGGATACTGGGAAGTGATTTTCTTGCTTTCAGCTCTAGTGGCAGGGAAACCTTCAGTGTGTAAAGAACAACTGAAAGAGAAGTCTACTTAAGCAGGTTTGGGGAAAATGAATAGACTTGGGGGGAACTAAAATGTCAACGCCATAGCCAAAACAGACATGTTTTCAAGGAGGTATCGTTTTCACACATCTGAACAAGGATTATAAAACAAGGATTCCAAGTTAATATTAAATCAACAACTACTACAAGAAGAATATGTATTTCCTTTATTTTCTCCTGTCCTTGTAAAGCAGGATCACAGGCTTTTGCTTTGTGATATCAGTGTGTATTGAAAGCTTAGTTTCTAGACAAAATCTAAATCAACAAGGAAGGTTTTAAGGAACAGATGTTGTTTGTGTTAAAAAAGCAGGACAGGCAAGCACTGTCCTCTGAAGCTAAAAACCAGTCAAATGCACACGTTCCCTCTAGAATATTTCAGAGCACCACAGTTCTCAGACTAATGAAAAAACAACTCATAGTTGAGCAAGAACAATAATTTCTGAGCATTGGCTATCTAGAGCATAAATAATGCGTTTTTTACCTTGGAAGCCAATACATACAGTAATCAGAGGATTTTCATTGAAACTGTGCCTAATTTGAAGTCTGTGGCATTAACTCCTTCATCACTATCCTGACTTCTCATCCAGTTGCCAGATTTGAAGGGAGTAACACAGTAAGCTTCCACAGTGCTGGAGCATCTTAGAATCATCCAGGTTGGAAAAGACCCATCTTCTTTGCTTATATCCAAAAACAAATTATGGGAAGACAGTAGCTACGAACAGCAAATGAATCAGGGCTTAGTCTCAGATTCCAAAGCATTTAGGCTTCAGACTAACTCAAACTTAGCAGCAAATACATACCTAACTTCCTGGCTATGAAGAAGACAGTCAAGATTTTTCTTGGACATGTAGAGTGAACGAAGGATAAGACACCAAATGGGCACAAGTTGCACATTTGGTAGTGTACTTAAGGTAAGCATAGAGTCCAAAATGAGTGAGAAACTGAAATTCAGCCACTGTTCCCAAGACTTCTTGTGTAAACTTGAGTCATTCAGAATATGTTGTTATCAAACAGAAATGCTTCCGATCTGTGTTGACATAAGACAAGAATCAATCTTTTAGCTGTTAAATAGCAGCAGCCCACACAGCTGATTTTCACAGCCTATATCCATAGTACAACAAAAAATAATAACTATTATAGGAAAAAACAAAGAAAGAAAGGTTCCAGGCTCTTGAGTGAAATAAAGAAGAGGTGGATGAATCTTGTTTTGGTTACCCTCATTCTTCTATAGAAGAGTTAAAACAAAGGGCAATAGTGCAACTAGAACGGAGTCATTAGAAATAGTAAGAAATAGAATTAAAGAAAAATAGGAAAAAAATGCTTAGAAACATAAAACAGAAAAGAGTGTTGAGAGTGTTCTAAAATCATCTCTACATAGTCTCTTTTTTCAAGCTCTGCATCAGAAGCTAAGACTTAGCCTTTAAAAATGCATCAGCAAAGGTTTTGTGTGTGAATCCCTTTTTTTGAAACTAGCACTGTATTCCATTTATGCGTTGGACTCCCACAAATGACTGGCTGTATCTGCATTTGGGGCTCAGTTCTGTAAAACATTGTTGCATGAGATTAATTACTTGTGTACAAATAGTAACAGGCAAGTGTACTGGTGGCATTTTTAACTTAAAAAAAATTTTTTAACTTTTTTTTTTCTTTTATAGCTTACCTTCAATCTAATCAGGTCATGGGCTGGGGAGAGAAGGCAATTGAATTGCGCTCTGTGGAAACAGGAAATCTGGAAGGAGTATTTATGCACAAGAAAGCGCAGAAGCTAAAATTTCTATGTGAAAGAAATGACAAGGTACGGAGATGAGTACAGTGTGTCGATCGAGCAAAACCAAGTAATTTTCATCTACAAAACTAAGACCATGTAATTTCTGTAACTATGTATTTACACTGTTTTTTTTTCTTATCTTAGTATAATTTTCCCAACCAAAGCAAATGTTGTCAGTGAACCCACAAAGCAGTGGATATTGCACACCTTGACACAGCCCTACTTTACCCAGTAACGTTACAAGTCCTATTCCACCTAGCGTTAACTGATTTCAGAAGTGCTAACAAATACAGACATTGATGACTGGGCAGATTCCAGCACAGCACGTGCAGTGGGGAGGACTGGTGAGCCAGCTTTGATAATGCCTAAATACAGGACTGCCTCTCCTGGGCTGCCAAAATTACATGCAATTCAGAGCAGCCATCAAGGTCAAAACAAACAAGGAAAAAAAAAAAAAGAAAACAGCACAAAGATTTCACATATTGAAGGCACCTGGAGAATGGATAATCAAGTATGATTTCTTGCATATGGCACAGCAGTGCTGGATAAATGTTCTCTGAAACCTGTTTAGTCCCACTGATTTATTTAGATAACTGGGTCCCCTAAACTGTTTAGATTATTTTAAAGTGTGTTCTTGTGACTTTCCAGATAGAAAAAAAAATATATATAGCAAAAAAATATACCCCAGTTGTAGTACAAGCACTGTTTTCCTTTAAAAACTTTCTTTGTCAAAATTGAGGTGTGATTTATATATCCTGGTACTTCGGACTGTGATGTTCTCTCATATTTCACATATAGATAAAAATATTTTCATAAATGTACACTGACAGTAATTTATGTTGTTTTTTTTTCCCTGTTTTCTTTCTCCCCCTTTCTAGGTGTTCTTTGCATCCGTACAGTCAGGAGGCAGCAGTCAAATTTACTTTATGACTCTTGGTCAAAATGTACTATTTAACTGGTAAATCACATCAAAATGAAGGATGCTTTGAAATTCCCTGTAGCTAGCAGTGTAAAATGCTTGAAGGTAATACATGCAAATTTGCACTTTTTACCTACAAAAATATTGTCATATAGAATTTGTATTCTTTCAGTTTGGAAAGAATTCCATTTTCCTGTCAAATTATTGCAAACATGTTTTGTTTGTCTTCTCAAACATGCTGCAAACCAAGACTGTATTCACAGTGTTAGAGCAACTTTAATGAAGAATGTAAAGTCCCTGTACTCAGAAGAGTTTACAATTTCCTTTTTTACAGATAATGTAATATTATCACCTTGAACTGAAGTCTCTTTCTTTTTTGGACAGCAACATCTATAGGTAGATACAAAAACAAACAAGTTGGATGGCAAATTGGAATCTATTTTGAATTGGTTTTTGGTTGGTTTTTATTTTGAGCAAGTTTTACTGTTGCACCAAGACTCACTTGTGTGAGTCTTACGATCAGTGGAAGAGTGACTTTTCACAAAGGGGCCTACCTCAGACACAGATGCTGAGGGATCGTGTCCTGCAGTAGGGAGAATGCGTGCATTTCACTGCAGAGCTGTAAAAGCACCTACTTCGGGACGTGCCCCACATGGCAGATTTTATAAAATGCAGGGGACAGACTCCATGTTTCTCTCAGGGCTGGACGCCTGAGCCCACAGACACACTTACTGTAGAATGTATTTGTAAAAACAGTTTAAATAGTTTGTCAAAAATGTATGCATAAAGCGTTAGGGACCTGAACCTGTAATTTTTACTCAAACAAGGGACCCATACTCATGTGAGTTGATTTAATGGCACTACCCCTGTATATAAGGGCACAGGATCAGGCACCTTCTTTTCTTTCCTTCTTGCTCTTTCAGCAACAAGTCTTCATGTATTTGTGTGTAAATACAATCTTTCCAAAATGGGTATTAACAAATGTATTCTTAATATAGTTACGAAAATATCCAGAGTTATTCTATTATAAATAAGAAAATATAAATAATTTCAGGTGCTTTCTATGCTAACTGCATCTAAATAAAGCTGCATCCACTAGTGTTATTGGTGCCAGTGTTTCTGCATAAACTCTGTTCTCAGGGGCATGTAACTTGGCCATAAAACTAAACAGACATTCTGTGATTAAATTGTAGGGTTTAATGCAGTCAGCATTTAGCTGATATTTGGATGTGCTTTGAAAATGTAAAGCATCAAGTGTAACACAAAAGAGCTTATTCCAGACATGATATAGTATGGATGACACTGTAGGCAAAAGTGAAATTGATAGCTACAGTGTTTGAAAATAGTTTGGTTTTGTTTTTACTTGAAATATGTGATACTGGAAGGTGCAGGGAAAGTGTATTGGAATATCTGGTTGTCTACCTCAAGGATGATGATTCAAAATTTGCTAAGAAGGGGAGAAATAAAAGCTGTTCAAACTGGTATCTGTTTTGTACAGCATGTCAAATTAAGGTAGTGTTAGCCATCATTTTGTGGCCGATGGGTGCTCTGACTGCAACCATCAGCTCCAGAATTGGCATCTTCCCATATAATATCAGCAGAGAATCAAACTCGGGGCTAATCGCCTCTTCCCCATGGTGGCACCTCAACTGCTGCAGGAAGATAGAGATGCCAACACTGCTTCTCTCTGTGTTCTTTGGCTATGTGGAGGACTGCACTTTCCAAAGTTATTAACCTAGCACTTTTCATGAGCACTAGTTTATCTCAAAACGTATAGTGTTTTTTTAATGAAGTATTTTCCTCTTAAATGGTTAAAATTACAGAAAAAAATAAGCCTAAGCCATACTAAAAAAGATATGCAGTTATATACTCAAAGTAAATTTAAATGTATGCAAGTGATCAGCTTGTGTGTAAAATTTTAGAATCTGAGTGGTGTGCACTGCCTGGGCAAAGCTGTGTGAAATCAGGTCTCTGGCTATTTGTAGTAATATTCCTACCTGTTGTCCGTGCTAGGGCTGGGACAAATGAGCAAAACAGACATATTTTAGCCTGCCTTGGCTCCCTGTGCTACTGAGCACTGGGCTTATTTTGGTCAATTGTTATCAAAAACAAACACCACCAAAAAAAAAAAAAAAAAGATGAAAGTTACAATTACACGCAAAAGAAATTACAATCAGAAATACAATTTACTTGCTTTTACTTCAAATAAAAAGTCTAAGAGGCTGTGAAGAAAGAACACCTTTCATTTTGTACCCAGTGGGTGTGCAAAACTTGCTTGCAAAACTGCTCTTGCTATAAGCAATCAGTGACCCAGGCTGCTCTACAATATTTTTAAAGTGTGCTTATCACAGCAGCCTCTGCATAACATGGATGGCAGGTGAAATTTTCTCCTTCTCCCATTTTGGTGACAACAGGTAGGAGGCAGGTTCTCCCTGATGCTAGACATTAGTTCGAATGGATTTAACAGAGTACCGTGGGAATTCAGATCAGCTCGTGCCAAGAGATTAAAGAAGCAAAATATCATCAAACTTTTTTAATATTACTGCAACAGAGAAGTAAGTCGACACTCTGTGAAGATGTTTAGCTCTCTACCAAGAAAAACAAAGTGGGTTTGAGAGAGGGGATGTGTGCTACTGCATTACGATGTTAAACTCTCATTCTGCTTCCTTTTGTTAGTTCTCTTTTCTTTTGAACTATGATTCAAGTCAGTGGTTGGATTTTCACCTGTCACTTTGCATGTAAAACCATTGGAATTATTGGGATTAACATCCATGTGTAAATATGGAAAGAATCAGGACCTTGGAGGTAAATGCTTTTAAAGGATTTAGAAGTGGTATTCCAAATAGTAAGGCAATGAGGTGTAACAAGGAGACAAATGTGTCATTTTCTCTCCATCAAGAGAAAATCAGAAGGGATGAAGATGAGAAAGCTCAGAGATGTTGAGAAGAGTAACTGAAGAGAGTAGAAGTAACTGAAGAGGAGGGAAAAGCTGAAGAAAATAAACTAGAGTAGCCAAAGGGAGACAGTGGATGTCTGGAACGGGTGTATTGCTGTAGGAATAATAATAAAAAATACAAGTTAAGAAACGTTAAGGAAAGTAACCAAAGAAATTGAAAGGTATCTGGAGTGTCTGGGTGGTCTGAACGCTGACTGAGGGTGTTGTGAATAGTTAATAAAGCAAAAGCTCAAAGGCTGGAAGGAAAAAAAAAAAATCAAGAGACTCAAGGTTTTCCTGACATAAGTTTAACTATGCAAAATGTGGATCAGCCCTGTGTTTTCATTCTGTGAGGAGTTTCTCTGGCTGTACGTACCCTCTCTCTAACTCTTAGGACCACAGGGTGAACTGCCCAACAGTTTGGTTTTCCTCTCATTTCACTTTGATGCGAACAAACGCGATTGGGGTGTTCCTCTGGTACATGCAGTTGCCTAACGGCAGGTGGTGCTCCTCACATTGCATTTGCCCGGCCAAGCGTGCACTAACACTGCAGCGAGAGCGTTTTCTACATGCCTGTTTTCATTTAAGAAGGGGTGAACTCCATTCTGCAGCCTGACCCTTGACGCGTGACTCCACAACCTGGGAACAATGCAAGCTGTGTACTGTACGTCATGTATGGGTTTTTTTTTATCGTTCCCTAATGTTCAACTTGTACAACTGAAACTAATAAAAAAACCTCTGAAAATCAAAACTAATGCTGTCCTTGTAAAATTTTGTTATCTTGCCATAAACTATTGTAAAAGTCATATATTGTTTGTTTTCAAAATCCAGTCAGCACACCTTCAGAAATGCCTGGCTCTTTCTGCCTGCAGAGATGAAATAACGTATTTCCCTGCAGTGGATAAAGATGTTGAGTCGACAATGAGAGTTCAGGCTCCACAGAATGCACATAACGGTGGCAGCCAGCACTGTGCTGCTAACGAGCTTTACAAGCGAGTTTCCCTGCTTCTGCCTTTTCCTTGCACACACCCCCAGTGGGCCCAGAGAGAAACAACAGCTTGCAGGCACTGACACGGCAAGAACTGGTTTTATGACTGTTTATCAGCCTGAATGCCAGTGTAGCCCCTTCGCTTCTCAGGTATGCTCACGTCGCCTTTGTTGCCACATATAAAATTTCCCTAACGCGAGAAGTGATGGTGCATTGTAGCTGTAGCATTTGAGAGTGAGAATTAGGAAATTTGCCACTTATGCCAGTGCTGGAGTTGGAAAGGATAAGTTTTTTTTATATATACAATTTTAATTAAAAAAATATATATCTTGAAATAAAGAGTAATTTTTTCTAGAACCAGCATGAAAAACCTTGTACCCAGCTCCAGATATGTGTCAAGACTTGCAGGTGAGGACCCCAGGGTTTACTTTTTTGAGGTGATCCTTTGATTTCTGCCTGTAGGTAAGTGTTACCTTGGCAAAGGTTAGTAACACGCACTGAGAAGTGCCAATCTACTTATGCCCAGTTTTTCTACTTGCTTTTAATGTCATATTTTTCAGAGGTGTGGCTATGGGTTCCATCTTCCCTGTCAATTACTACACTTTTTTTCCTTTTTTACCCCCCTTAACTGAGATAGTTCTGCTGTTGCCAGGAAAAAATCTAAGGCCAATATTTGTTTGTTTTTACAAAAAGATGCAAATTTCTCCCTTCATTTAAAAAAAAAAAAAAAAAAAACTGGCAGGGTTTTTTTCTACAAAAGTTTCAGGAAGCAGAACTTTGAAAGTAACCAGCAAACCGGCCTTTTACAAAAGGCTTATACCTGTGAAAAATAGAAGCCCATTGGCCATTCCCAGAAACACTTCTCCATTTTTGGTCAAGTTATAGATGGAAAAATAACCATTCACATGTGCTCAGTATAATCTCTTGCAAAAGCCCATCTCCCAGAGTCCTAGCAGGTGTTTTGTTCCAGCCTGAATAAGAAGGTCATAAGAAGGAAACTTAATATGAGTATGAAGGAAAGCTTATAAAAAAAAATTGAGAGCAACTTTCTGCTCGGGGAGACATGGGGGAATGGTTTGAAACTTAAAAAAGGGAGATTTAGATTAGATGTTAGGAGGTAATTCTTCCCTCAGAGGGTGGTGAGGCACTGAACAGGCTGTCTGGAGGAGCTGTGGATGCCCCAGCCCTGAAGGTGTTCAAGGCCAGCCTGGATGGGGCAACCTGGGCTGGTGGGAGGTGTCCCTACCCATGGCAGGGCGTGGAACTGGGTGGGCTTTGAGGTCGCTTCCAACCTGAGCTGCTGTGTGATTCCATGGTCTCATCCTACCCTTAATTGTAGTCGGATGATCTGGCAAATAATGACTAAACAAAAAGCAATCTGGCCCAACTAAGGCACTTGTTTATGTGACTGGTAAGTAAAATTCAACTGTCTAGCAACAAAACAGAATTAGTCTTTCTCTGCTCATCCTCTCCTGCTCCCATCCTGGGTTGTTCAACTGAAATGCTATTATGAAAAGAGAAAGTTGCAAATTGTTAGAAACTGAATGCATTTGGACATGCCGGAGCAAGTCCCAGACTCCATCTATATGCTGTAGCACTGGTTCGTGTGCTATAGCCTCTGGCATAAATCATGGAGGAGGTGCACGCTGGACTCCGGGACAGCTTTCTGCCATCAACAAGTAAGACCAGGCCTCTCCATGACCTTCTTAAGGCAGCAGCCATAATCACTCCAATATGTGACTTGCTTAGTCCTCCTCCTCCACACACACACTTCATTCTAGCTTTACACACTTGCATCTTTTTTTTGCTTTATGTTCTGTAACATGCTGCACAAAAGAAGCACATCAGTGCCACAAAGCAACAGTGAGATGGCTGTTAGATTCTGCACAACATAATTAAGCAACTGTTTATTTAGAACCTATAGGGCTGCTAAAAATAGCCAGGAAGGGAAGGCATTAGCAGGCACTAATAAAAGACTTAAGAATTCCTCTCTCCCTGGAAAAAAAAACACCCTACCTTAAGAGCCCTTCAAACCTACTGTGACTGATTAAAACTGCCCTGATCCAAGCTGTATCCATGCTGCACCTAATGGCATAAACAAAAATTTCTATTGTCTCTGACAAAAATACACTTCTGCAAAGAAAGCAATGCAAGTCTGCGGTTTTGGGGTTATCTCCCATCATATCTGAAACTAAAATATGTTCATACACTTTGTAATTTGCCAAATATTTGCTTAAAAAAAAAAAGCCAGGTATTACAAATAATTTAATTTGTAAAAGAGTACATGTAGGTGGCAAGATACAACTGTGCACATGCACACAATGCAAGCTACAGAGTATATCAGACAAACTGTAAGTACTTTTGTATTACCTATTGCTGCTGGACCTCAAAGAAATAGCATTTTAATTTTATATTTGTTTTATATTAAAAAGTGGTTTGTTCTATGGTACGGAATTGCTCTGGAATTAAATTGGTTCTCCAGAGACCATCATAAAAGCTATCTTACAACTTCAGCGCCCTGTTTAGACAGCTGTATTTAAATTAAATGTAACAAAAGCAAATTGCAATCTATATTAAAGGTTTTCTCTTAGACTCTAAGATCTGTGCAACGAATCAAGGTTCCACATAACAAAAGTGTAAGAGATCCTCCTGCTGATAGCCCATTGCTTTCTTAAACTTTTCTTCAAAATGCACAGAGCTGATTAAAAGGCAAGAGCATGTCATCTGGGCAGGCATGTTATTTTAGTATTATTTAATCACATCCTGTTGTTTTCAAGGTTGAGTTAACAAAAGCACCTAAAAGATGAGGATGAAAGGTATTGAGAGGGCTATTTTATGTTTTGTCCTCAAAACACCTCGTGGCGAACAACTGCTTTACAGTAAGCTTTATGATCTTCTGCGGTAACTCATTTCTTTTTAAATCTACAGCATCACATTGTATACTTTAATGCTCTTCATTTTGCTAATGTATTAAACTTAGTATTTTACAGAATGTAGTAAGTTTCTCCTATTCAGCGTAGCCTGCTCCTCATTGCTATAGAGGCTGACTGCTGTTTTTCGGAAGGTGTGTTGTACATAAGAACTGAGATCCTCAGCTCTTAACTTTTTAAATTCTGATGCAGCCATTTGATGGCTTGTCACCATTCCTTACTGATTCTCCAAGTGTTTCTGAACTTTTCTGGTTTCTAATACCATCTCAGACTCCATCCCATCCCACTGGTCAGGTATGGCAGGGTGACATCTAGAGGAACTAAAGATGTAAGTGGTCATTGAAGCACACTGTTGACTGCAGTCAGAGAGATTTACCCTGCTTCAGTTTTTAAATTGTTATGTTAGCTAGACACCTGCTGGTGAGAAAGAAGGCAGCTGGAGTAAGTCTAGGAAAGGAACTATCTTGTATCTGAAACTACAATGCATACAAATTTATCAAAAATTTATATAGTATTAACTCTACTATCCGTCCATATTAGTCCATTATCACTCCATAAAAGCTACAGCTTCATCCTTTTCCTGAGTCAAAGCCCAGTGACTTACAATAATAAAAAATCCTGAAGACAGTGTGGTACATGTACCAATTAGTACTGCTCTAAATAAAATACTTCTGCAAATCACATCACAAGCACGGTGCAGAGCAGCTGGGAACAGTCTCCAGTTTTCCCTCATAATGCCTAGCGACTCACTTAACAGTTGAAAAAATTCTACACCATGGCTCCCTGGGGATGGTTTGCATGTGATGTGAAATCATATCATATCATATCATAGGTAGCATATCCAGTGTGATCTCACTAAAAAGGTGTTTGGGTTGCATTCACTTCTTAAATCACAAATGCCACTTTATCAGTCCATACAAAGAATGTGTGTTTACGGGGGAAAACGAAACACAAAAACACCTGTTAAAGTTTTACTCAATACTCTGGCTTCAACACAGATAGCAAAAATGACTAATATCAATTTTCCTCAATAAGGAGCGCACTATTACATAAAATCTATAAATTCATCCAATGACTAGGGTAGTACAAAGGCCAGTAAAGATTTGTTTTTATACCCCAATGTCTGAATTTTTTGGTCTGTTTTAAATAGTTTTAAACAGCTTTTCCAGTTTCCCTATGGCAAAAGCTCCAGCTGCAGAGGCAGCAGCCTGGGAATGCGGTCCTTCTCTGAGAACTGCTTTTGGCCTTACATTTTAAGCAGCACGGCCTAGGCTGTAGCCCCACTTTGGTCTTCTGGATTTCTAAAAGTTACCTAGACTGGTGCCACGGTAAGTACTGGGCATGGCTTCTCTTTTAGTGGGTGACATTAGTAGGGGGACAGTTGGACCAGATGGTCTTGGAGGTCTTTTCCAACCTTAGTGATTTTGTGATTCACTTCTGGCCCTTTTATCCTTACTTACCTCAGCTTCCTGCTCTGACCTACTGAGCAGGGGAGCTCGGCTTTATATAGGCTTTCAGCCTGGTAGGTTCTAATATAATAGGTTCAAGGGCTAATACACACATATATATATATATTGCTGAAAATATGTATGTATTAGTAAGTGCTAATATATAAAGTAATATAATAATAGTAATTTAATAAAGTGTTAAATACAACGTCCTTAATGTCCAGAACTTACTCTTTGAAGTGATCAGGGGGTCGTGAAGGGAACAGAATGTCCTCGATGATGGCGGAGGGATGCGAGTCAGTAATAAAGCAGCGAGGCTGCACGTTTGGGGACCAGGAGGAGCAGCTCCTCCAGCTGGCTGTTAACTCATCCGCACTGCTGGGCACAGCGGAGGAGGCAGATAAGGCAGATGCGAGCTGTTTGAAGCATCGGGGGCTACGAGTGCCACCAGAACAAACACCGCTTCAGGCGTTATCGCCCTGAGGGCGCAGGGGCACCGTTAGGCGCGCGCTCAAACCCTCCGAGAACCCGGGGCGGGGGAGCAGGTGCCTCACGGAGCCCCCTCAGCGTGCCGGGGCCGAGCAGCAGCCGCCCCGTTTGGCAGCGGGGGCGCTGCAGGAGCCGGCGGGGACAGCCCCGGAGCCCCGTTGGGATCCGTTCCAGCCGCCTTCCGTCACCGTCCCCCCCCCGTCCCCGTCCCCCCCCCCGTCCCCGTCCTCCCGCCCATGCCAGCGACCGTTGGCTGGAACGCGCGCGCGCGCGGAGCCCCGCCCAGGCCGCGCGGCCTCAGCCGCCCAAAGTAGCGGCAGGAGGAGGCCGCCCGCCCGCCGCCGCCGTCCTTCACCGCCGCCTTCCGCCGGGGGGAGCCGCGAGGCAGCTGTCATGGAGGACCCCGGCCCGGATCCGCCCGACGACCCTCACGACGGCAGCACCCCCGCCTCCCCCAGCAGCAGCGGCGGTGGCGGCGGGGGCAGGCTTCGTGGCTGCTGAGGGTGCTGGAGGCGGCGCGCGGCGCCTCCCTCCTCAGCGCCTCGCCCGCCGAGATGCCGCCGCTGACGGTGGTGGCGGTGGAGCGGTACCTGGCCGAGGCTCCGCCGTGCCCCCCGGCGCCTCCGTGCCCCGCCGCCGTGCCCCCGCAGTACTGGTACGACGTGACCCTGGCGGACGGCTCCCGGCAGGAGCGCTGCCACCTGGCGCCCAGCCTCAACGGCCTGGTGCAGCGCGGCCACCTGCGGCCCGGCGCCCGCCTGCGCCTCACGCGCTGCTCCTACCTCTACGACGAGCGGCGCCTCCGCTACGGCTTCCCCTGCCTGGAGGGCGTCGAGTGGGTGGCCGGGGAGCCGCCCGCCCGCCCCGTGCCCGTCGCCTCAGCGCCGCGCCCGCCCCCCCTGCGCGGCGAGAGGAAGCACTACCTGCCCCTCTGGAACAACGAGGATCCCTACGGGGACGCCTGGGAAGCCGAGAAGCCGCCGGAGAAGGTGGACGTTGATGGTAAATGGGCGCCTGGGGGGATGGGGTGGTGGGTGTGGTGCTCCTCTGGGGGGGGTTTGTTCCTCAGGGGGTGTCTCTCGAGCGCCAGCTGCTCTGGAGGTGGGTGTGCTGCTGATGGACAGCGCTCTGTGTCCTCCTGCACGCGTCCCTCTCCTTACAGTCCGTGTAAATATCAATAGCGCATCACACACAGGTGTAACTGTTTTGCAGCATTACCAAATTAGCCTCTTGAAACATGCAAACTCTTGTTCTGTGGGCTTTACAACTGAAAACCCTTGAAATGCCCAGTCGTGAACGCTCTTCCCTTCTTCCCTCTTTAATGTCAGTCTCTAAGCTAACTTCTCTTGGTCATCTGGAAATGACGTGGAGAAGCAGAATTCACTTCCATCCGCTGCTGGTCAGAGTGCTGCACAAGTCTAGGCTAAGGTACTACGGGAAGCCAGAGAAAAAAATGGATGTGCCATATCAGGTAAGGAGGCGTTAGGGTGTAAGTTAGTGCTCTTGAACAAATGTGATAGGATATTTGGAAGTTACTGTTCCCATGTTTTAAACACATAACATTAACACTCATGTTGTAGATAACTTTGTATTAAAAATGCTTCATAAAAACGCTAGGCCCTTCCAAGTATGGAAATGGTGGAGTTGCTGGTAGTATGCACAAACTTTAGTAGATGTTTCAGTTACTATAGTCCAGTTGAGATTTCTCTGTGAAAAGACAGAATATTTGCTTAGAAGACTGTTTTCTGGTCTGTATGCTTTGGAAGGGGGAGTTGGTTTGTCTTGTACCCCAAAAAATAATACTAATAACTTTTTGTCCCTTAATTCTTGTACTAGATGACTTCCAGATAAATTGTTTTTTTTTTGTAAAACTTTTTGGTCTTCCTAATATGTTGAGCTTTTTGTGATATTTTATGTAATGCTTCTTGGAAGTGGAACTGCAGGTGTGCTTGATTACCCACAGCTGTACTCATCAGCTGCTCACTTGTTTCTCCTGCCCTTAGAAGGGTGTTGGGGAGAAAATTGGAAGAGCAAAAGCAAAGAAAAACTTGTATGTTGAAATAAAAACAGTTTAATTAAAAAGTGAAGGGAAGAAGGGGGGAAAACCAAAAGAGTGATGCGAAGGCAAACTGATGCCTGTGCAGTCTCAGAGCAACAGGTACTTGGGAAAGACTGTCCCCCAGTTTCATTGCTGAGCATGATGTTATGTGGCATGGAACATCCTGTAGGTCAGACCAGGTCAGCTGTCTCAGCGGTACCACGTGCCAGCCTTGTGGCCACCCCTTGCTTACTTGCTGCATGGGCAGAGGGAGAAACAGACAGGCCAGCAGTAGCTGAAACACTGGTGTGTTATCAGCGCTGTTATAGTCACAGACATAAAACGCAGCACCATGCAGGCTGCTCTGAAGAAAATTAACTCCATCCCAATCAGACTGCTTACTAGAGAGCAACACTTCACAAACAGGTCCGATAATTCCTTTTTTTTTTTTTCGTGGGGACAGAGAGGTATTCAATTTGTTAATGAAAGGCCATGTTCACCTCTTGTTCCACGTTTCCATTCCCTTTCACACAAAGATGAATCTGGGTCTTTTGCAGGAGATGATTCTTAGTTTGTTTTGGTAGATTTCTACCTTGTAAGACTGTTCACTGTAAGACTGTTTTAAAAAAAAAAAAAAAAGTATTACTGCTCAGTGATCTGCTCAGTTATGGATTCAAAGCTTTCCCATTTAAGAAAAGTAGGTAGAAGTCTTTGTCATAAGCACAATTTCAATGAAAAGATGGTGGTTTGCAATGCAGATCTTCCGAGTATTTTTTCAGCTTGAAAATAGTCTTGTATCTTGTTTTTGTCAAGAATGTTTACCCAATGATACTTCAGCTTCTCAACTTTCAAAACACATTTTCTTATCCACGGAGGCATTTTGAAGTGTTATTCTAAATACTGCATTCTATCTGATAAAGAAGAATTGTTTCTCTATCGATTCTTGTGCACAGTATTTCCCAAACCTCCTCCAAGAAAGCATAGGGTGAAACAGGCATCACCTCCTGTTAGTGAGTACTAGAAAGAGTTTGGGCTGTTGTAGTTGTGGATGAATTTTTCTTTGGAAACTGGGTATTTCTTCAACGCCAGTATTCAGTGCAGGTTTTGGAACATACTCTGGATCCATTTGTAATAAGTGAAGTCATTCATGAGTCAAGTAGCTGATGCATTATTTAAAAAAAAAAAAAAGAAGAATGATGATGCTAAAAGGTGTTTTCTTGTCCCTTTTTGTTTAGGCTTACTTTGAAGTTGCTGATAGCTCAGGCATGATATCGATGGTTTTGTGGAATTCGTTATGTCCTGAATGGTATAACAGTATGAAGGTTGGCACGGTACTCTTCCTTGAACAGTATGCTATCAAAAACAGCTATCCATTTAAAACACAGCCAACCCCGGGAGATTCACAGATGAAGAGATTTGCTACAATTGGTTAAGTATTGCAGAAATCTGTTTTGATTCTGTGAAATATAGCTGTAAAAAGGGGAAATAGAAAGTAAAACAGCAAGTGATCCATTGCCAAGACTGATTGATGTGATATATATCTGTAATAATTATTCTTCCCTGTTTATATTTGAATCACGTTTATGAAGTTTTTTTGCCACAATTAGATAAAACCTTTAAAAAAAAATAAAGATAAAAGAATAAAGATAAAAATCCCTGATTTCAAGTATTGAGTTCATAATGCTGGGCCTCTGGTACTGAATTTTAATCTGATTCTGCTTCTTCCTGATAAGTAAAACAGATACTTTTTTGTGCACTGTTTGCACATACTGCCAGGTCATTGAAGTGCATAGTCACCTGCTCTGACTGTAGGCTTTAGTGTGGTCAGGCCCTGGTGTATCTGCAAAACTCCACTGAGTAAAAACTTGCGTTGGTGACTGCTGTCTGTACTGAAACAGCAGCACCATGGGAGTTCATATTTGAAGAATATTCCTTGACTGTGAGAAAGCATTTTCTTACGTGCTGTTGTTTGACAGATATTCAAGAGCCGTGCCACAGAAATACAAGTGGTGGAATATAACAGTAATAGCCTTTCCAAACTACGTTTGGTCTACAGTTGTTTTATTTTCTCTCCCACTTCACTGAACATGAGCTTTTTTTCCCCCTTACATGCTTATACTCAGAACAAAATGTTCAGAAAATACAAACAGCTGCCTTGAAACAAGCAAATATGTGTTTTTGATGGATGATGATGTATAACTTACTAACAATGACAGTTTCCTAATGCAGTTGCTACAGTGCATGAAAATAAACAATATTTTCACTGCTAGAAGCAGTGTATTCTCTGTCTAATGTATCTTCACCTTAAAATCAGATCTTAATGTGCAGTGTTTGTGATGAGTTGACAGGAGAGAGAGATGTTTAGCTGGGAAGGGAATTATGGGAGGGGAGCTGATGATATTTATAAACCTTCCCTCAAGCAATTGTAATTGCTGCAAAACCTTTCTGTGGGAAGAGAACAGAGTAAGATATGCCCTGAGGTGACTTTTGAGGCCAACGACTTCAATCCTAATGGCTTTGTTCACACTACACTACTGATTTCCACAAGCATTAGTGTTGATGGAGAGATCAAAATAGCAAATGAGACCGATGGGCCATAAATGATAGTATCTAATGGGAAACTTAAAACAATCAGTCTCTAGTGAAGTGCCACAGAGTACTTTCAGGCCACAGATAAATCTTTGGTTCATAGCAGCATGTACATGCAGTATCTTATTTCTTAGCTCAAAGCTCAGAATTTTGTCTCAATATGAACTTACAAAGCATGTTGGGCCATGTGGTGGTAGATCTTGAGTCCATATAGCCTACATATATCCATATATCCTACAAGAGGAGAGTCTGAAAAGAATAACATCTAGAAAATTTCCTAGAGCAGCTACAGTTGATGTTATGCAGCTCTTGGAGCATGATCTTCTGTTGTTCAGGTGATACATTTCACCTTTGTTAACATAGGTGAAACGTAATGCCTCAGTAACTACTCAACATAAAAATCTCTATTTCAATTTTTAAAGCATGTGCAGTGGGTGTTCCAAAAATTCTTCAGATAGCTAGGTAAAGAAATCAATTACACTGGGTTGCTCAAGTCAACAATTACTTTGTTTTCATAATCAGTTCCAATTTGTAATTTGATCACATACCAGCTTTCAGGTGTTCCTTATGACCATTCACCTGTAAATGTTTTAAAATGTATCTGTAGGGTTAACAAAGCTAGAATTTGTTAGTCTACAAGGGAAGGGGCTTTGAAATTTAAGAGTTCTACAAGATGGCATGTTTCTGGCATACGCCTGGTTTTCTGTGAAGCGAGTTCTGTATCGCCCACTTGTTTCATTTGCAGCGTTGTATGACATGCTAAGAGGTGCTGTTCTATAACCTAAAACTTCTAAAGCTTGAATACTTAGTACACTCATCTTGAATTCCACCTCTGGGCAATGTGTACGTCTCACACGTCACTGAATTTATGTGGTACTGATGAAAACAGCTGTTTCAAATAGCCCGGACTGACTTTCAGTTCTGAGTAATCCCAGTATATAATCTTTGGCTGAGTATATGGCTTTCATCTAATCTCAAAACGACCAAAATTTTTAAAAAATTGATGAATTGTTTTGATGGATAGAGAGGAGTGGTTTGTTTTCAGAAATTTTCTCACAATTACTGCCTGAAAACACCACGTACAAAACCACATTAGTCCTCCAAATACATATCTAGCAAGTAGCAGCCTGAAGAAAATTCTTAAGCAGAAGGTCTTTTTTTTCCATACAATGCCTTCCTGGTGTCATACCATGAGGGGAAGGGCCTGATAGGGAAACAGCTGTATAGGTTATTTATTCTTAGCAATTACTTTTCTGTGTGCATTATTCAAATAATCCCTTATCTGAGCCCAGGTATCTTGTAGAAATGGGATCAGAACAGTCTTTTTCATAACAGCGAGTTTTGTCTCATGAGAGAGACGATAGAGTACCACTTAGAGCATTCTATATGCTGAAGCCATTCCTTCTGTATTCTTAGCTGGTTGCCATCCCCTGCCCCCCAATGTTCTACCATGTTTGTTACTTAGCATCTAAACACTTTGCTTAATAAAATAAAATTTTCAGGGGTTATGATATAGAAATGCAAAGGCCTTCTGTCTTCTTGCATGGCCACGTCATCGTTTCTATCTTACTTATAACTGCCTGAACTGGTGTCATGCACGGAAGTTCTCATCTGCTGGTTCTGTCTTCTTCTTTCTTCATTGTCTGCAAAATAATTTTAGATTGTAGTGACACTTGAGAACAAAAATAAATATTTCATAGCTAAGCAGTATTGTATTAATTTCTTTTGCTGATGTTTAAAATACCTATCTGGAACAGACTAACTGGCTCATGTTCCAATTTTTCATTGGAAAATTTAGCATTGCTCAGATTCAGAAGTTGCATCGTGGAATGCTGTACCTGGATTTCTTTATCTCAATAGAAATATGAAGTTAGAGGACTTCATGGGTGATTTCACAAGCAGTGAGACATGGTTGAAATACATCTTTTATGAAACTTTACCTAGTTTTGTTTCAGGTTTTGTTTTTATTTAAAATGAAAAGTGTTTTCTTCAGTTTGTATTCATGCTTTACATGCTCAGTTTTTTTTTGTTGTTTGTCAGAAATCAGCCTTAATGTACGTGACCCACCTACCAAAATAAGTATCATTCCAGAAGAAATGGTTAAGCCAGAGTGGGGATTACCTGAAGTTAAATACCGCTTTATCACAAGGTAAAATGGAAATTAGTTGTTTGTCAAGCTGGAATTTAAATTTCATTAAATTACAGAGTGTTAATTGGAAACGTGATTTAAGAAATCTCTTAAGAAAGCTGTATGTTTTGTCGTTCATTCATTAATACCAACATTTTTGTTCTGTTCTGTTTTTAGGTCAGAGCTGGATAACTTACCAAACAATCATTCTTGTGATGTTATTGGTCTTGTGACATTTGTAGGAAGGATTGAACGAGCAAGAAAGAGAGGTTTTTGTATAAATAAAACTTTAAGAATTTATCAAACCTTTTTTAACTTTCCGAAGAAACACTTACATGTTTTTCTTAATATTTGTTTATACAGAACACAGTGAAGACTTCTGGCTCTATCGTTGGGCACATGCCATTGATGGGACCTCAGAGCAACCATTTATACTGGAAATATTCGCAACTTCTCAGCCAGATGTGTTTGAGCGTATTCATCCAAGTATTTATCTCTTTACAGTACTTATTAATAACTGTTCATAATGTTTTTTCTAGTTGGTCACTAATTTCAAATTCTGAATATAATTGCCATTGATTTTTTGTTTAAGTGCCTTGGTTTATCTCCTCAAACAGAAAATAGCTGATCAGGAATTACAAACTAAAATAATAATAATAATAATAATAATAATAATAATAATAATAATAATAATAATAATAATAATAATAATAATAAGATAAAGTACTTGAAATTCTTGTCATACTGCAACCTACCAGTTAATCTAGACAGATAGAGGCAGCACAACCTGGGGTTCATCTGATGTGGTTAATTTCAAACAGAAAATTTAGTGAAGCACCCAGGGCAACATCTCTTTCATCAGAAACAACTAAAGAAAGAAGGCAGCTCTTTAAATCTCTTACTCTCTTTCTCCATAAATAAATATTTTTTTATAGACAGGAATAATGTAAGATGATTGGATGAAGGGAGAGGTGAATGTGGAAAAGCTTTGTTTCTTTGAAAAAAATATTTTTGGCAATACAGAAATAATCTGTGAGCTGTGTTAGTTATTTTTTGTGATTTTGTAATGTTACATTTCAAACTGGGGAATCCTTATGGATTTTTTAAAAGGCTTTAAATATTTCTCCTTGCCTTCTCTCTCTTTTCCTCCAAGCTACTCACCCTTCTTTTAACACTGTTACATATTTCATTGACATCCTACCGGATGAAGTGTCACGTTTCAGTGCTAATATGTATGCTGAAATTTTCTTGCACATTTCTGAATTTGAAAATCTAATGACATCTCTATATTCTAATTTATAGCAAAGGCTAAATACATGCTGAAGGTCAAGAATTAAAATAACATGTTTAGACCACTTAATTAAAATAATTCAGTATGAGTCAGTCTTGAAATTCTAAAACCCATTAAATACCGAGAAAAAAAGGTTTTTTGTTTGTTTGTTTTTCTAGTGACATACTTGGTGTGTACACAGATGAGAGTGGTACGGGACCTCACTGACAACCCTTCCAGCACAATTTACCTTACGACTTCGAACGAAAGTCAAATATTCATTACAGGTAACTTAAAGTAGTTTTAGCTCTATGTGGTTCTAATTGTAATTGCTTGGACTATTACAAAAAAAAAGGCGGCATATTGCATTCAGGTGAGGCACTAATTGATGTATCTTATGAAAAGTACAACTATTAGGTTAAGCCATATGTTTACTAAATCTTTTGGATTGTTTTAATCATTAGATAGTGTTGCAGTGAATGTTGCCAGTTTCTTAAAAAAATGAAATATTACTTGCAGCTTTTCTGGGTTACAAATTTCCTTGTTATAATTAAAAAAAGTCAGTAAGGTGAATTTATCTTAGTTTATATTTTCACAAATACTTGAGAGCTGTAATGTTTCATGTTTCCCAATGCAGAGGCCCTTGTGCAGAACATGTGGCCTGGAAAGGGTTGTCGTACTGGGCTTTGCTGAAGGAGCATTCCTTCTAGAAAGTCTTATTTGAAAACTCGGATCTGCAGTACAATACTCGTTATGGCCTTGCAATACTGCACACTAGATAGCATCAGTCAGCATTTCACAGCCAGAATCAGGCATAGCTCGTTGTAGTACTTGGGCTTTTTGATCAGGAGGCAGATATAGCACAGCGTTGTAGGTGAGTGGTGTAATGGCTTAATTGCAAGGGAGTATGAAATAAAGTAGACGCCTCTTTCCTGTGTTTATCTGCCCAGTCTCGTTTCTTCAGATTTCCTATTACATTACTCATCCAGCCTGAATCTTGCTGCTGACAAGGAGGAATAGGGAGTAATATGTGCTAAAAAACTATCTGAACATAGTCGTTTATACACACATGGTCTCTTCTAACAAGCTGGATAGGGTGTTTTGTGCTTAATTGGACTAAAAAACAAGCTAGTCTTTTTCCTAACAGGTGATACATATTACACCTAAATTAAAGGTTTGTGAGTCTTTTTTTACTTGTTTTCCTTCAGTATATTTTGTGCTTAGTTAGTTGTCTAATTATTTCTATTTTGAGCTTTTCCTCAGCCTAGCTTAACTTCATTTTATGTCTCTTTGCATCCTAAATGAGAACTACAGCTGGAGATGACAAACCATTGGATGAGATCAATTTCAATTCATAGCTTAGAAGTAGACTTGCTTATTTGAAGTAGACAATTTATTTGATATAACTGGAATTTAGTCAGTATGTTGGTTTTAAACCAGACATCAACGAATACATACCTTACCAGTTACCTGTCCGGATATTTGCTGAACCCTGTGAAGAGGATCTACCCGTTCTTTCCTGCTGAGGTTATAGAAGAATGAAGAATGTGTAGGTTTTAGCAAAGGCAAAGTTACAAAATGATTTATGATCATTTTATTGTTGCATATACTCATGTGAAAAAAATGTTCTAGTAGTATTGCCAATTGTTTTATTATTTAACATTTGGCTAACTTTCAGTATCAGATGCAAGTGTTAGCTGAGGAATTCAAGATGCTCATTTGAGAATAAAAGCTCGTGACTATAACCTACTTTATTTTTGATATCTGATTATTTTTGTTTTAAAAGGGTGTCACAAGGGCCAGCCATACACCAGAGATACCAAAGTGAAAAACTTCATTCACTGGACTAAAACACAGAGTGAAGCTGATCAAATGAAGAAAACTGTCATTGGTGGCTATTATCCTCTTCCACGACCTCCAAATAGCTTTCTGAAGTATTGTAAAAGTAATAGAGGTATGGTATTGTCAAGTATCTTTAAGATCTGTAGCCTTTTTCAGTTCAGTCTTACTCCAAGCATTTGAAACATCAGTTAAAAAGTAATACAGTTATTATTAGTGATTACACAGATGTGTAATGTCTTCTAAGAAAGAATCCCTTTTGTGACTCATAATGTATCACAGGCCAAATCCTCATCTTACAGAAAGTCAGATTTTGCACTTTGTGCACATCGTTGCAGGAGAACTGTAACAACTTACATGAGCTTCAAGTCTTCCCAGAAGTTTTACTCTGACTGCTCTGCTAAATCAGCATTAAAGACAGTTATTTGGAAGAACATAATTAATTTCACCTGAAAACACAAATTTTGATATCTGTTAATGCATATGAGAGGGAAAAGGGCATATTAATTTTTTTCATGTGATGTAAACAAGAGGATTTAAAATCCTTCAAAAACTTATTTTAAAATCAATTTAATACTTAGTAATGTTTTTTTTTCCATTTTCTTTGAACCTTTCATTCAGACTTTTTGATAGTGCATTTCCTTAAAACTTGTTTATGGGAATTACTCTTTTGCAGTTGAATCAGTTTTGAAAGCCATAGGTGAAATGGGGAAAGAAATTGAAGATTTGCACTACAGGGAACACAAGCGCATTGCTATTCAAGGAATAATTAGCGCCATAAGATACATCAACTGTAGCAATGTAGCTGAAGATGCCTCAGGAGTAGAACCTGTTCAGGTACAGAGCTTGAAAATTAATGCTGTAGCACTTAAGCAGCTATGATCATAATTAGAATTGAGAATATCGCATTTGAATCCAGAACTTGGCTACATTGTCTCTTGATTAGCTGTACGTGCTATTTTGAGAACGACATAGTTTTGCAAGTAATAGTTTAAAATTTTAAAAAGCAGTGATTCAGTGTTTCTCTGAGTTCATTGTAGCAGTCCTCTGTAAAACTGCATAGCTGTTTAGAAGCTAGTAATTTAACTGGCTAGATGATTTAATTAATGTAAATTAGAATGTGGGAGAGTGGATTACTGCAATTTGCGCATTGTCACTTTCTAGACAGAATTTATCTTACTCACTTGCTCTAAAACATACTTTAACACTTCCAGGGTTTTGAGTTGGAAGAAATAGCTCTGGGTGCTTTGAAACTCTTAATTAATTGTTATTGCAGAAAGATGCTTCTCAGACTCTTGAAATTTCTACTGTGTCCAAAGAAGATGGTGTTCAGAAGGAAAACCTTCAAACTAAAGAGTGTACGTCTTTTCTGGGGCCTCAGTATGCTCCTGGGGAACAACAATGGCATCAAACTCCACAATCGAAAAAGAGCACAGTCAAGAGAAAGACAGAAGCAGAAGAGTAAGCTCTTTTCATAAATATGTAGTGTATCTTCTCAAAAACATTCATGTAAATTAATTCAAAACCTAGGTCATAGAAAAGCACGTAAGAAGGCTTTAAAAGGATATGTAGTTTAATCTTTAAAAGTAGTTCTGTGCTTTTCCTAGCATCAGGTGATGACAGTTATGCCATTCAGGCTAATGGAGGATTGATTACAACAGAGGCATTTGATTGATAATGCTCTCTTCTTTTTAAAATTCATTGCTACTTTGTTATTCTCAGGGATTTTCAATAAAGGTAGTTAACACTTCAACAATCTATAGGTTAGTGACCTATCTGTGAAACAAGTAATAGTTACAATGGTTTCTTCACTGGAAATGCAGAACTGGAAGGAATAATGTTTTAGTATAGTTATTCCTTAAATCCAACCATAAAAAATTATTTTTTTTTTAACTTTTTTTCCCCTTTCTGGTTAATGGAAGGTATTACACATAGCTGTAATTTGCTCTTAGAAAGGAAAGGAGAGGATGGTTATACGGTAACCTAAAGACTTGAAATAGCTCACAGTGCTATGGCTCTGCTTGTGATGTAATTCTGTGAAATTTTATTGCACCTAGTTAGACACAGACAAAGGATATCAGTCCAATATAAGAAAATGGGATAAGAAAAAAACTAGTGCAACATTTTTAATTTCAAGAGTAAAATATTTGTTTGTATAAATGTATCCTTTGTTGCAATGTTTGTGCAAGTTCTGATGGAATTGTACCAAGTCTTACAAGCCTCATTTATATACTGAGAGATTTAATGTTGCAAAAATCTAACAAGTCACGTTTTTTGTTTTAGTGGATTTCACATGCTATAAAAGCTTTTTTTTTTCTTGACTTTTCATATTCTGAAGTCATAATAGTTGGAAGAGAGCAGGCATTTCAAATATTTTGCAGGCAAAATGTAATTAGGATTGAACAGAAGCTTACAATGAAAAATGGGGAATAGAAGTTCTGTCTTGGTAATGTCATAGCAAGCATGTTAGTGGATTTCCATTCCATAAGAAAAATGCCAACATTAGAATATTTTAGGTTCTGCCTGGGGAAAAAAAAAAAAAAAAAAAAAAAGCAAGCATGTTCTTTGCTCTGTGTATTTCCATTTAACAGAATTCTGTAAAATAATGGTGAATTTCCTATCTTAAGGGGAAGTACATCTGTTATTCCTGTACCATCTTACCACTATTTCACAAGGTCTGCAAGGAAGAAATTTGGGTAAGTCATGTGAAGTTAATTATGTTAAATATTTGCAATGATGAAGCAAAGACACTTGAAATTAAATTCTTATAGGTTTGAAATTAAACTCTTATAGGTCAGGAATCTGCATGGAAGTGAAAGAACACAATAGAGTGGAATTTAATATTTTCTATTAATTTCCTTCACATTGATTCTAGGTCAAATATATTGGATTATTTTATTCTGAAACAAAATCTTGACTGTGTTATTAAACAAATTTTTAGAGAGCTACATGTGCTACTTAAGGAATACCTAGTAACAGGGGTCCATCATGATAAATAGAGCAATATATGCAGTCTTTGTTTCAGAGAGATTATAGTTTAAATAGGAGAGTCAAAGGTAGGAGCGAGGAATGCTTAATTAGCAAGCAAAGTTAACAATGTGATTGCATTAATGGATTTGCTAGTGGTAATTAAGCTATAAATCATCACTGGTGCTACAGAGGTGTAAGCTCACAGAGGTGTAATTGTCTCTGAGAAGTCGCTTGACTCCTTCCACTGCCCAACACTCAATCTTTATCGAACTTGCTTTGGATCCAGAAAATGATGAAAAAAAAAAAAAATGCAGGTAGGAGTTTCAGATCCATAGTCCTGACAAAACTGGAACCTAAAGAGATGACTACATGTGGGAAATTATTAAGAAAGCAGAATTAATGTTATTTGCTAGTCTGGGGTAGAAAACTTCCTTCCTTCATGCAATTTTGTTTAAGGGTTGTAAATTCTTGTCATTTGTCTCAAACAAAGCTTGAGTAACCTGAATTTATGAACTCTGTGATGACAGTAATTTAAAATGTCTGGTGTTTTGGTGGTGGCAACTGGGGTTTGTATCATGAGTACGTGATACATGTGTGCAGTGGGATCCATTAAGACGAAGGGACTGAAGCAACTAACATATGAGTAAAGGCTGAGAGAATTGGAACTGTTCAGTCCAGAGAAGAAAAGGCTCAGGGGTTAATATATTTGGTAAGTTTAAAGGTTGATATAAATGTATCAACATATATAAATAGCTGAAGGGAGGGTGCAAAGAGAATGGTACCAGGCTCTTTTCGTTGATGCCTAGTGATGGGACAAGAGGCAGTGAGCACAAAATTAAATACAGGAGGTTCTGTCTGAACATCAAGAAGCACTGTTTGTACTGTCAGGGTGACTGATCACTGGCACAGGTTGCCCAGAGAAGCTGTGGAGTCTCCCTCCTTGGAGATGTTCAAAGGGTGTCTCAACCTGGTCCTGGGCAGCCAGCTCTGGATATTCCTGCTTAAGCAGGGGGTTAGACCAGATGGCCTCCAGAGGTCCCTGCCAACCTCAATCATTCTGTGATTCTCTATGCCCTTCCCTGCCTTCTTAGTTCACTTTCAGCACCTCTTCACTCCTCACTAAAGAGAATTTTTGGTGCTAGGGATGTATCGACAATCACAGTGATGGAGGTTATGTAAGTTATTGACCATTCTTCCATGAAGATCCTTTTGGTAGACACTACATTTTCTAGGGGAAATGGTTGTCTGACTCTGCAACTCACTCATTTAGCATGACACCTGGCTTTAGTATCATGCACCTGCCAAACAGCAAGTTACGTAGCCCTGGGGGGAACCTGGGCAGACCTCAGCTGCTAGGGTGTCTGTTTAACAGCAACCAACTTAGCTGGGGAGTCAGCACAGACACATCTTTCAGCTGGACTTGCTGCCTTCAGGGACAAGAGGCTGTATAGCCACCAGGTGTAAGGATGGGTTTCAGGGTATTGTGGTGTAGGAGTTTGCAGGAACGTGTGGCACGAATCCATTAGAAAATCAGGATGGTTTTCTGAATGGGAGGAATCATTTTTTTTCTTTTGCTTGCTGAGAAATACTCAATTTCTTTAGGGGGGAGGGGAGGATGGGAAAGAATGTATTCTCCCCATTTCTTAAAAGTGGAGAAAGAGTTAAGGCATGTTTTCTTTGTTCTCTGCTTTTCTCAATCTACTACTGTCCTCGCTACCTGTGTGCCCTGTACTCTATGCCATTAGTAAAGGAGGAGAAAGTCTGTGTTGGATTATGGGAAGCTGTTTCACTCTATATAATTAAAAGGTAACTCGTGTATTTCTGTAATTACCTATGTGGTTGTTCTGAGTTCTCCAAATTACAGGAGAAAAACCGAAGGCTAGCCTGAAGTACTTCAAGCTTGCATTGTTTTCTGTTCTGTTGCTTCAAAGTAGCAGAATGCCAGCTCTCACTGGAATATTCTAATATGTTTATGAAATAACGGTGAATATTTCTTAGTATTTATTATAGCTTAGATTATTATAGCTTATATTACTTTGTGTCGAGTATTTTGTGCAGTATTTCAGAATGTGGCTGCACTGTTGAAGGCTTCATGTTTTTAGATAGTAATAGCTTATTTTAAGGTTCTTTATTTGACCGCCTCAGTGCCTACATTTCTGAGGTAACTCATGTATAGGATGCCATCTAGTATTATCAGGATGCATGTGAAATGGTCTGATTATTAAGGGTTTCAGAAAGAACGAGGTAAGAGGAGACCGATTAATTTAATGCTACCATTAATATTTACATCCTTGCTAGTGGAGACACTTAAGAGAAATGTACTTTCTTTTTTACTAGCTTTTAATGTAAAGTAGTTCAACTGATATTTTTTTATGAAGGAGGAAAGATCAGAAATTTTAGACAAGCTTATTTTTTTCACGGAAATAGAAAAACACAATGGCTTTCTTAACTTTTTAATCTTTAGAAGCTTAGCACTGCAGGTACCACAGAGTTGCTGGTGTATTACATGTTCACAATCCAGACTGCTTAAAAGTGCCTTGCTTGTATGCTTCTGTCCTTGCAGTTTCACTTCTAAATGTTTAGTGTAATTTATCCCTTTTCTCATTTTCTCCATTTTCTATCCCTTCCAATGAGAACTAATGGACAGGAGAGTGTGCAGATTGCAGGCTGGGAATAGCAAATTTGTCGTGGCACAGGTTTTCATAAAGCTGGCATGGGCAAATTAAGAACATGGATGTTTTGGTTTACAACAGCCACAGCACACAACACTAAATGGAAGGATTTGGGTTATGTCAGAAACATGTAAGCTGTTGTGTATTCACACGTAAGTTTGCCTTGTTTACGAACTTAGCGCAGGTTGCACTGTGCACCCATCCAGCACAAAGCAGTCCTGTAGCAGTAACATGTTGGGCAGGCAGGTGAAGACCTTCCAGCCACAGGTTGTGTAAGAAGCTTGGGAAGAAGTGTGATAAGTTTGTTTCAAAATTTTTAAGAGGCAAAACTAGCTGTAAGTCAGAGCCTTCTCACCTTGGAAAACATTTTGAAAAGAAAAACAAGCCAATTTCATAATATCAACTTGTCAGCAGTATGAGTTGGTGTACTCCCATGCTTTAACGAAGAGGGAAGTTAGTTGTCTTGTGCCTTACTCAAAGTGTTGATTTCTGAGCAAGCCTTTCATAACACTACTAGATTTTCATGTCTGTTGTTGAGAAAGTCTTGAAAGTAAGAATTAAGTTTTGTGGGCATTCGTTTTTAATTAGACAACTTCTGTTAATAGCTTTTGATAATGTCTTTAATGGCTTGAAAATCTAATAATATAGCTGATATGTAAATAGTTTATTACTGTGCATACACAGTAATTACTTTCTAGGTTAGTTAAGGTAAAAGGAATTAATTCTTCATAAAATGAAGCATTGTTTTTATCTCAAAATAATACCATAGGAGTCATGATGTAATTACTGAATTATTTTTAGAAAGTTAAAAATTTTCCAGCTACATTGCATCAGAAAATATAAAAATACTGTTGCATGAAATTAGATACGACCTATTGAATTCATCTTTCTGAGGTTGCACTGGACCTCAAAATTTGAAAAACATCTTGAACTCTACAGTGGTATCGAAGCTCATACGACTTTCTGTTTACTGATACATTTAGCACAGCTCTCCTCTGTAGCCTGGTTGGGTTTTGGGGAGCAAGTGTGGTCATGCTTCTCTGTGGCAGCTTTTTGTTTCAAAATTTAGTAGCTGAAACCTTATTTGTATAGTTTGTGCTGTTTGAACGAGGATTCTTTTGTGCCTAGAGGTAGAGATCACAAGATAGTCACTCCAGTACTTAGGTCACACAATGATAATAGTGCATTTCATAGAATGTACTTTCATACTCAAAAAAACCACAGTGTATTTCCTTTTATCTTTTCACAGCATTACTTCATCTTAGATATGTTCCATTTGTTATGAAACACAGAGTTTTCAGTATTTATCCATAATACGAAATAGGGAAAATTTGGAAAGAAAACAATAATAATTACAACTGAAATGCAAAATAGCCCACCAAACAGCATGCACTGCTTCAGGCCCTTTTTCACTGTCTTTGTATTGTTTCTGTGTATTTGCAGTTATAATACCTTATTAGTAATTACGTTGGTAGACTAGAATTTCAGTGGTACCTGAACCAAGTCTTGCCTATATCTCAGTAGTTTGTGATGCAAAATAGTCTTTTTCTTGAGTTTATTCATACATCTTGTTGAGTTTATTATAAGAGGAGTGTAACAAATAAGAAAGGAATAAATGAGCTTAAGAGCGTATCTTTCTATGTTGTGGCTGTAGAGTATTTATGTTTTTCTCCAACATTTCTCCAAGATAATTGATTAGAGATTGTAGAGGATAGTTGCTAACCATTAGTTAAAAACTTCATGGTTAAAAATGAAAGTATAACTTTCTAAATTTATTTATTTTATAAGCTCTTTTATTTATTTTGGTATTTTAAATTTTATTTTATTTTAAATAAAACTATTTTTAAAATTAAAAAATCTGGTTTGCTTGATTTACCTCGTTATTATGACAGGGTAGTATGTGCAAAAGAAAAATATTTGGAATTTATCATTTGGATTCTGGAGTGATGAGTCATCTGTATTTTTGCTTTGTGTTTGACTGCTGAAGTGTGCTGATTTGAAATCACAACAGCATGCTGTGCAGTATTTTCTTTAGAATTAAGTCATAAACCTGCTGATAGTCTGAGATACTCAGCTTTTAGTGTCACGCATGCTATTTCCAGTAGGTGCTCAGTAGAGGGCAACAAATGCTGGCTTTTGAGTATAAAATACTTCCCTACCTACTCCATAAAGGAATGAAATAAAGCAGTTCTTATCTTGAGCTCTTGAAAATTGATTTACAGAGCATAGTAGGTCTCATTATGTCAAGCTGCTATATTACAGGTCCTGTGATGTGAAACCAGCTACCAACGCTCAGTCGTTCAGGCTTGTTTCATTTATCACTAGAAATCTGTCAAGAACTGAACTTTTGCTGCATAGTGTTTGAGATTAAATAGACTTTAATGTATAAATATATATATACACACAGTCTAACTTTCCTTTTATAGCTTGGACAAATCTCAGCATGAAGATTTTGTTCAAGACAAAAATGAACAGCCTGTATCAGACAGTTCACAGTACTACGCAGGTATGTCTCAAGCGGTTGTAACATTAAGTTTAAACCTGCTTCTACCCTTTAGGTCCAACACAGGCAACAAAGATATCCTTACAACCATTGTTTGTCAAGACAGCTTTTCTATGCATCTGGCTGTATTAGCCTCTTGGGAGCCACTGTATGAACTTGTTAAAGTCAATGTGCTCCATCATGTCCCTGATGTGTTATAAAGGATGGCTGAAAGGACACTGTTAGGCTGTTTCCCTGTAACAGAAAAAAATTCTCAGTGTTTATACAAACTGCAGGTCAGTTTTGTACCTCAGAAGTATTGTGCAGTGGGCTTAGTAGCACAAGTCTTTGCATCTTTTTTTGATTCTTTTTTTTGCATCTTTTTTTTTCTTGCTATGGTGATCTGTATGTCATAAAATTGTCCATCTCCAGGAAGGTAGCTCCACAGCTACATTAGAACCTAACTAAAAGACAAATACAAGATGTGGGAGGAAATGAATGCAACATACAAGCCAGTAATGAGAGTGATGGTTGGGTTTTGGATTTTTTATCAGTTAATATTATTAAATATTTATTTTTTCCTTTGCAATTGAATATAAACTCGTATTTTAAGTAGTTACTTTCTTGATATCTATTTTTGAATGAAGGAAGAAGTTAATTTATCAATCATCATTTTGTGTAGCTTAGTCTGTTTTTTATTTCATGCAAATATTCTGTCACGTTTTCCTCTTTACAAAGCTGTCTAGATTTACTCTGAGTTATGTAATTTGATCTGAAAGCTTGTCTACTGCTTGCATCTGTCCCGACATCAACATTTGTCAATTTACTTCCACGTATAGCTGTAGTATGGATACTGTTGTCCCTCCTTTTATTCAGGAATGCCACAGCACATCTTAATGTAATAATGATGGTTTGCTTCTAGTCTACTGATGATTATCTACTTCGTTGTGTTTATTTAAAACAATAGAATTTACAGTGAACTTTCTCAAATGATTAATATATTGTAGATTGAAATTTTGAGGAAAGTTTCAAATTGGAGTAAAATTTATACAGTAACTGTTTAAAGTGATTTTTTTTTCAAGTGAAAGAACAGCATTAGGTATTATGTAGAGATCTGTTCTTCAGAATTAAGAAAACATATCCATAAGTAAGTTTGATAATTAATGGGTTAATTGGTTCTTAGTCTTCCGTGAAATTTCTCATGACTTTTAAAAAATGAGGAATCAGATTGGGTGTTCTCTCCTGAAATTATTTTTTACAGGAATTCCTGGTAGCTGTAGTGTTTATTGTGCTGTGCTCTTACTGTCTCTGGAATTGCTGGGATACTGTGTAGATACCTTAAAATGAATGTGTGTGGTTTCAATTAGGATGGTTTAAAATTAAAATAAATAAATAAATAAATTCCTTGTACATATTTTAAACTTGCTTTCATGTTTTCTGGATGTTCATTGAGCAAATTATGTCCTCTCCAAATACAAGCCATAATGTTCAACGTAGTGTTTTGAAATAAGAGGTTTAACTACAAGTCTAGCCTCTAAGGTTAGTCATATACTCCCGTTCCAGCTCTAGTTTCTTTCTTTTGAACATTCTGCTGTCTTCTTAACTGAGATGTTCTAGTGAAAATACTTCTCTTCTACCAAAGAAGTGACAGGATTCTGTAAGTACATAAGCAACTAACTATTTGCTATGTTTATACTAGACCAAGAAGGACTAAGTGCTATGCCTGAAACTGAAGAGACCAGAGGAACTTGTGATTCATGGCAGAGTGACCTGTGGGCACAAGTAAAAGACAAACTGCTGAAATATTTGCATCACAGCACAGTTTTCCCAGAAAGTATCCCACGTAAATTTGATTATGCGCACAAAGACTTACTTATGCAACAGTACAACCTTCATGCAGCTGTGTACCAGCCAAAAGAAATGAGAACAGATAAAAATATCAATGAGTTTAAAAGTGCTAGTGGCCTTGGGTATTATGAAGTGACAGTTCTGGGTAAGTATTTGGTAGCCTGGCTGTTTGCTATGCTTGGAATGACTTAAGGTTAGCCAGAAACTAAATAGATTTCTTTGGCTTAGTCATTCGAATTTGGGTGTTTAAGTTTAAAAAAAAAAAAAAGAGATATGTTTTAAAGACATTTCAGATCTCTGTTAAAAAAAAAAAAGGAATTAGAATATTATTACACCAGAAAGCAGTAATGCTTGTTAAAATTACCATCGTGTCATTAATTGAGATAATTGAATATCTTATTTCTATTGCCACTTTCCATATAATTGAGATTTTGTGTATAGGTGTGTGTGGATTATTTGAAGGTTGTGTGTAGTCCTTAAGCTGTTCATTATTACAAATAGAGAGAGAGGTTCAGTTCAGTAAGTGAACTAGTCTGACATAATTAGGTAAATTGTTCAATTGCACTTTATTGTCAGCTGATCTTTCTATTGGAGCAGTACCCATCAGGAGCAAGGTAGTGTTCTTAAGGGAAAAGGAAATGCTTGAAATGCTTCTTTTGAGTTTATATCCTCACTGAGTTGTTTTTGTATTTATTTCTTAATTATCTTTTTTAAGTGCCTTTTTAAAAGTGCATTTCTTCCATACTAGAAAATAAAGAGCTTGTATTTTAGCCATACTCATCAACAACTCTCTGCTGCTTCTGGTTACCACAAAACATCAATTGATTTACCTTTATTTGTTAAAATATAAATATGCAAGGTGATGACAAATATGCAACAAGATCTGTTCGTTAGCTTTACTTCGGGATATTAATGTTTGGTTTATTTTCCCATTAAAAGGAGAAGGAAGTTGACTTAGATTAATAGTGCTCATGTTAAGTTCAGGTAATTTTAAAGTTTCCATTATTTGCTAAGGGAGATTTTCAGAGAAGGTATTTAAACATTTACAGTCATTAGAATCCTGGAACATGGAATAAAATATTCAAGATGAAGGTAGCACAAGTACTGTACCACATGCTGCATAGATACAATGAATGTAAAATGATTTTTTTGTCCTCATAGCAGTGATGAAGCTAAAAAGAAGTATGAAATGGCTTCCAATATTGATTTAATATTTTCTGAGCTAATAGCATTGATGACCTTAAAGCATAATAATGTTGTAACTATCAGTTTCAATGTGTGTGTATGCTTACATAGGTTTCTATTGAAATGTAGTTTTAGTCATCAGTTATTTAATTAATGAACAAAGAGCAAGTGTGTAAACATTTTCTGATGATATATATCAGTGTTCAGCCTGCAATAGTCTGATTTTTCTTAATGAAGAAATGCAATGTGACGTTGTAAATGGGCTGGAGATGAAGATTTGTGCTAATAAATATTTTTTTCGATAGGTATAAACCACGACGTAGCAGTAGATGTCGCATTTCTCCCACTGTTCTATCCTGAAAACCCACACTTACTTCAAATGGAGGACATTGAAAATGACACGTTACTGTCTTGCATGAGTTGCATCTCTGCTTATCATCAGAAGACCACCAGCTATGGAGCACTTTGTGACACCTTTCCACTTTCAAGTGAGACTGACTTTCACTGGCATCACTCATTTATCTTTTCTTATTCTGTATCCCAGCACAAGAGATAATCCTCTGTAGAAATTAATGTTGTAGATCAGGCATTGCTCACTTCCGTGACACATACATGAATTTTGTGTGGCTACCTTTACATAGATATAATACTGAATTTTCAAGGCAGTTTTTATTGGAGCTGTTTTGTACTCTGAATATAATATTTTAATATCCAAATCACTAACTCCTAAGTGACCTAGATAGTATTTTGCCATATTATACTGACATAGGAGTCAGTACTTGTGCCTGAGCATGTGGATATTTGCCTTGATTTGCTTGAAATAGAGTGGAATAACAGTCAACTCATTTCGCTGATATCACATGGAACAGCATCTTTAATGCAACCTACACTGCCTATAAACTGAAGTATTTGCCTATTATGCTTCTAGTTACTAGCACCTTACAGCACTTGTGCTGAGCGCTATTCACGCATGACATGCTGCAAAGTGCTATGTAGGCCTAGTGTTTTCCTGCATGTTAATACAGACAGATCTGATTTTATTCAAATACATTTACTTTTCCTTGAATGATTCTATGGAATCTGAGAATTACTAATGTTTAAGTAGTGCGTATTTCAGTATTTCTGTTTCTGATGCTATCATTTCTGGTGGATGAATTTAGTAATGAGATTCTACACCCCCTCCCCTCACCTCCACCCCTCAAAAAATAATAATTCATAGTAGACCAGCACATAATAGTTCAAGTGTGTTTTTCAGTGAAAGATACTTGAACATACACACATAACTTTGTGGAAAATAGCATCAATTCACTTTGCGTTTTTATTGTATGTATATTAAAACTACGTTTCTTAATTTCTAGATGAAATTGTAAAAGCAGCGATGGATCTAGACGGCAAGCATGTTGTCTGTATCTTGGACATCTGTCACTTGGGTGATGATAAGGTGGAAGTCTTTCTGAGCAAAATCTACAAGACGGTGGAACCGGATGTGCTGGGCCTAGTGTAATTTAATAACTTATTTTTGAAACTTAAATAGCGTTGAAAAGGAGGGAAATAAATTTGCTGTAATTTGAATACACCCTCTACACACTGCACTTTTCTAGAACTAGCAGAAAAAGATTATGATTCTTAGAGCAATTGTCATTCACATGAATGTGAAGGACAGTTGTTACCTTTATTTTTGGCAACCTGCAAACAGTTTTTTACATGATGTCTTGGTCACTTATGTTCAAGAAAGGTGAACAGGCAATGCAGTGAGCTAATCCTTTGATAGGAAACCAAGGAGTATAGCTGTGATCTCTCTATCTCTCCCCGTGTGCATACAGAGCAAAAGTATGCATCAGGGTGAGAATTGAGAAGAGAGGCAGGCTTTTCCAATATTAAAGGCAATGTTTGCCTAAGAATTAACTGCAAAGAATTTAGGCTGAAAATTAAAATCATTTTGAGGATGTGAACTATTATGTCCCGAAGTGGTCTTTCAGTGGGAGGTACTATAGACAGCCCCTTTAGGCTTGAACCTGACTGTGTTTGTGAAAGGGATTACATATTGTGGTGCCTTAGTACTGGGGGCTGGACTCAATGACCCAAGAAGTCATTCAGTTCTTTTTACCTGATCAAGGTCAATTGCTATGTTTTAATATGTCTGCTTTTTGTATATATAGTGTTGGATAATGAGTATAGCACCTAAGATTTATAACATATTTTATTTATTACTTTAGAAAATGAAACATTAAAAAAAGTTTTTCTTCTAGCTTTGTAAGAGAAAAAAATATTTTTAAGTAATATTTTGCATGGCTGGATATAAAGTTCATTACTTTTTCTTTCCTGTTGGTCACCACTAGCGTTATCTTTTTTCTTTTTGGTGATAGCTGTAATCAGAATGCATGAAGGAACTCAGCAGCTCCAAGAAGCTGCTGCTTCCGGGAGGGCAAAAGACTCAAGAATACTGTCAATATGTTGAGCCTATACAAGCTAGCAGCTGCTGACTCCTGCTGAGTTCTGAACCAAGTCTTGCTTTTTCCTCCCTTTGGCCACTTATGCAACCGGATCTTTGGGAAATGATTCTCAAGCATGATCCTAAAACACATTGCTGCTTGACAACTTGTCCATGTGCAATGCTGGTCTCAGCTCAGTTGTTTGAGAAGAAATGATTGCATTGTGGAAGCTTGCCACTTAAATTGTACCATTGTTGAGTAAAACTTTCCAGGTATGTTTTAACTGCCTGTTGGTTAATAGGGAGCATCTTTTTGAAGTACTGGCTCACTTCTTTGCTCTGGGGACAGTGGACTTTGTCTTCAGGTCCTTCAACTCTCTACTCTAACTTCAGTTAATGGTAATTGAAGGAGAAAGTTAACTGTCTTTATTATAGTAGAGTTTCAACACAACTTCGTATAAAAAAAAAGTCCTAATGTTTAGGGAAAAAAAAAGGTTTAAATTATTCTGAATTTCTACCATGGTTTATAATTTAAAAATGTGTTAATGAGAAAAGTTTAACTTGTATTGCACAAACTAAAAGTGAATTAAATGTGACTTTGTATTGTTTATATTTTATACAGATTGTAATAGTATTAACTCTAGAGCAGTGTTTGTCAACCCATGGCACTAAAGGCAAAATGAACACAGGACAACCCCAGAAGAGCAGGGTGTTGCTTGCAATTACTTGTGTAATTTTGTTGCTCATGGGTATATGAAGATAAGAAGCCATTGCTCTAGAGTGAGGAAATTAGCACCAGCACTTCATGTACCAAACTGAGCCATGCTGACTGTGTCAGCATTTTTTTAATTTAGATATACTTCAGGTCGAAGTCTAATTTTAATAAAACCAGTATTTCTAGAAGCAATTTTAAAAAATAGTTATCTTTGTATGAAAGGACTGATGTGGCAAACAGTGTCACAGTCACTGTATTCAATTGTTCTAGACACTCAATCCACCTCCTTCAATAAAAATCCAGCAAAGATTGTTTGCTGCATTGCACTGCTTACTATACTTTAAATGTATAGCATTAATCACTTGCTTCTCCATATTAGGAGGTTTCCTAACTACAAAATGTATCAGAATGATGTAGACTACGTGTAATGTGCACTTGAGACTTTTTAAGTGCATAACTTTATTTTACAGAAATAGTGGTTGAAATTTTTCATGGCAAAACCAGAGGAGGAGACACATTCACTCCTGTAGAATGAAGTGCCAACGTTAGAAGCATACGCTGTCTTTGGATAGGTAGACAATATTCAATGCCTATAGAAGACTTGGAATTTATATATAGTATTTATATATAGTAGACTTGGAATTTGAATACTCAGGGCAATTCTTAGGAGGAACCTACCCCATCCTCATACATTGAACTTAGTATGCCAACTTCAGGTTTTGAAGTGTTTTTTTTTTGTATTGTTACGTGATTCTACCAGTCTGACTGTGTTTCAAAAGAGCACTGTATATCTGGGGAGAGGGTCCAGTCTGAAAAAACCTACTGGCTATTTTATTTGGGGTTCATCAACACAAGTATAAACCAAAGTATTTTTGTTCCTGAGTCTGTCAGAATTTGTTAATTTTGCCATGTGAAACTAACATAGCGTCTTTACTCCTGCAAATTATATCACAGAAATCATCTTTCTTGCTGCTGTGTATTGTCATTGCTGAGGGCAACATTCAGTACTGAACTGTAAAATTCATATTCACCCAAAGAACTGTATCCTGAAATCTGCATTTCCATGTTTCATATGTTTCCAGCATTAATATCAAAGTAAAACATAAGAAAGTAAACTAAGTGTGGAATTAATGGTACTTTTGTATGTTTAAAACTCTGTAAGTTATAGATCTTAGAGGTAAGATCAGTTTCAACTTAATGTGATGTAGAAATAGTGTAACACTGTAAACAAGAAAATATAAATAAATAAGTTAATATCTGTAAGTGTCTTGGATTCTTTCCTTCAATTTTGTAATGTTCCTTCTGAAAGCTGTTCCAGTATTTCAAGAATCTCCTCCAGAGTCTTGTTTACTCTTTCAAAGAATCTTTACAAGAGAACTAGGTCAAGCTTCCGTCAAAATACACGCAACCTATTGTAGCTGCTCGTGGCTTTCAACACTGCTCAGCATGACTTGCAGAGAAGCTGTAAAAAGGCCTTGAGTTTTTGATTTGTCTTTAATTTTCATTATGACCTACAGAATTATGGCACTGCAATAGAAAAAAATGAAAACCTAACTTATGTAGGAAGATAGGAATCAGTACTACTAATTGCTACGGAATACAGCTCTGAAATTAGGGCAAGTATCTATAGAGTGTATATCCAAAATGAAGTGTGAGAATCATTCAGACATCTCAGCAAGAATCGTGAAAGTGAGCTAAGGTAGGAAAACAGGGCTGAAAAAGGTTTCTTTGATCAGTTTATGTCATTCTACATCTCTTGCATTGGTATGAATCAATGTTAAAATTGGTTACTTATAAACACCAGAACAAGCTGGACCTGATAGAGTAGGTGACTGAAACAATCAGGAAGAAGAGGAGGAAAAACGACTTGGTTATTTTAGTGTGTAAGCTGAGGTTGGTTGTTTTGTTTGTTTTTAATAATATTTCCCTCCACTTTTGACCTTTTTAACAAGGTCATTTGCATCCCAGATCATATTGTGAAACAAGAGCTTGCATCACTGAATGAAAGATGATCTGGTCCTTCAGGAGTGACATTCAGGTTGAAACTGGAGACTTCCTAGAGCAGGGGGCTTAGGAAACAGCATCAGGGCCAGAATTTGGCCAGAAACGGTGGGGGGAGCTAGGGAGGGAATGACGTGTGGTGACAGAGGAGCAGAAAGTTAGAGCCAGAAGTTACTTAGAGGTTCCTTTATTCTGCATGTCTACCTAACAATACACAGGTGTGTCACTTGGGTTCTCTCCCAGCCCCCACTCCAGATAAGCACGCTGACGCATCGAGGACTTATGTAGGTGGTGTCAGGTTCCTGGTGGAACTGAAATTTCAAACTGGTCGGCAGGCTGAGGGCTGACAGTGGCCACCGCTAGCTGAAAATATCTGTAGGCATCTAAATTTTGCGCTTATATGAATAAGCAATGAGGCAGGATAAGTTCAGTTCTTTCTGCCTTCTGGTGATTATTAGTATTTTTTTCAAGCCTACAGAGACGGTTCCTGTGAACGCCTTTGTACGTTTGTTCTATTTCAACAGCACCAGTAACAGGTCTGTGTCTGAGCAGTGTGAATGTGGCCTGTACGGGTTAAGCTCCCCCCTGCTCAGTGCTCAGGGCTCGGTGGCCATTCCTAGAGCTGCTAACCTTCAAGCCTGTGACTCAAACACTCAGTTCACCGTCACAGAACCGCCGTGGATAGCACTGATTGAAAGAGGCAATTGCACTTTTGCTGAAAAAATCAAGGTGGCAGCTGGAATGGGTGCGACAGCAGCTGTGATCTACAATGCACCGGACAAAAGCAGTTACCCCATTCCCATGTCGCATATCGGTGAGTACCGCTGCGTAAAGCACCGGGACGTGATCATTTCTCTTGGGTTTGGTCCAGGACAGCACAATGGGACTGTAAGGAAGCGTTGGTGTTTGTGGGTGATCCTTACTTTAATCGAGATACTCAATGGGAAAAAAAAAAAAGCATTATGAAATAAATCTGAGACTTGACCTGTTGAGATATACTCTGCTGTTTATGTTGTGAGCTCGGTAAGGTGTAGCCCAACCGTGATTCTGGAGTTATTATGTATTTATATATTATATTATTATATGGCTATATACCCATTTTATACTTTCACAGCACATAAATTGTTCTGGATAGTAACGTAGAGAAGCATGTAGTGTCTGCTGTGAAGGCAATAGTTTACATTTCAGGGCTGGAGGACACAAACAAACTAGCCTCCAAGTATCTGAAGCACAGGCACATGCTTTGCAAAGCTTGTCCTTTTTTTTTTTTTTTTCCTCTAATCTTTTTTAAAATCCTTTCTGAATAGTAGCTGATCCCAGCCTCTTCTGAGATTCCTTAACCAAAAGTTAGACAAAATTATTCTAATCACACCTTTTGGCCCTAATAGCTATGAATCTATCACAAAGGAAAAGAAGCCAACTGTGACACTGTATTGCTTGGCTTTTATTTCTGTGCTTCTCTAGGTCAAGCTGCATAATAAAAATTTTAGTAAAAAGCAATATATACATAGCTACTGCCCTGAAATACACTTTGGTAGCACTGCACTAGGAATTCTTTGGCTTAAGTCAAAGTTCGCCTGGTTTTGTGAGCAAACTGAGAAGCTTTCCATGTGGAGATGGGCCAGCATTTTACTTATCACCTCCCTGGTACTGTTTTGGGTTGCTACATGAGGAGGTTTCTGGGTATGACACCCACAGCCATACAGTTTGCAGGAGTCAGCCAGCACAGCCCTCGAGCAGGCTGGTTCAGAGTCTCAGTGAGCACTTCCCATGCTGTAGCAGCAGTGCAGGTGCTTTATCTAACCATCATGTGAGGTGCAGGAGTCCAGCTCCAGCAAAATGCATCCTAAGGGATTGCACAACGCACGCTCTGTATGGCACTGAAAGTGCCGTGCCTTGTAATGCCCAATCAACTGGCTGATATCTGATATCAGACAGCACGATAGAGCTGAGCTACTGTTTGCTAATGGAGCTTAAATGTGTCATGGCCAATAAACCAAATATTTTCTTCTAACTGGAGAAAGCAATTTAGATTTTAGTGGCCAGCACAGAAAGATTTGAATTACCTTGATTTTTCGGGGTTGTTTGTGGAGCTTGTCAGCTCACACTGCTGCTGTACAAACAAAAAAGGAATGGGCTGGCTTCCCAGAGCTGCACAACGGGTGCCTGCCAGGCTTGGGGACTGGAGCTGGCCCGGAGCAGGGTGGCTCCGCACCACCCCGTGCCTTGCACAAGGGTCTCTGTAAGGTGCCATGCAGGGAGCGGGTGGGAGCCTTGCCTGGACACTGAGGTTCCCTCGGGTGTCACAACCACGGCGGTTAGACTATGTTCCAGCAACAACGTGCTTGTTTAGGATGGGCTCTAAAAGCAGATCCTAATATTGCTGATGTTTTTTTCTCTAAAAAAAAATAAATATTGAAAGCAACAGAAGTATCACATACCCAAGAATGTATTTCATGAGGCTTGTAATCCCTTAATATTAATTAACTGCATATTCTATGTTAAGTCCCCAAATTAATTTAGTTTTCTCAAAGACTAGTGATTTTTATAGGGTTTTTATGGTAAGATATATCCCCTTCCTTTGAAATCTAATATTAGGCTCTATTTCATGTCAAACAAAGTTAATAAACCAATGCAGGACTCACACGTGTTAAATACAGTGAGGGTAAATTCAGTGAGATGAGTTCTTGACTTCAGCTAATCAACAGAGGTGCATCTTCCCCCTGTGTTTGTTTCCCTGCCTGCAAAGTGTGGCGCTGTACTTTTGGGGTCAAACAGAAAATGCTTGTGAGGGGAGTGGTCGTTGCTGCGCAGCGCTTGGAACAAGAGCGTGCTTTGAAATGATTTAGCTTTCTGTAGTAGACTTGTTCACAGAGCTGGGGAAGGAACCGTAGCATATGGATGGAATCTGCCAATGATGGCATCATACAGAGAGGTTTGTGGGGCTCAGTGATGAGTGCTCTCCCTTGCTTGGGTTGGAGCCTTTAGAGGTAAAATGCCCTGTTGGCAGGGCACTGAGAGAAAATCTACCCTGCTGCTGCCCGTGATCTGAGCTCCTGATTAAAAAAGGAACAGCAGGCCCAGTATCATTGCTAGCCTCTCACTCGGGTCAGCCCTGACATTGGCAACCACACATCTATACAGGAATATAGTAGCAGATAAATAAGTCTATCGGAATTCTGTCACCTAGGTTAACTTATTAGGACTTTGGGCCTTGGTCACAGTTTTTCCTTCGCTTTTCCTTCCTCCTTCCTTCTGACTAACATGAAATCAATAGATTTCTAACCAGCCTTGTTCTCCATTACAGCGGTGCAATATTAGGTATGTATTTCACATCAAAAAGCACCTGCTTAATTTTACAGCAATTAGCTAGTTAGTTCTGGGCAAAGTTTGGGTGTCCAGGAAATGTTAGTAATTTCAAGTTGCTGGGAAGGGACAAAGAGAAAAAAAAAGTCTATTCTTGGTGACTCCTTCCTCATTGTCTCTGGCAGCTGCTGTCAGTTTGACATGATTGTGGGTATTGGTTTATCATTATACATGCAGCCATGAGATAAAACTGATACAGTATTAGCTTTTACTAACAGAAAATTTCAGAGGTCAAGCTGTTGGCAACATCTTTCCTGTTCCCTCTCTGATTACACAAATCATTGATGGGAAAATGCTCTCGTTTAATCTGGAAGATTTTTCTGTAGGTGGTTATATCTTATTTGCATAAAGTCAGGTTGATTCAATGATACAGAGACTAAGCTCTTGCTAGGAAAACAAACAAACAATTAAAATATCTCTTTTTAGTAGTTCCAGCACTTGTATGATTTTCTCTGGAAAGGCAATGGAATATGAATCTGGAACAGCATTTTTCCAGTGCAGTGCCTCAACATTTAAATGAAAATTAAGGGAATTATAAAGTTTTTTGAGCCACATTCAAATATAAACAAAATATTTTGGAGCTTCTTTTTTTAATAAGAAGTATCGGACCATGGATGGTAGCAGAATAGCTGTGCTCTGCAAAGTCACTGAACAGCTGGGTTTGGTCCCTGCTTTTAAGCAGTACTGGCATGGGTCGGTAGAGGGCTGTATGATCTTACATTTTTTTCCTGTTCATTTACAAGAGAAGACAGGAGAGGAGGCAGGATAGAGGAGTACAGAATATATGTATATATATCATTACTGCTGACATTTGGATGCTATGCCCATGTAGCAACTAAGCTACAATATCAACCGAGTTCTGATGCGTTTACTCCATAAGACTCGGTGAAAGGGAA